GGATGGTTTTGCCCATGGGGTTGATTCCTCGATTGCTGTTTGGATCGCTCCCATCAGCTCCTGGCATTTGGCTTCTATCCTTTGCGGATTTGCCCGGTATAGGCCTCCTGTCCGTAGACCTCCTTCGATCTTCTGGGTGAGTTTCTGATCATCGGTTGCGTTCCAGTTTCTTCTCTTCTGTTGTACTGCAATGGGTGTAATAATATCAAGCACAGTCCTGATCGGGAAATGGTCGGATGCGTGTTCGATGTCATCCGCCCTCTCGCAATTGATAAGCCTGTTGACCAGGTTGGATGTGATGAAGGTGAGGTCAATCACCGACGACTGATCGTTTCGAGACCAGGTAGGTCTGCCTTGTTGGGTCGTCAACTCGAGTCCCCATTCATTGGCGATTTCTAGGAGTTGCTCGGCCTCCTGATCGGGCCTGGTCCCTGTTCTTCCCCATCTCGGGTGATGCGCGTTCATATCTCCAAGGATGATGTGTTCTCCAAGAGGTCGTTTTGACAGCTCATTTCTTAGATGTCTAAGAGTATTGCTGCCCGGCCTATTGTATATGTTGTGTATGAAGAGATCTGTCCAGTCTCTGCCCTGATGAGCCTTTCTAAGTTTCAGTAACTGGTAGTCCTGTGAGACGAGTTGACACGACCAAGTGCTCGGGTCAAGCCTTTTAGACACAAACAGGCATACGCCCGGTTGGGAGAGATCCGAGGCTTGGACTTGATTGTCCTGGCCTTGGGTTGTTCCGTCGGCAGCTGCTTTTGGTGGGTAAATTAGCTGGAATGTTGCCGTCGCTGGTTGGTGTGTTGTGTGTTGCATTTCGTTCTTCCATGGCTCCTGCACCGCGACGACGTCCGCCGCGAGGACATTTCTGTCTCTGAGGAACGTTGCCATCACTGGCCACGATTTGTGTACGTTGTATTGAAGAATCTCAAACGATTTCATTGATGAGTTTGTTCGTCATCGCTTCGTTCGCTGGCCTCGTGCCATACTTCATCATTTGGGTCTTCGATTGTTGGTGCATCCGTCGGAAAATGCGGCGGAGATGATCCAATCGGTATCGCTTGCCGCTGCGTGTATTTCAGAATCACCAATTTGCGGTATTCGGGGCTCTCCGGGTCCAGTTCCCCCTCGTCATCAGGGCCGGACGTGTTACCGGCCTCGTTGACAGTGGTGACCTCGTTGATGAATTGGGTAAGTCGGTGTTCTAGGCTATCTTGCCGAGTGTCAGATTGAGGCAGACTGGCCGGAGTGGGTTGAATGCTGAGCCATTCATTGTCGTCTGGTTGCTCGTTCATGGTGTCGTCCGGCTCGCCTGTGCGGCGCCTTTTCGAGGCCGCTTGGAGCCTTGTTGACCCTTGGCATGCTAGTGGTATCACTGTTGGTTTGGGATTCTTTGGCCTCGTTCTTGAGCCCTTTGGGCGGCCAGGGCCTCTTTTGAGCTGAGTAGGCTGAGTCGGTTCAGTGACCTCCTCTGGTAATGTTTCTAATTCTATCGCTGCGGTCTCCACGTCGATTACAGCATCCTGGGGGTTCCATGGGGGCTCTTCTTCCCGTTGCCCCTCCGGAGCGTGTATCGACGCTTCGAGTCCATTCGCAACCATGGGGTCTGCCCTAATCGAAGGTGCTTCGTTGCCGGTGCTTGCCGTCACTTGGAGGTGCATAGGAACGCGGTGATATGCAGGGCAGTTGGCCAGCGCTTGTTTGGCTTCGTTCATCGCTGCAACCTTCACCGGACATTCCCGACTTGTAGGGCGATGCCCTTCGCCACAATTGGCGCACTTGACTGGTATCGCTTGCCCCTTCGTCGACGGACACTCCCAGGTCGGGTGTCCGTTGGCGCAGTGACCGCATTTGAAGAAGTTGGAACAGTGTGACTGGATATGCCCCGGCTTTTGGCATTTTCTGCATAGCTTTATCCGCCCCTCACGACAGAATCGTGATGCATTGTGAATTTGCTTCCCCCACACGATTCCCGAGATGATCGCGCGATTAGCCACGACTGGGCTGGTGAACTCGATCAGGATGGAGCCCTCCGCCCTCTCACCCGGACGGGTCATCCATCCTAGATACTGAATCTTAGCGCCTTCGCCCCAGTTGTTCTGCCTGAGCAGCTCAGCCGCAACGTCAGCCATCGTCTCCGGAGTAACCTCCATCGACCTCACGGGAATATGGTACGCCACCACTCCCCATGACGGTTCTTGGACCACCGAGCCTGGTCCAAAGGCTCTCAGCCACGCAGCATGTTTGCGGAGGACCTCTGCCCCTGCCGCACTGTTGGCGATCATTGCCACATCCCCCGACGGCAATTTTCGAGCGGCGACAAAGAAAGCCTGTCCGGCCAGTACCCCTGAATTCTTCTGACGGGCATTTGTTACCCTCTGTCGTTCAGCCCTCTCGACCAGATCTTTTGGTGTCAATCCACGGATTTGCTCGCGGTTCATTCCGACCTTGACGATGACCTCTCGGTCCTCGCGAAGTTCCATTTCCGGTACTCCTGGAGACGATGTGCCGCCGCTCCGGGTGATAGGAGCCGCAGCCGTAGCCAAGTCGCGCTGCCATTCTTTGGCCCGGAAGTTGCGCCACGCTGCCGCAGAGTTCGCCGCGGGGGTAGATAGTGCCGTCGATAATGTGTTGGTTGTCTTTTCAATGGTATTAATTCGCTGGTTCAGGCGTTCGGTGCCGGCGTTGATCTTGGTCAGCGCCTCAAGCACCTTGGCCATCTCCTGACCGTCTCCCCGTTGGGCGTTTAGTGCGTACTGGCGGACGGCACGAATATATCCAGTGACGTACCGGTCCTCCGTGCCATTGTTCTCGATGTGGTTAAGCACCCGGCGGGCCCCTTCCGCGATGTCATCCATGGATCGGGGCGGATCCGCGAGGGCCGTGCTTTTTGGTGTTCCTCTCCTGTCAGGGGGCAAAATCTGTGCGTTCGCACCCGTCCCAACCATCGCTGCCATCTCCCCTATGAAAAGGGTATCAGGCCGTAGCGCTTGAGGTTACGATTACGATGAACTAATACACGAGGCCGCGAGACCTCTGATTGGCTGGATATTTCAAGAAAACGTTTTTGCCAAGAAAGAGTTGTTCTGGTTGATGTGTCTACCTGATACAAGACCAAACTCCAAAGAGCGCTCCTAGGAACACACCAAGGGTACTCCCAGGAGCTCATGAACAGGCCGAAAATATTTATGCCAGAGAGGCAAGGCGTGAGGCCTAAAACTCAACAATGTCGTACGCGGTTGTGGAGTAAGTCATCAAACACCATTGTTGGATCCACTTTACCAGCCCTTCAAATTCCTTTACCAATCTTATTTCCAAGATTCAGACACACCAGCCCTACTCTTTGATCAGGGCAGTAGCATTATCAGCATAAACCCCTCGGCGTTGTCCAAAATTTGCTCGGTTAGATCTCGCGCGGAGCCTTTCTCCAGTTTCCGGGAAAGATAAAGGCATGAGCCAAGTATATCAGTGTAGATTTTGTGACAATTATACAGGGAATGTAACCTGAGGCGTTCTCAACGGACACGGGCCGGGCAATTGGATGATAAACCACGGTCGGAGTCACTGGCGATAATAAGTTCGCCAAAAGACGCCTAGTTTAGGAATAGAAATGAATAGATGCTTTAAGGTCTATACAAGGGGACACGGCGAAAGAACATTTACATTGGTCTACTTGCTTTTTGAGGGCAGAATGACAGCGAGGTTTGAAAGGGCTGGTAAGTGGGGCTGGCCTACCAACACCAAATGGCACCACCTTTATTTTATCCCGATTGATGTTAGATTAATGATCAACATTCGACAAACAGTCCTGTAGAAATAATCTCGAGTACAGTACTTGCTGGGTCATACTAACACGATAAACGTCAGAGTCGAGACCCGTATAACCGCTTTTTCATAGCTCCAGTATTCTCGTCCACCACAAATGAATCTGACCTCGAAACATCAACATTTCTGCCTCAGCGGAGTTCACTCCGCTAGTTTCCATTGGGACGAGCAAACAAAATAATAGAATATCGACAGGAAGACTCGGCCGGCTGAAGAACGCGGTGCTGCGCTAGTCTCACTGGATAAATGATCTTTGTCGATCCTCGCAGTCCGAAGATTATAAAAGCCAAAGCCCGCCTACAGGAACATGGCTATAACAAGGTGATCTTGTCTTCCAGCGTATCAACCTGCACAGCTTTGTCACTGCTACAGTACAGTACCAAGCAAGCAGACATCCCTAGAGAGCTAGCACCCCATCAATAACTCAAACACCATTTAGATAACTAGCACTCCATGAAGTCCGGTAAACTATCTATTGGAAAACAATTTTTTTTACCACACCTAGATCTGTCAATTCAACGACGTATAGAGGTTGCTATACACACCGGATAACAGACGCACTAAGGATTGCCATCTTGGGGACCACGGGGACATGTGAGTATGCAGGTAGTAGATGGTTCGACAGCCGACAGGTAGTCTTCGTCTACCATTCTACTATCTACTCATGTACTTACAGTTGGGCCACCTACAACCACAGAGAGACCATCTTAGTCGCGTGTCACATGCAGTTACCACTTTCTAGATCTTCGAGGTAAGATAAAAGCCCTACCCAGCCAAAAACTAAATAATCGACGTCTAAGTTGTGGTTAAGCACTCCCAAATGGAGGGTGCCTTTGGAAGGTGTGTGTTCTATGGTTGCCTTGTCATGATCTGGGCCTAACCTTCCAAGGTGCCTTTTTTAGCCTTTGCTCATCTTCACAGTTGGTGCAAATAAGAAGAAAGTAACGGTGCGTTCTTCTACTTTGGCGGGGCTTTCTCCAAGTGCGAGTAAGCTGAATGCGTCTAGTGCATGCATGTGATTCTCCTATCAGAGCTGGACGCGATCCGCGGCGTTGAGCGGCGAGGGAAGCCATGATCTGTTCCCAGTAGAGATCTATGGATGTGTAGCGTGCATCTCGTTTTACTGTGACTTGACATTATAATTAATTGACACAGTACAGTAACACATAAGCACCATGAATTTCCTTTCGGGGGGTATCTACCTCGGCCATTTCATTTCCGAAGTTGAAGGAACTGAAAGCATCTTTCGAGGCACGGCCTGGCCCGCTAGCAAAGTCAAAACACGCCAATCTATCCTCATTCACACGATGTCTGTCGCTGATGAGCAAAGTACGAGGACAGAGGAGAAATACCGTCCCCTCGACATCCCTAAAAACGAGATCCGTTTACTTTCCTTTGATACCACTTCCGAAGATACCTCTGTACGGCTCAGTCTACAATGCGTATCCCTGAACGATTTGATGCCCGAATATATTGCGTTTTGCGGCCAGAATACGTCGAATGATAGCTCACAGCTCTCTGAAGCCTGGAGGGAAAAAGTCAAATTCACTCTTGACACGCCCCAACGCGAGATCTACGAAGCCACCGCAAGGTTTATTGGGGGTGACTATATATGCTTGAGCTATACATGGGGAGATCACAAAATGGAGAAGGCCACACTCTTTCTAGACGGCGTCGCAACAGCTGTGAGCAAGCATCTAGAAGCAGCTCTGCGAGACCTGCGATCGAGCTTCGAGTGCCAACTTGGCATGAAAGTCTGGGCCGACGCTCTATTTATTAATCAAGCCGATATTGTTGACCTGAAAACCAGGTCCTGCGTGTGAAGGGTATAATTAGTGGGGCTTCCTCTGTCACAATTTGGATCAATGAAAACGATGATTTTCGGGGTCATGGTCTTCAACCACCCGTAGAAAGGCTTCTTCTCTATGATATGAAACTATATGGTAGGCAGGTTCTGGAAGAGCTTCTTGGGGTTCGAGATCGTAACTGGGGAAGGGCAGTGGCAGAGGATGAGCAAGTCATGGAAGTCGTGGAGGATACCGATGACTTAGTGTTTGACCAGTGTCACTGAGCAGATTCTGATGATGAAGATGAGTTTGGATTTGGTGGGCTGCACTTACCGGATTTAGTCTGCGCAGAATTGTGGATGTTATTTCAGAAAGAGTATTGGTCGCGATTGTGGGTTATCCAGGAGCTGGCGGTTAGTCTCACGATATCGAAGGTGCACTGGGGAGACTCGACAATTGACCTATCGACTCTCCAGGCTGTGAGTGACATTATGCTTACCACTTCCATGTCTGGTCAATATTTGGAGGGACTGAAGCCCAAATTGAGCCTCTTGACATTCATAACTACATGGAGAACACTGGAGGCTACGTCGGGTGTAACAGAATGCTTGAATGATATCACTGCCAGGGAACTTAGCCTACTCGCCCAACGAGCCAGCTGCTTACTCCCACAGGACAAGGTCTATGGGCTACTAGGGTTATTTCCGTCGTTTGTGTCAAGCGCGGTGGTGATCGATCACAGTCAAGAGACGGCAGTGCTCCTTGCTGAGCTTTGTGCCGTGGTCCCACAACGGAACTGTACTGTAAGTAGAGCACCTGCTGCACATCTTTCGCAATCTGCCTCCTATTTCCCAAGCCCTTATCCAGCCTTACTATCTGCTCACCAAGTAGCCTGCTCTATATAATATGAGGGCCATGCAAGCCTCTAGGGACGGTTATAAGGCCCTTATCTTTGGCCTGTCATACATTCTATCTTCTGTCCGCTCCGATACTTTTTGAAGCTGTGCACATTGCTTTCGTTCCACTCCTATATCCACTGAGTGGTAAAATACCACCCCTTCAGTTCGAAAAACCCTTTCTCTCACTTCGTTCGTTTCAGGGATATACGAGAAGCTGACCATACCAGTATGGCAGATACACGGTCTAGAACCAGGCACCTAAACTAGCTGAGCGAATAGATGCCTACTCGGCAACATGGAGGTTCTTGACCAGGCAATCTATCAACAAGCCCTTTCAACGCTGAGGAGGTTTGTGACTTGTGTGCCGGGAGCAGGACCAAAGCAGCAGTAGATGATGGGAGGAAAAGTATCGGTCTCAGAAAAGAAATGGCGACTCTCTACTGTAGATTAAGTAGCAAATCGGGTCATCTCAGTCGTGGCTGTAAAAGAGTGGAACCACACACACCGTAAATCGATCACCGGTAGCAAGTCAAATAACTAATGTAGCTCGGCCCCGCAAGTTGTGATTGCCCGTAGCATTTTTCCTCACCACCCATCAATTATTTGCCTTGCGAAGCTCACTTTATCTCCCCATTGCGTCCTTATTTTATGATGCTGAATTTTTTATAACCAGAACCGTCTTCTAATTTTGCGTGTTGTATTACATTGAACTAGAAATATGACATGGCGGTTCTTTGTGGCAACAATCAGATGCTATTATAGTTGTAGGAATCATCAAACACACCGCCAGATAATGCACTGACGCCCAAATGAAGATTTTGTCGTGTTTGGTTTCTTTAGGAAAATTAGCAGTCATAATGTATACTTGTACATCTATACGGCCGTGCCAGTAGATGAGGTTGGGCACACGGGTATGAGACATGTCGTTAGCCATTCCTTACGAGACACAGGTTCAACAGCCGGTATTGTAGCCGCTCGTGGTTAAATCGTATAGTCTTCTAACGAGGGGCAGATATGGCAAGCATCAGGGTTCCAAAAATCTCTAATGTTCTGAAAGCGAAGGGAGTACTTTCTGAGCAAATTCAGACCATTGCCGAGGCCTATCGTGGCCTCTGTGCCAGAGTTACGTTGACCCTGCTCCCATGGCGCGCTGATTTGAAACCGTTGAGATACTTCATCGAAGTCTAAGATAGCCTCCACCGTCTTGCTCCGTGAAGCACTGTCCGGGCCCCCCTAACACAGTTGACATGTTAATGAACGCGTCGCAATTCTTTCTTCAAAGCTCCTTACTTAGTACTCTCCATCCTGGGTAACCTAAAAGCACGAGTTGAATGCTTCCCCGTTCACCGCAGATGAATAGCTCGCCATCGCGGAATCGAACAACCTAGCGCAAACGAACCATTGAACGGGCCACATTTAACCTTGATCTCTTAACCAAACAGCAGTCACCGCACTGCATCGCACGAACTGCACCAGATCTGCGGAGACAGGTCATTCAAATTTTCAGACGATCTTCAAAGGGATTAAACCAATAGATAAATCTGCTTTCTTGAATATGTGGGATTTGTGAGACATAGAAAAACAAAGACCCTCAGGATACGCATTACTATTTGCCTATGTTCATAGATAAACTGTAAAAGTCTCTCCGATGTCTTCAAACTCACTCCACAGGATGCTCACAAGAGGTATCGAAGGACATTTGATGCTTGGAGGATACCTTTCCTTTCTTCTTCTTCTTCTTGGCGCTCGTGGATGAGACAGTAGCTTTAGGCAGCTCCGGCTCTGTACTATACTGCTGAATGGCATACTCGGTTTTGGCAACTTGGTTTGGTGACGCAGGACTGGGTGATCTGGGCTGTTCGTTTTCTGACTCAGAGACACTCGCAACAGCTTCTTCAGGCGGCCCAACTGAACTAAATGAGCTCTCCGACAATGCATCTTGATTTTGTTGTATCTTAGCCCCAACGTCGTCGTCCGACTCTGATGGGCTGGTCAGTGTGTGTAACAATCTACCGTGGATTCGTTTCCCTTACCGGGCCCTCGGATACCAACGAAGCGCCGACAAGTTTCAGAACCCTTCGTGAGGATCCACAATTTTTTATTCAATTGCTCCCTGAGACTTTGACTTTCCTCCGATTCTCCAGCAATTTCAGTGACTAAGTCTTCAGGCATCTCGAACGCAGTTATAGGTGTAAAGAGTGCCGGCAGTGCGCTGAGAAGCTTTGTTTCGATCACTTCGGTGGCAATGTCGTCAACAAAACGTTTCAGTGCAACCTATATTTGGCAGTACCCAAATTAATAGGATACTTGGAAAAGTATGAGAGTCGCGGGTCTTACTTTGTAGTACGCAAGCATGCAGTCCAGTGCCTCCTCTGAAGCAAACCGTGTCATATCTGGTATGGTCTTCTGAAGAAGAGAATTGTAAAGACCTCGGAGATTGATGGTGTTTTCCACAATGTGGGAGGTTGAAAGTGTATCAACGCCAAAATATGATTGTAGAGCCTCGCGAAACGCTTCTTTTTGGCGATCAGCCCGAGTGTCTTGGAGTGTTTCAGTGAAGTAGTGATTGTAGGTAATTGGATGACCTCGTTGGTGCGACAGGAGAAAATCTTTACTCCCTTTTTCCAGTTCATGCCGTAAACTTCCCAGAGCTGGCAAAATCACCTTGTTGAAAATGGTTTTCGAAGTAGCCCCATCTGCCACATGGTAGACTGCATGTTGAAGGAAATCCCTTGCAGCCCCCCAAGACGCAGCAATATGGCTTTGTGTTATGTCTTCCCAAGGGGTGCATTGTTCTTGGAATAAATCTTTCACAATCATAGGATTAAAGGTTCCAGGCAATTCTCGACCCCTTGTCCTTTTGAGAAGATTTTCAATCTGCCGAACATATTCGTCTCGTGTGATAGGAATTTGATGCTTGGAGATTGGTCTTTGATCTTCGTTCTCGAGGACGTGGCGTGAATTGCCGCGCAGAGAAATCTTCTTCGTGAATTGCTCATTGAGGTTCTGAGTGACTGCTCGGATACGCTTTTGGTAGCCAATGTTGGTTTTCGCATCTCCAAAAAAAGACTCGTTGTAAGTGCCGTCCACGGCTGCTTTGACAAGAGATTGGAATGCTTGGCTGATCTGCAAAAGATACGACCTTTGTTCATCCAAAGTTGCACGAGGGTCGCCGAGTTTCTGCAACTGCGACCGGCAAGAATTGACCTTTGCATTTATCTCGTCGATGAGGCTAGGCAGTTCACTTGCAATCTGACCAAGCAGCAGGCCACTAAGACGCATTCTCAACGAGTCCACCCCCACAAGTGATCGTGGAAGCTCTTCCCAAATTCCTTGGGAGAAGAACTCGCATTCCTGGATGTTCCGGTCAAGTAAACTTGACTGGCCTTTCTCCGAATCCATATTTTTCAAAACATGCCACCCAAGACGGAACTCCACCTCTTGATTCTTGGCAAGCGACACAAACGAAGCCTCACTCTCAGATCCAGGTACCAGTACATCTGGCTTGGAGATAACGCCTAGAGTCCGAATTCCAAAAGGATCAGCATCCCGCGCTAAACGTAGGACGATCTGGTTCGCAAAGTCATTTTTTGCGGAGACGACAGCAAGGATGACACTTCGTGGTTCTCTCATATACGATTGAACCACATCTTGAACTAACTGAACATCGGCTGCCGACTGTTGCCGTGTTTCCGAGTGGATGAGGCCCGGAAGATCGACAATCGTGAGATGTGGCCGATCCGGGCCTGAGACTTCAACCCGCAGTAGGTCATTCGAAAATGCTTTTCCATGGGTAGATATGCCCATTGCCGCTTTTGCATTCTCTATCAAACCCGCAAGGCCGTCGAATCCATCAAGTTGTTCGCAGAAGCTGCCAAGCGAATGCTGTTCTGCCTCACTGCGGGATTGATGAGGGACAATGGAAACTCGAACTCCCACTTGCGAGTTCTTTCGCAGAACCAATTCGGTTGGAAATCTAGTGCATAGATTACTTTTCACTGGAAATGAGACGCCGGAAATAGCTTCAAGAACGGAACTTTTTCCGGAAGATTGGTCTCCACAGACAATTATCTGCGGGAGGGAGACATAGTGGCTGATGCCCTGCGATCGGAGTGTGTCGATGGAGTCCAAAAGATCTAGCTGCTCTTGAGTGCATAAGCTTTCGAGTGCCTCTGTCTTGAATTGTGTCAAATTCATGGCGAAGCTGATGTTTCAGAACGAGTATGGAGTGGTCGATGTCGTTGAAATATTGACTGAAAGTTTTAACTTATATGAGGGCAGCTTTCGAGACCCGTATATTTATATTGTTGAGTAATTTTGGTTCAAAGACCGCCCATCCCTTTCCAAAACCTCTTATACCGCAGATACCTTCGTACCACTGTTACGTCGCATACCATATCAACGCGCCACCACATTTGTTTTGATGCCCTTACTTGATAGCTCCATGTTGTCTCACCTATTAACTCTTGACGTTACAAAATCCATTCTTTGGCGTGATTCATCTCAAACACTGTGGCCTGTACCATGAGGAGGTGGGGTAGCCGTTCCAATTGCGTAGGTAAGAGGGCGTGGTCTCCTTGCCTTATAATCAGGAAGGAATGTTTGCTGTTACTGTAAAAACCAATTCATTGCCAACTTTGATTGACATGATTTTTCATTCGTCAGTAGTTGTCGATCGGCTATTGAAGATCTCCCAGTGTACGCTTTCCCTTTTTCGGTCTTATAAACAGACTACTGTTTTAATTCATTTCGGAAATAGATCTGCAGATTGGCTATGGAACGAACTCGGTTCGCCGCATTTGGAAAACAAAAAAACGCATATTATGGATTTACTTGCCCCTTCAAAGACAAGTTGGCTAATGCAAGAGATTTCGGAGTTCCTGCGAGCCTTTTGGCAATTTCATGATATCCTCAGGTGCCATCTCTTCTAAATTAAAAAGATCCTGCCGCCTCGTATCTTCATAAAGGAGGTGCTCAAAAGCAGATTTCGCCGCCCAGCTGATCTCCCGAAGAAGGTTTTCCCTGCGATTCCTCCAGAATCTCCACAAACCTTTCAAATGTCTCATCCGTCGGAGAAAGGATACTTGACAGTCAGTCCACATTTCGCCATAATCATAATGAGTGAGCCCGACTCACAGTTTTTCGATAATCATGGGGCCCGCCACGGCACCGGACCGATCGAAATGAAGTAAGCTTAGAACAGCATCCCCGAAGCGTTCGGCTAAACTGTGTAGACGTTGTCCAAATTTGCGAATTTCTAAGACTGCACGGCGCTTCCTCCTGTAGAGAACTGAGTCCGGCTCCAGATCCGGGAAAATATTCCTCATCATTTTGTTGACTGCTGTAGCCACTTCAATCTTCCTCGGATTGCCTCTTGCTCTCGGCTGACCAATAAGCTCATCGTGTGACGCTGCCTCTATAACGAACTTCGAGGTGCGCCCCACAGGACTGCCGGTGCATCGGTAGAGGTGCAGGATATGGTTGCATCGCAAGATCTGGAGAAATGCCGTGTTGTCTTGGATTTCACCGATGATTTCGAAGCGTTCGTGAATGGTTAGGTCACGTGATACCCATCTTCGGCTTTGAACGCTGTGCCTTTGGGCCCCCAGCTCTCTCGTGTATTTCAGGGCCGCCCGAAGAGCAACAAGTGATTGAGATCCACCGACCAGAATCAGAACTGTACATAGACTGGAAAACATTCCGCGACCCAGATTTAGTAGCATGTTCTCAATTTTGGGCCTGAAATAACTGTCTTCAGGGGGTGGCAAACCCAGAGCCCGACTCATTTCAGCTTCTCGACACAATGATGACCTGAAGTCAACACCAACACATTTAGTTTTTCTATTTTGTATCTCCATACCGCTATCGTCTTTCCGCTTGCATGGGAAACGCCGACTTGCGGATTGTTGGTTCGCGGGCTGGCCTGAGAAGCCATCCGGCTGACATAACTCAATATTAACTGAGAGATTATCGTGTACTCTGGGAGGAAGAGCATGCCTTTCACCTTGTCCAGGCGGAATATCCACCTCAAGTCTTCTATTATGCATTTCTTGATGCGCAGAAGGATGACAAACCTCAAGCACCTGCCTCTCCAACGCCGGTCGACCTGAGTCTTCGGTTAAATGAGACTGCGAACGCGGGCCGGTGAAAGAACGCCCATCTGGAAGGATATCTTTCAACAGTCCATTCTCATTGTAAAGGCTCTCAAAGTTAAACAAACCCCCTAGATCTGGAGTGGTCGGAAAATCCGGTAAAGGGGGCATCTCTTGACTCCAAACATCGACTTCGCTAGTCTGGGCAGGGTCATTCCCCACCAAGGAAGGCGTAAGCAGCAGATCGCTCTGCTCATCTTTGAATAATTCCATCAAGTTAAATCGGTCAACATCCTCGTCCAGGACACTATGCGAATTAGAGATCGATTCGGCATATTCTTGGACTTACCAGAGTAGACCTACCCCAGGGAATAAAGACCCTTGGCCACAGACATGAAACACTTCTTTTTTCTGAGGTATATAGCTCCGATAAGGGCACTTGTTGCTACGGCAAGAACCCCGGAGGAGCGAGCGCCAGGCCGAGAATCAAACTTCAAGTGCCTGTCAATGCCAGTACGCTTTGCAATGTCTGCACGGTGTTGGATACCGTTGACACGGGATTTGAGCTTCGATGTAAAGTCTCGAGGGTGTCAGTTCGGAAAGGCTCGCAGTAGAATGCCAATATATACCTCGAGATAACGCAATAAAGGCAATGCTGGAATCAATCAAGAACCCGGTGGCCGCCAAGCCCAACTGGGCTAATATTCTGTTTCCATCCGGCAAAAGTTCGTCTACTCCAGCAGCGGTAAGCGCAACGTCTATGTCCGACTCGGTTAACTCTGGACATGCGACTAGCTTTCGAATGAATTCCACAGAATCCTTGCTCATGTCGAATGTACGAACAATAAGACAAAGAAGACGGTAGCGATAAGGTGTCAGATGCAGCGATTGTAAATTTCGGCAAGGCGAGGTTTGGCATCAGTTGTTAAGTATTTATAGAAAGATTGCCATGCTCGCGAAAGGAAATGTGGCGTCTCCAGCAAACCGTGCGTCTGGCCGACTGGACACTCTCTTGCATACAAGAGCGCATATCCACGTCGCATAACGTGATTGGCGTTAGACTGAGAAACTTTGGCAATGGGAGTGCAGATTCGACGTATCATATGCATCGTGGACACATGTCGCGCGAAAAGCAGATCATGGAGAACAAACAATACTCGAGCGTAGAAGGTTAAAGAGGCGTAACTCTCAGCAGTCCGTGGCATTGAATCACTCCTGTTAACACATATCGGACTTACTCACGTTTTCTCAAATATGGGCGATCTTCAGCCACGTAGCTATCAACTGGAAATGTTCGAAATGAGCATGGGAAAAAACATCATAGCTGTGGTAAGACTTGTTTTTAAGCCCATTAAAGAGATTCATCGAGCCCCACATTGATTTTTCAACATTCAGATGCCGACGGGTTGTGGAAAGACATACATGTATGATCTGAACGGCACCCTACCAGGCAACAGAAGAGATAATAACGACATTTAGAGCTAGCATGCGGATCATGGCGGAACTAGAACGATGCCCTGAGAATCAGGTAAGCAAATGTTTCAAGTTCAAAAGATAGCTGCCATTAAACATCAGCTGCCTTAGATGGTCTGGTTTTTAGTCCCAACGAAAGTGTTGTGTAGTCAGCAATTGACACATGTTTCGCGTCACATGCCCGCAGTCAGTATGAGAATGCTGACAGGGGACGACGGAGTCGACGGCTGGAGCAATCAAGAAGTTTGGGACACCGCTCTTCAAGGATCGAAGGTTGTCTTCTCTACACATGCTGTCCTTGCCGATGCGCTCACTCATGGCTTTATTCAATTGCAAAGCCTGGCTTTGCTGGTCTTTGATGAAGGTGAGAATAAAATCGAACTGCTACCTAACAAAACTGACGATAGTGTAGCTCATCATTGCATGAAATTTCATCCGGGGAACCGTATCATGCGTGATTTCTATCACAGAGTTAAATCTGAGAACGGCATTGCTCACGTTCCAAGCATTCTTGGCTTGACAGCTTCGGTTGATCCAAAGAAAGTCCGGTGAGCGAATAAGGAACAAAAAGGATAATCTTGATATATAAAGCATACTGATGAGGCTCAAAGGGAACTTGAACAGAATTTGGATGCAATTTGCCGCGCCCCCTTGGTTCAGCGGCAGGAGTTGGCGGAGCATAGTTCTCGTCAGAACCTAACCAGGGTTGTCTATTCTCGAAATCACGATGACCCAGCAGAGTTACCTTCACATTTCCGGCGTTTGGAAGACGTTGTCATGGAACTGCGTGAAGACAGCGAATCCGGGGACCGTGGCATCCCCGATGAGGTTTCCAGTCTCCCTACAAAGGCCCGAATGATTTGGGTTCAATTAGGCAAGTGGGCTTCTAGCTACTTCCTCACTAGCAATATGCATCACATTTCCAGGCAAATTGCTGGCCAGGAGAATTCGTTCTCACCTTGGTGGCCAAGTCATAGATATTTAAATTTGATGACGATGCTCAGAAACATCCCTGAAGTCCAACTGCAAACGCCCGGTAATGTGTCCGATAAGGTTGAGAAACTCTTGTTGTTCTTGTTCAGAAAAGCCTGTGAAGACTTCTCAGGAATCATTTTTGTTCGAGAAAGAGCAACTGCTTACGTTCTATCGGTGTTGCTTAATAAGCATCCGCTGACCTGCGGTCTGTTTCGATGCTTGCCTTGTGTTAGCAGCTCGACCCGCTCTGAGCCCTGGGCGACACATGACTCTCTGATCTCCAAAAAGAGTGAGGAAGCAGTCAATGAGCTCCGCTGCGGCAAAATCAATTTGATTATCGCCACCAATGTGCTCGAAGAAGGCATTGATCTTCCAGCATGTCATCTTGTCGTTTCATTCGAAGTTCCAGACAACATTACATCCTATATCCAACGCCGGGGTCGAGCACGACAGAATGTTTCGGAATTCGTCGTTATGGAAGAAGGTGATGGTCTTTCCCTAGCTTCACGTCAATGGAATGAGCTTGAAAAGAAAATGGGGGAGATATGTTTAGATCATCATGAAGACCGTCAAATATTGGAGGTAGATGATGGGAAACACAAAGAAATAGTTCTCCAGTTACTTTTACACACAGGGTTTGTCTCCTCTCTCATGATCTCTGACCGATTGGCTAACATAAGGTGATTCCTCCCCTAGGGCGCTGCTGACAACAGAGAATGCCATATCTCATCTATACCACTTCTGCACAACTTTGCGAAGTGGCACACCATGTGGAGATTCTCCTTGTTTCTCATATGAGAGTAATGAGGAAGGCTACTTCCGATCTACAGCCCATCTGCCGAGTGGAGTTGATTGTTCGTTACGGATAGCGAAGGGGCGCCATTGGTGGGCCAGAAAGCAGTCAGCGCGACAGGACGCAGCTTTTCAGGCCGTCCATGCTTTACATCGGCAAGGTCTCATCAATGACCATTTGCTTCCCTTGTTTCATGATGATTCCTGGGCTGAATTGAGTCGGCAAAGCGCAGTGGCTGCCGAACTAGTTCATGTGGTGGATCCTTACAGCTTTTGGAAAGGAATTTCAGGTCATTGGACAGAGCGGCCCATCTACAGATCCCGTCTTGAGCTTTCTGAGAATGGAAACTTTCGACCCGATTTGACCATGGCTCTTTTTACACCAGCGAAGCTACCATTGGATGCGAGCCTGGAGTTATTCTGGGACCATCAAACAACGTTTACGGCAACTTTGCAGCCGTCCAATGTTGAGAGTGCGCTATCACTGCTTCAGAGGCATGTGATCCGGAAGATCACGACCTTATTGTTTCACTCGACACGTTCAAAATCGCAACAGGAAGATTATCCGGAGTTTCTTCCATTTTTTACTCCAGATCTCCCACTAGAAGAGCTTCAGTGCTGGCTTAACATCAATCAAGGGTCTCTTTCCGTTCAAAGTGAGCAAACTCATGTCCCTATCCTTTGCCCTGATGGGTTCATCCGAAGCCCTATGCTGCATTCCGCTCCCCATATTTTTGTGAGGTGGATTCAAAACTTGGATGCGAAGGGACTTATGATTGAATGTAAACCATTTGAGAAAAGGCGGAATATCCTACAGCAAGCGAAACTAGGCCAGTCTACCACCAAAAAAGTCTTTATATCTGCTGCCAAATGCACCATCGATTTCCTGCCTTGGGAGTGGAGCCGGGCCAGTCTCCTGATCCCACCAATCATACAACTACTATATCAGCACCTAATGGCGCAATCTGTACAACTTGAACTTTTTGGAGGTGTGCCAGAGATCGGATTGAGTTCTCTCGCGGAGGCACTCACATCGCCTTCTTCTCAATGGCCAATCAATTACCAGCGACTAGAGTTTTTGGGCGACTCGCTCATTAAATTCTTTATATCGATACATGCCTTTCACACTTATCCACAATGGCATGAAGGCTACCTGTCAAAGCTGAAAGATCTGCTAGTCTCGAACGACAGACTAACAAACGCGGCCCATCGTGCTCATTTGGGAAACTTCATCTGCGCCGATTTCATCACGCGAAAACATCCAATCTTCTCGCAGAAGAGAGTCCGAGGCACCAAGCAAGAGATTTCTAGAAAGATTCATGCTGATGTGGTTGAAGCTCTGATCGCAGCTGCCTATGAACATGGTGGGATGTCACTCGCGCGGAAGTGTGTTGGCAAGTTTCTACCGGAGATTTCCGATTTCACTCCAACATCTCGGCAACCACAAAAACAAAAATGTCGATTCCCAATCCACCTAGAAGCAAAACTTGATCAGCTTCTTGATTTTAAATTTAAGAATCGAAATCTGATCTGGGAGGCACTCACCCACCCATCATGGCAGAGAGACCAAACCACTGGGTCTTACCAACGACTTGAATTTCTGGGAGATGCGGTTTTGGATTTTCTCGTTGCAAAAAGACTACATTCCCAACGTCCAAAGATTGCAGAAGGTCGAATGACAGAGATTCGAGCCGCCTTGGTAAATACCGAGTTTTTGGCATTCCTCTGCATGGATTTCGCTCTCACTGAAGAATTTTTCTACGGAAGGGAGATGACGGCAGGGAATTTCAAGTCGACCGTTGAGCTTAGAGATACCGCATTATGGATGTTTATGCGACATGACGCTTCGGATATTGTTAGGATGCAGACATCGTGCAATGAGATCTATAGCATGCTTGGTGATCGACTCAAGGAAGATCTAAAAAGTGGGCACTCATATCCTTGGGCCTCGCTTGCCCGCCTAGGCGCACCTAAGTTCTACTCAGATATTATTGAGAGCACTATTGGGGCGATTTTTATTGAAAGTGAAGGCGATCTGGATGCGTGCGAGCGCTTTTTAGAACGTATCCACTTGATGGTTTACCTTGAGCATTTTGTGAAACAAGATGTACAGTTAGAGCACCCAAAAAGTGCTCTCGATCGTATTACGGCTACTCATAAGGCCGAATTCCGTGCCAAAGAAACCGAGGATGGTCTGCACGATATCTCTGTTTGGCTGAAGGGCGAAGAAGTGGTGTCCATCAATCACTGTTCATCAAGGAATGAAGCGTTTGTGCGAGCTGCCGATGCGGCCGTAGCGATTCTGTCACGAACTTGAAGTTAGTAATAGGACAGGATAATTGATGTCAATATTTTGCTTATCAGATTCTAGCTATCCAGTCAGTAGGCTCTGCTAGCCTGGAACCATCAACACAGGAACCAATCTTAGCTGAGTCCTGCCCATTTGGCTTTATTGGGGCGAGTGATCAAAATACTAAACCCTCCGCAGGAGGACTCAACTTATTGAAGGCTACGTTGCTGTGTCAAACTCTCTGGATACATAATCTTCAACAATATTCGTAACTCGAAAGACTTAAAAGCCAAAATCTCTACTACATTAACATTGATGAAATTGGGCGACGCTGAGTTCTAATATTATAAATTGCGGCCATGCAAGCCCTGACACGATGGAGAGTGCGTTCAATCTTATGCTCTAGCAGTGTAACTGAAGAATCGAGTAGCAAAAATCGTCCATTCACTATAACTAAAGTCTGTTTCTTCTGCAGCGGTTGCAAGCTTGAAGCCTGCATTGACGACACTCAAATACATATTCTCGTAGATGATGGGAACATTCTTCACATCGATGTGGCCCTCGTACAAATTTCCACCGATCATGCACGCACTCGTGGTTGTCTCGAAGCTCCTGAACTGTTCTTGCAACTAAAGTATCACGAAGACTCTGCGTAAAAGATAGTACCGGAGCAACTGAAGACGACACTTCTTGTGGCTCCGGAATTTGAATATGATTTTCGCCAATATCTGGTGCAATCGGTTCTCCCGGTCGAGATTCATGGGTATTTAGCGGGGGAGTGGCAACAAGCGGATGACCCTCTTCTCGATCGACGATTTGGTATGCACGCGCAAGGAGACGATGTTCGTTCCATTGTTCACATCCACAACTTTTCCACTGCGCCCCACAATTGTAACAGAATTGGGCACCACAGCGGCAGCTATTATCATTCAATGTCAGAAACCAGAGTGGTGAGAGGAAAATAGGGACACAGACGTCATATGATTACAACCATGATCCAGTTCCACTAGTCGCCAGCACGAAAAACAGCGTTGCCATCCATTTTCTTGTGCGGCTAGTAACAGTTGCTGCATAGCAGAGTCATTTGGACAATCGCCTGTATGTGCTCGCCCTTTGCAATTTGTACAAGTCGTGTGCTGGCAATCCGGACATGTGGCTACTTCACCATCGATATGGGATTGCTCAATGAAGGAAGAACACCCAGTGGAGTAGCAGTACGTTCTGTTTGCCGTTTCAAACTCAACCTTCTTTTTCTTGTACAGCTGGACGAGATCAGACTTGAGAAATATACGAGCCGTGCTCAAATTGATGGGTTGTCGGCAGCACCTTGGAGGGAATAGCGACTCGTCTGTTGTTGAAGCTTTGAATAGAGCTTCCAAACAAGAACGACAATACTCATGTTGACAGGGGACACGCGCCACGTTGAAAAATTCTGTATCATCTCCACAAGCTACACATTGAGCAATTCGTAATTTTGATTGACGGGATCGTCGAGCTGCCCAAACAGATGATTCGGCGTGTTCAGTTTCAGTGCCGGTTGTGTCCCCATCCTCCATGCTGTGGTACTCTTCCAAACCGGATACATACAAGATCTGAAGTTTCGCCAGAGTCTCGTCATCCAAACCCGCTGTGTCTGGCTCAATATCATCGGGTGGCATAAGATGTTCATCATCCATCCATTGACGCGCAATAATTCGGTCTTTGGACGCGCTCCCTTCTTCCACCTGAGTCTCAGCCAGGATGCGACCATCAGCTTGAACCGCTGCTGCAAAGCTCATGGCCATTCGCCTATCCTTGAGAGTGTGTGAGACTGCTTCCAACTGCTCCTTCTGTAATTGGAAAGCCAATTCTTCGTCTGTAGGATCTCGAGATTTCCCTTTGGAGGTTTCTGAATAAAAGAAGGCGTCTTCGAGTTGTATCTGGACAATCAGCTCGGCTGTAAACTGATCCACCTCTAGAATACAATCCATCGTGGCGATTTGAATGGTATATGGTAGGTGATCTCAGTATAAAGCAATGGAGGTTGTTAGAATACAATGTTGGTGTGTACTAGAAGAAACGGCCCAAACATTCACCGCAACTTGACCCCTTGGTGCAGCTATGGACCAATCAATTCCCGCTCGGTAGGTACTTGTCTTGGTGACCGAAACAAGCAATCAAAAATTTTATCCCACTCGGTAGTAAAAAAGCTCAGAATTTCAATTATCTACTTCACTAATGCAATAGAAAGATCAAAGCATCTTCCTGTACGTTGGAGATACGTTGACCTACTTGTAGAATGAAGCTAACAACGGGCCAATGGCGAGGGGCCCATCTGTTTCATAACATTCGTGGACTTTTAGGGGCTACAGCCAGAAAACATGTCTCTTTACTGTACCGCACATTGAAATTTATGTCAACCCCTAAAATCCTTTTACGCAAGATGAGGCATGTACTGTATGGATATAGACTTTATTTGATGTCCAAGATTATCAATATTGGTTAAGTGGGTATTTGGATACGAGCTGAGATTCCCCAACACAAATCAATTTCTACAAAACCTTAGACCGGAATGAGTGCCTTATTGCCCCGCAAGATTGCGCTGAAGTTGTGTTCTAGACCATTCTATAGATTTTCTTATCTCAATAATCGGACATTTGCATTGAACCAATTTCGAGATAGGAGTAGCCTATCAGTAATATCTACCGGCATAACATATCCAGGAGGAAAAAATGGGAGCTTTTGTGATCCATGGGACCTCAAAGCTTTGGTGCCCCACGCGTTCTCCAAAACGGTGTCCCATACCAGGAAGAATCATAGATAGCGCCATCCAACGGTCTTCTTTATAACCCATTTTCTGTGTGGCTCTACGAGCCTGGATTATCGTGATAATATTACCGCTTCTTTGTTTGCTTAACTTGAATCAGCAATAAATCTTCGACTCGCTAGTTACAGAGTCAATCTGAGAATCCATTAGTAAGCAAGCTATTTTTGTTGTCTGGGATGGTCAAACCTGTCTAATCGAGTAACCCAGTCGTCCCCTGATTGAGAGCAGTGTCCAGCTTTACAGCCTTCACAGAGTTGACGGTTATGGGGACCTCTACTTTCGTGAGGTATCGGAGGTCTGTCTACCGGGACCCCGCTCCATCGTTTAATCCAGTAAACGATTCTCTCGGCATATGACTGATCCAACACCGGTCGACTAAGCCAGCTGCAAACTTTGCAGCGTTGGTGGTATACCCTCGCATTGTATTTGTGCCCAGGGTATAGGCGTATCCTGGTTGCGATCATGTTGCTCGGCCATCCGTTAGAGCGGCATGCTCTATTGTGGCACACGAAACGGCCCATGATGTTTGTGTTACGCACTCGAGTGCAATTCGTCTCATCATCATCCTCGCAGAATTTGAAATGAAGATCTGCAGCGGCAAGCAAATCAGATACCTCACCGTGAAGAGATTGATACATAGAAAATGTCGCGATAGGCTTTTTTTTCTTAGCCGGAGGTTGGGCAACCGCTGCAGGAGACCTCTCGGAATTTGACCGACGGGGGGTTTCCTCACGCCAATGTCGTAGGAACGATTCGAGCTCAAAAATTTCTTCCATAGCGAAGGGATGGCTTGACCTCGGAAATTAGAATTATACGAGCACTCTAGATATTGACCAAGAAAGAGACGAACCATGCAAGCATGCTGAAGAAGGCACTGAAGACTAGAAGGAGGCGCGTATTTTTATAGCAATAATTCAAGGGCAGTAACAAATTTCACCGTCAGAAGTAAATTATCTGTACTACGTTGGGACTTGTAGGCAACCTTACTGACAGCCCAATTAGAAGATCCCCATGCACGTACCCAGTCACCCAGTCGCCTGCCACAATGCCAAATATCTACTACAAACTCCCACAGACTCAAGATATCAAATCAGGCCAATCGTTAGCGCCGTTGCGGAAGCGCAGGATCAAAGGAAGCCCAACCATAAGTAGATTTACATATTTTGACACGGGCAGCCCTGTTGATGATACATAGAGTATGATATAAAATGCTTTAAAGAACCATAGGATTCGACAGAGACAAGTTTAAGAAACGATACTAACGCGTTCATTCTCTACGTTGCCCACTCATCCTCAGGCCCGGCATATTTGAGGGGGTGACCTATCAGGACATGTACCGTTTATTAAATGTGTACTATTGCTTTTGTGACGGACCGGGCCAAAGTGTTTCCATACTGGACGTTCAAGCTGCCGATATCTCTGCAAATCAAATTAAACACAACAAATTCGTGCAAGGGCTTTGTTCGTCAATCAAGAAAGCCGGAGATAAATGAATAAAAACACAAAAGCAGGGCTAGCTACTGCTCTGGTCAAGAAAGTGGCTGGGAAGTCAGAAAATATAATTTTTGGTATGGAAAATGCGGAGAGCTGGTTAAGTCAATTACACAATTTTATTGCATGGAGCAACTAGTTAGTTGAGAGAACTATAGTAATAAACAGGCAATTAAGTGATGGCAGGGAGAATGGAGTGTTAGGACAGCCCCCTGGGGGTGTCCTGATACGATTTGGATACGAGTAAGGAATGTGAGATGTGCCTGATATGGGTAAGATGATATTCAGACTAATCGCTGGTCCTCCTAAGAGGATCCAGCCCCTCATTTCTTAGGGGATTCCCCCCTGCTTATGCAAGCAGGTAAGCGAGGTGATGAATCAACAGACAGCTCCGGTGGTGCATAGGCACCTCCTCCACATGCCCTATACCTCATTGTATGGTTGGCGTAACATGGAGCGTAGATTTGGTGAAATGAACAATATGCTCAGCCGGGGTTTGAAGTAAACAGTTGTTTGTAGTTACTCGTTTTGCACACCAACACAATTCTAAGATCTCAACTTATGAACCAAATTGTGGGGCCAAGGCCGGTTGAACAACTGTAAAAATTAATTGTTTGCATGGGAATTGACTGACCAGGTTAGCTACCCCGTCCAATTGTAAAAGAAAAAGAGGGGCCGGTTAATTCCGAAATGCCAGGAATGTGATTAAGCTGGAGTAATTGTAACATAAAGTGCGCCACAGAAATGTTCACCACTCCAATCTGTCGCTAGACTTTCTATTTATGGGAACAAGTGCTTACAAATTTATATTCGTGACTCTCTTATCAACTCCTGCTTAAAGTTGAAATGTAGAGTCCTGTGGCTGGGGGATATTAGGCCCAAGGAGATAGGCTCCTTGCACCTGGAAAATCGCCCTCAGCTTTCACTTCTTCCATGATTCCTATTTCCATTTATGTACTCAGTGTTTTTTTTTTTTCCAATATTATAATTCTCTCTCGTGGATTGCAGAATTTAATCGCTGGAAGTGAATAGTGCACCCACCTGGCTATGCTCATTCTAAATCAATTACCCGGGGATGTCATCTCCGGAGGCACTGGAATTCTCCAAGCAGGGCTGGAGGGCGGAAAGCTCGCCCGTTGCTTATGGAAAGCCCGCCCTCGAAAAATCCGTTAACGTGACTGTTCAGGTTAATATACAATTCCTTACCTATAGAGAGTTTCTCTATGCTAAACTATAATAGGCGGCAGGATGGACCACTCAGAACCCTGTTCTAGCCGCATGTGTGGTCGTGGGCGCTAGCGGTGCAGTGGTTTTCGCTGCTCCCAGCCTCGCAACGGCCCCAGTTCTATCGAGTATGGGATTCACAACCGGCGAATTCACGCAGGCATGTGCAAAGTCGCAGGAATTAACATACTAATTCTTGTTTCCCGCGCCCCGAAGCTCGAATAACCATTCATGTCTAAGTTCCGCAGCAGCAGCCGCTCATGGTTTGATGGGAAATATTGCAGCGGGGAGCGCGATGGCCATAGGACAGAGCTCTGGTGCAGGAGGAAGTGGCCTCGTGATCGTCAATGGAGCTGCACAATTGAGGGGTGCTGCGATGACTGTGGGAAGTGCTAGTTTAGCGTGGGTCAAAACCAGACTATGAACATATCCTATACAATGCAAGACCATATTATCCTTTGCAGCACTGGCTCAGAGACCCTATATTCGTCGCTAATTTCGCTGCGGCTGCCAGAGAACGAGAAAGCTTAGCCTTACAAGTGAAGAAAAGCTCGACAATCATTCATTGCGACTTGGTGAGTGACTAATCCTAAGAATTCCACAATTCAAACTACAATTAAGGATGACACGGTGAATGGGAGGCCAGAAACGGCCGCTTTTGACGCCGTTTTAGGCCGCTCGCTCACCGTGGTCGGTCTTGGCGTCACGTGGACCAAAGCCCACGGACAAACCCATTTACTGCCACCTGTGCTTCGGGTTGGCCGTGCCTGGTGCCTGGGCCCATTGATCGACCGATGTCCATTCGTGCCGCAGCCGCCGCAGGGCCCCATCCTCGTTCACCCTCAGTCACCCTCCTGGCGGAGGGGAGCCAGAAATGGCTCCTCCGTTGACCGTTCTGCTTCCCTGAGTTTCCATAAATATCGACCACCATGGCTCCCGACCGACAGTCCTCCCTCGCTCTCCAGCAACTCCTCCAGCCTCAGGTCTGGGTTTCCAACGGGTGACTTGCTCAAAGTGGAATAATATCACTCACGACCATTCTCTCATGCTCCTATTCGTCTTCGCTGCCCCTCTTCAATCCCATACTGTGTTCCGCTGCCATGCCTTCTCCGTGGCCTGCTCTGTCTGACGGTGAGAGCGACACTAGCTCACGCCTGCCTGAGATCTTCTCGAACAACGCTTCCGACTCTGATTCCTCCACCGCACCTAGCGTCTTCGACTCGAGCAGCGAATCTGAATCCGAGTCTGAAGATGAGTCCGAAGATGAGCTGGCTTCGGAAGATGAAGAGGAGCAACTTCCACCAGAATACTATCTCCAGGAGGCCGAGTCTCTTGATGTCTCCCATCTCCGACAGAAACGCTACAGCCCGAAGACTCAGGAGAGATTGGATGAGACGCAAGATTTTTGGGATAGGTGAGACATCATTGAACATCCCGCTTCTATTTCTGGGTTCACTGATTGTTCTAGGTTCTGTAATGGCACAAAGCGCGGTCCGGTGGAATGTTTGTCCTGGCTCTCTGATACGGAGGAGACGGTTCGCTTTCTCAAGGCTCTCTTCTCCTGGCGGTGTGACCAGCGACGTGGAAAGGATGGACGTCGCACCCCAGGAGTGAAGACTAAAAGCTCGCTCGACTTATTCTGGAAGTGGTGGCATCTGATCTATAAGGCCGAGGTTGGACATGAGCTCAGCAAAGATATCCAAGTTAAGATCCGCGATGTGAGATCCCGATTGAGTATCGATATCGGCATGGATTGTACGGGACTGACATTCTATAGGTGCTCGCGATAGTTGCCACAGAAAAGAAACTTTCCCTTAAAGGTCGACCGAAAGCGACCATGTATGTCGAGGATGTGGCCGAGTTTGCCCGAGTAATCCTGTCCACGACAGAGATGACTTTTCCTTGTGGCTGGTACCGGATACAACTCCTCCTTTTCTGCCAGCTGGCCGCCATCACCGGTAGCCGTCCCGGGGCGCTACTGAAACTTCGCTTCCAGGATCTCAAGTTGACATTAGTTCGGGATCCGAATGGAGGACGTCCTCGATTTTTTATCTACTTGAGACCGGAATTCACAAAAACATTTCTTGGCGAAAAAGAGTCGTAAGAATATTCCCTTACTAAGCCATTCCTTACGCTTGCCTTTCCTTCAGTCACATGCTTCTCAGCACCCTTTTGCTTATCATTTTCAATCAGAAACACGTTCCCGATTCCGGAAATCATCTTTGATCCCACGTTGGTCCTCAGTCCTCATGTTTTCCTGCTAGGCATGCTATTTAGAATTGGCGCATTTAAAAGTCTATCCAAAGATGGTCCTGTGATGGACTGTCCTGAGAAATTGTACCGTCTTCGGATCCTAGATGGACTTGGTGAGCAGGAATTAAAGCTGAAGGACGAAATTCTCGATCAGCATATGTTTTGCCAAGCATTACGAGAAGCTGATGGCATTCGAATCGCACTAGAAAAGGAACTTACTGGGTCATGGCTGCGTTACAGAATGAAACGAGGTGGTGAGATTACTGGCTTCGCGGAAGTCGCGAAGCCATATTGTCTCCGATAAGGCGCAGCAAAAGCGTTCAACGATAGTCGTGAGTGACGCATTGTGCATATATGACCTTTTGGCTAATGCGTTCTTCTCTGCCAGCGGATGTATCGAATGAACTGCAGAACGTGATGCTGCAGCACGCCAGCATTGATACTTTTGTCCGGCACTACAGTGTGGGTATCCACGTAGATGCCCAGGCAATTGTACGGGGCATGCCCGCTCAGAAACAGCTTATGCGGTTTGCCTGCTCGATGAGTCGGTCGATTGATCCTCGCAGACCCTATCGGCTTGAGGATTCAAGCTGTATCAATGATATTCCCCGCGTGTGTACCCTGGAAGACAGGAAGCAGGCGAGAAAGCGGATTCGAGACGCTAAGAAGCGCGCCTATGAAGATGCCCAGGCTACACTACAGCAGGAGTTCGGCGATAACCCACCGCAGAGTGGCGCTCATTCCCGAATAATCCGCAAGCGGTGGAAGGCTCAAGAGAAAGGTGTCAAAAAGCTACGCCAGAAATTTGATCATGCAGACGAGCAGTATGATCGCGCAGTGAAGCAATTACGAAACGAGAAGGGATGGCAAAAGCACCGATTGGTTCGTGAAAATCTGGAGCGGTACAAAAATGAGCAGCCGGTGATCGACAGTGAGCGGCAACTTTCCGGAAAAGTTGTTGACGAAGAAGTTATGGGGGCGTTGCAGCGTACCGGCTATATGACACCGCAGCATATGACACTTATCGACAGTGTTCTGACTCTGCCGGGTACAACAGTCGAGAAAGAATATGAGCGTCGAATTGCTGCAATCAATGCAGTGATTGCGGTCTGTGATGCGGAAGAGGGTGCTCCCTCGCGGCCTCGTGTCCCGCAAAAACGCACCGCCGATACTGCCGATTTGCCACCTGCTGCCCCCCCTACCTAAGAGGCAGAAGTCTATCTCCTCAGATGAGAGTGGCGATACTTTCTCTCAAGCGATCGCTTCTGTTTGCGTCAAATGTCCAGGAGAGAGACCAACGATCTGCTTTATTTGTCTTGGTAATACCAGACTGCCAGAACGCGAACGCCTGAAAATGTACAAGAACCCCGGGTCCCTCAGCCGACACTTCGTCAACAAACATATCAAGCCATTCCCGAATGACATGCACTGCGAGTGCAACATTTGCGGGGAAAAGCTGATGTCAAAATCGGGACTCCTGAACCATGCGCAAAGAATGCATGGAACTGTCTCCTGCCTACCTTTACCAGCTCTTGGCCTAGCCCTTCCTTGAATATTCGATGTTTCTTGTTTCTCTCTTAAATGTGTCCCACAAAGCGAGGTCAAGCATGTACAATATGCAAACATCAGATTGCGCAATTCTTGATTTTGAGGAAATGCGTTGATGACCACTCGTAGCCAAAATGTCTAATAACGAGTCATAGTAATAAAATCAGAGCAATACCACGATCGACAAGTTATAGCATTCCCTGCGCCGAATCTTCTTACCACGGCGAGCATTTGGATCTCCATATACTCCATCAAAGTGTCCCTGCCAATCACGGAGCTCAGAACTTCACTCAGTAGGCTATTGAAACACTACTGTACATACCTTCGCCTTGGAGGCATGTGTGATTTATAGTACTCTAGAACCTTTATCAACCTACGAGCGGCACTCAGGGTTCCTTTGCCCTGTCTGCTCTAGTGGGCTGCAAATTTGAGTGCTACTGTACATTAACGCTCGTCGAATAATGAATTTCACTATGAGCATTCAAAAACATTTTCAAGAAGCTGACTGTCGGACGTTAACCATCTCAAAGCAACCCAACCGTCTCGGTCTTTTGACACCATTGTTTCTGCGATGGTCATGTATCGTTGAACCTCATCTGGACCGCAGTCATTGGAGTACCTTTGACGCTCTTTTACTTTGGGAAGCTTCGCTTAGCAATTGCTACCTAGAAATTTTAAGAAACGTACCTTTTGTCGCTGGGACGCGAAGCTTGCGGTTTTTGAATGATAATAGCAGCAACGCTACATCGGGCGCATCGAAACTTTTGAAGCATGTTCTGGCCATTTCAATCGCTTTTTGTATGTCGAGCTGGGTTGTTGTATGCTCAATAGACCATTCTGAACGAAGAAACCCAACACGTTTTGTCCACGAATCCATCGCAGCGGGATCCGCAAATTGAGGATAAAGATCATGTAACCCCGCCTGGATGAGCTGTGCTAGAGATACCACACTAGACCTCCCAATATGATGCAAAACCCCCTGTGACAGATACTCTCCATTGTCATAATATGCGTTCTCTAGACGAAAATTGAAAAAGCTCCGCATTTTTTTCTCGACTTCTGGAGCTTCACGATAAGCCCGAAGCAATGACATGTCCCGAACGAACTGCCCGCGAGGAAACTTTCTTGTGTCGACCATGCATATTTCGATCTCAGCGGGGTCACGGTGACGTTGATGGCATCTCCAAATCGCATATTGCATCACAAACAGTAGAGAACTACTCCACGACACTAGGTTGTCGGTAGCTTCCCCACCAAAACATGATTTAGTAAGGTGACCATAAAGCATTCGTGTGATTTCCTTTGCCGTCCTTGAGAGGAGATCGTCTCTGCTGCGACATGATGTTGCGGAAATGCTCTCAGCGGAAGCTACGACATAGTGGTCGCTTCTGCCAGAGCTTTCATAGTCGAACGCTCTAAACAAATATCGCGGGACATCTGCAAATTGATAATAAGGAAGATAACTTGCTGGCGAATAGAATAGTGTGGGTCCGTCGGGACATTTACTCAGCGCCTGAACCCAAAACTCGGTCCATTGTTCCCTTTGCTGCCGTTCCTTCTCGGATTTGCGTTCGCAGCGCACACGAAAGGCCTCGGCATAGCCATCGTCCATGACTATGCGATCTTCATGCTCGTAGTAGTCCTCGCTCTCGAAGTCGGGATCGTAGGGCCATCCAAGATCAGCTTCACCCAGTGGAATAAAGTAGTTATCGGAGTGCAGAGTCCCAGAAGCATAAAGAGTCTGACCGTAGCACATCTCTAAAGTCTCCCGCAGAACGTTCTTATCATCGCTGGTGCTATTAAGAACATCGCGAGCGATGCTCCTCAATTCGTTAGAAAAATGCGACAGCATTTTCTGCACCAGTGTCCTTGGACTAGCAAGCGATGTGATGTAAGCTATGATATAGCGCTCGGTTGCATCGTTGAACGTTTCTGTGATACCAGCAAGATCGGTGACTCTTCTTCTCAGGGAGCTCAGTTCCACAATGCCCTGGTCGCTTGGAGTATGTGTACTCTCAACTAAGGTCTGGACCCGCTCCGCGTGTGCTAAAGTAGCTTCGCAGGACTGTATCAGTATCCGAATAGCCTCCACCAGAGCTTGCTGAGTTAGTCTTGGGAAATTAGAGGCTGATCCAATCAATTCAGTCGTCCTATCAGTGAGACTCAATCCTCCGATTGAATTAACAAGACTGGTGAACTGTCCAGCCATGCTTTTGGAACGAAGAGCGACTAAGAATTGCAAAACAGAAGTCTACTCTCGGAGGTCTCCGAAGGTACGTCTCTTATATTGAAACCAATCTTTAATGGCATTGTGAAAGCGTGATATTTGCCAGCTGGCTGAGGTCAGCTGGGTGACCCCGCCTTCCTATTTTGACTTGGGAGTCCTGAATCTCCACCCAGCCCACTGATCGCCACCAATAATATTGAATGACGTCGTTGCTCTGGGTCGGTTCCCAACCGTACACTGATATTCAAACCCTATAGTAGATTCACGTGAACCAGGCCTGGGAAATCGCGACTTCTGTCGAGGTCTAGTCCTATCACGCTTACATGTGGATGCTTGCGGTGAGTAACTCAAACATCGCGCATGTATCCACCCTGGTCGGAACTCTGCAGTGGATAATTATTATGACTTAGGACTAAGTTAATGATGCAAAGGACCAAATGTTATACTTTAAACAGAGTAATTCCCCGAAAGTCTGCTTCATGCCAATTGTTAATTGGTTAGGCATCAAGTAGTGTCGTAATCGATACAGTGAACAGAGTTGTAGCCCTTGGAGAATAAAATAATCAACCTCCGCAGATTCTTACACTTCAATTCAGTGAAGATATACCCACCCTCTTCAGTTATTGAAATCATGGGAGGAAAGAAAAATACTTGTTCAAAGTGCCTTTCGCGCAAGGCAAAACCATCTACCAGCTTCGCACCCGAACCCGAACCCGGGCCAGAGCATGTTGAAAACAATGTTGAATCACCTGAGGCCATCGAAGCTGAAGTTGAATACCCTATTCAATCAAGTGAGGCTATTGGGTCAGGGATTTCAGATTCCAAAGATTTATTAGAAGGCCCCTACGAGGACGATAACTCAAGTGGATTTGTCCTTGATACACCACAGTCTGAAGCAACGGTCAGAAGTGCCCAACATGACGATGTGGCATGCATGAGGGTAAATTATGTGAGTCAAAAGTTTGGTTGATGCATTTTGAACTCCGCTTATTATCTGCAAAGGAACATCTGGACTTGACACGTAGTCACATGTTTGTTTGGTGCTACCGGTGTCCGGCAGCCTTGTTGATTGAGTATGAAGGCCATGAACAATTGGACTTCCTTCACTACAAGGATACAGTAGTATTCGAATTCAGTTATATCTCCGCACTCTTGCGACTTGATTCCCGGATAAGAGATCCGATATTCGTAAGTTCTGATTGGACAGGCGGTAAGGCTCAGCTTTTCAGACCGCTTGCTGGACTGGTAGGTGTATCTTACAATACAGTTGTAAGACACCACTGGGTGTATTTTACACGAAATCGGCTGTACAATGCTAGTGCGTTTTGCTTTGTTCCCCTCTTTCTGTCTGCCACAGCATTATTGCACGCTCTAGAGTTACGTATGTGTACTCATGAGCAGATACGACATTCTCACCATTGGCCTATCTAGTGCTTGCCATCTCCATATTGTTCTACATTTTATATCAGCAGGTGAACTCCTCATTTCAAAATAATGACCAACGCATCCGACGCAAGTGCTGAGCACTTCGTAGCCAAGTAAGTACGAGACGTCTTTGGCAAGTAGTAATCTGACCACTTTATCCTCTAGTATCCTTCCACTCTATCAAGGCCCTTCTGTCAAACTTCGAGTACAGCCTAGCAACAAGGAATATATAATTTCCAAAAGCCTTCTCTGCGCGGAATCGCCGGTCTTCTCAAATATGTTCAACGGTAAATTTCTAGAGTCACAGCAGCAGACAGCCACTCTAGAAGAGACCGATGACGATGTCTCGGTGCGTAGCCTTGAAGCACTCTTTCAATGGCTTTACCGACACACTGTCAGGTTTGAGATAGAAGACCCAGGAGAGCATATTTCGGCCGCACTGGAGCTCGCAAGGCTTGCAGACAAGTACGATATTGTTAGCTTGGAAACTACAATGGCCCAATACATCAAGAACATCTTGAAATCCAACCCTCATCCACAGAGCCACAATTATTGGCGACATGTTGATAGCAACACGTACTATCTCACACATGATCATATTGCCTCAGCAACCTTGTTGCCTCGAGAGCATCCCGTCCGAAGTGTTTTGGCTGCAGCATTTGTTGAAGGCTTCCTTCGAAGCCCAGATCACAAGTTCAGCAAAGAGATTGACGCCTACCCTTCTTTCGGAGCTGACATTCTCCAAGAGACTAGGCTTGTCCTACATAGGGTGAAGCCCCTCCGGGCTGCCACTTTTGAAGACCCTATCAGCGGAAAAAGATCAGAGCTTAACTCGGACGTATTCATGTGAGAGCAATCCGGTCGCACGGATGAAAGCTTTCCCGATCCGGGCCTTTAGACCATAAATATTGGCATCTCAGAAACGAGGCCCCTGGCAAAGTCAAGCTGCCGAAAACCCAAAGTTGGCAATATGTACCGAGAGCCCTACCGTATCAGAGTAGTCAATCCATGATAACATCGAGAAATATACACTATACAGTATGTGTGTGTGTGTAATTCATTTACGCTGACCTCTCGTCGAAACGATATACAGCCTACAACTACTATATATATCTTCCTATGTACATAGACCGTGTACCACTTCCTAAGCGAACTTTGAGCCTCGCCGAGGCCTGCCGTGGCCTCTGTGCCGTCATTATATTTATGCTGCCCTCATGGCGCGCGGCTTTGAAACCGTTGCGATGCTTCAGCAAAATCCAAGACGGCCTCCACCGTTTTGGACCGCGAAGCACTATCAATCTTACCTCTTCCTTCCTCACCAGGTCCTCCTAAAAGTGTTGATATGCTGTTGAACGCCTCACCAACCTTAAATCGCAGCTCCCTCCTCAGTTCTCTCAATCGTTCACAATCTAGCAACACGTGGTGAACGCTTTCCCGTTCACCACAAACGCACAAATCGTCGTCTCGGAATCGGAAAGCCTTTGCGTATGTTGACAACCAGCAGTGTCCGGTTCGCAACTGCGTTAATAAGTACGCCCGATTTCTAGGCAGAGAGCCGTAGAGCCGTCTGGTGTACTTGGCCGGTAGTGTGTCGTCGATCTGTCGCAGATGGGCGCCGGTGTTCGACTCGTTCCATTCTTTCTTCCATTGGGCATGGATCCCTTGCCTGATGTGTGCCCTTTCGCGTGACAGCAGAAAGCAAAACGGGTGTGTTTTTCCCGGTACAGCTGTGTCCTTGGCCAGTGAATCGGCAGCGTCGTTCCCAGGTATTTCGCAATGTCCGGGTATCCACTGTAGTCGAATCGATGTGCCGTGAGTCTTGGTGTTCCTCGCTGCTTGTAAAATGGCATGGATGATCTGTTGTCCCGACTTGTTCCCGGGGTTCTGAACTGCTTGCAGGGCCGACTTGCTGTCACTGAGAATAGTGGCAGATCGCACCCGTATATGGGATGTTCTCCAGTGTCGGAGAGCAATCTTGTTGATGATGTTAATGGCGTACAGGATCCCAATGAGCTCGGCGGCGTGAACCGACCATCGCTCCATAGGTCCGACCTGAACTTGTATACTGTCGGTTGTTTCCAGGGATTCATCAAGCACGGTAGCTGCGGCACCTAGGTGACCTTCTCGTCCCGAGGCGTCCGAGTACACCACGATGTCCGCGGTTGACCGTGCAACCTCGGCTCTTTCTAGCGCGATCTCTCTGTCCGATTCAATCTCGATTTCTGAGAAAGCTTCTTTTCGCCATGGTGGTAGCGGGGTTGGGTCAATCATTTCGATTTCCTGCAGTCTCTCCAGGTTCATGGTTTTCAAGGCTTCTGATAGCGGGAACCGAGCGAACGATCCACGATTGTTGCGTCTTCTCTGCGCCCGGCGTAGGGCGCTCCATATAGGATGTTTTTGGGGTAGGGTATGAAGTCTGGTGATGGTATTTTGTGCACGGTAGCGCAGACGAAGGTGAGTTGGCAGCACGTGTGCTTCTACGTCAAGTGCAGTTGTTGCCACCGTTCGGAAGGCAGATAAGACGCGGATGAGAGCCGCTCGTTGCACGGTACGGAGATGTCGTAGATGGGTCTTGTCTCGAAGTGGATCATGCCAGACGGTCGAGGCGTAGTCCACAACTGGTGTGACGCACGCTTCGTAAAGCTGTCGCATTTGCTCTGGGCGAAGCTGTCGCAATCCCCCAAGCGCGATATTGACCTTGGTGGCTCGTTTGACGGCTTGCTGTACGTGTTCCTTCCATCGAAGCTCATGATCGAAGATTACCCCTAAGAGCTTGGCCGTTGTAGATGGCTTGATGACATTGCCATTCATGATAAGCTGGCCCTGGTTCTGTTCTTTCCTCTTCCGGGTAATGTGAATGAGTTCGGTCTTTTCTGCCGCGAAGCAAGACCCAGTTCTCTCGGCCCAGGCTTCGATCCGGGGTATGTCTTCGGACTGGATTTTGGCCAAGTTTCCTTCGGCGCTCCAGCCAACTTGCCAGCGGAAGTAGTCATCGATGAAGGCGGATGCCCCACCGTGAAAATCGACCGGCTGGTCGACTAGATCGCAGTTGAAGAATGCAAAGAGGATAGGTGACAGCGGAGAGCCTTGCGCGAGCCCGGCATTGTCTAGCGGCACTACCTCGGTTTGATAATCGTCGAACCCAATGCTAGCCTGGCGCCCGCTCATGAAGCTCGCGATCCACCTTCGCGCCACCGAGGGGATACCCTTAGATTGGAGGCGAACATCCAGGCTTGTCTTGTTCACCCCGTTGAAAGCTCCCTTCAGGTCAAAAGCCACCAGTGTGACGACCTTCTGCCTATACCAGGCTCGATCGATTGCGTTAGCAAGCATCAGGAGGGCTTGCTCGGTTGTTCGTCCCGGGCGCCCTCCGAACTGGGTATCCGGTAGAAGCCCGTAATGCTCCGCGAAGAAGGACAGCCGCCGGGCCATCACTGCTTCCAGCAATTTTCCGAGTGTGTTAAGTAGCGAGATTGGGCGGTACGCTCCCGGTAGCGAGTAGTCTGGTTTCCCGGGCTTCCGCAGGACTACGATTCGCGCGTTTCTCCATCGCTGTGGGTGGTATCCTAGTTTAATCGACGACGTGAAAATCCGAGTGATGATGGTTCCGAGATATTTCCAGAGACGTTTCCAGACCAACGTGGGCAGACCGTCTTCGCCTGGTGCTGTTGTGCCTTTAGCAGCCTTGAGCGATCGATAGATTTCAATCTCGGAGATTGGATGCCATCGGATCTCGGTAGGGCCGTGAGCGGGTGCTTCCTCTTGTGCAGGCGCCATCGACGGGAAGAACGAGCCCATGAACGCCTGAGCTTTCTCCGCGTTGTCCACTAGCTCCCTGTCGCCAACTTTGAGGGCGGGGACGCAGCCCCAGGAGTCTCGTGGTTTCATGTACGTCGCTGCCTTCCATAATTTCCCTTCACCTGCTTCGTCTAGGAACTGCTTCCAATGGGATGTCTTGGCCTTCTCAATGGTCCGAGTCCATGCCCGCCGTGACTGGCGCATGTCCTCGAACATAGCCTTGGTGCGGGGGTCTGCTCGTCCGATCTCAGCGCAGCTCTCTTGCCACTTGCGTCGTAGGCGGTTCACGTCATGTTGTTGGGCTTTAAGGTCGGCCGTGAACCACCGCTTAGAGTACGGGGAAGGTCTCAGGTCGGGTGTGTGTTTGCCGACTGCATTCGCGGTCGTTCTCGTAAGTCTCTCTACAACTGTGTCTAGCGCCTCGGGTGAGTTTAGTTCTCCGGGTCGCTCCAAGAGATCCTGGACCTCCTTTCCGATCTTCTCCCAGTCCGCTCGGTCGTACGCCTTTCTCGGCTTAGTGGTGAGGTTGCGCCGCGCTTGGAGGTACCATTCTGAATAAGTGCCTCGATGGTCCGAGCCATAGTTGTCGTGGTAGAGATGGCATTTGATGAGTAGATCTGGTCTGTTTGTCACTGTCTGGTCGATCGTAGAATTTCTTCCCGGGTGGCTCAACGACCAGAAGGTCGCAGTTCCCCGAGGGAGACAGCTCTGGAGGCCATGATCATGAAAGAAATTGATCAGTTCGCCGGCGTCCTCGATGAATCGAGGTTGAATGTGGTTGCTCCCCCACGCTGGGTGGTGGCGATTGAAGTCCCCGGCCAAAATAAGGCTAAAGGTTCTGCTATCGTCTCGTATGACGTTTTGAATCGTGTCGTGGATTGCCGATAAGGTAGCCTCCGCCGATGCCCCATCAGGCGTGTGCATCGGTACGGGCGGAATGTAGACTGAGAAGATCAGGATCTGGGAGTCGGCCGTCCAGATCTTGACCGCCGTCAGATCCGGATGATTGCACCTCACTTGTCGGTGAGAGGAGGTTGAGAGTTTGCGATTGACATAGATAAGGCTACGGAATCGAACCAAATCGCTCTCTACTGTAGGTTGGTATAGTCGCCACGCGCTGTGGTTCACGTGTGTTCGGTAGGCAGTAATCGACGGTTCCTGGATTAGGAGCACGTCCAGTTTCTGGCTTTGATGGTCGTTGATGAGAGCTTCCATGCCCGCCTTCGATTTCATGGTGTTTAGTTGTAGAATTCGGAGGTTGTTCTCTAACATTGCGATGGGGGTGCCGTGGCTGGCGTCGGGCACAGCAAGTCTCCAGTCGGATGTTCCCCGCTGCATTCCAGGCAGCGCGCTCTGATTCCCGGAGGACATCTTTCTCGCTCATGTTGGCCGCCACAGTGGCCGCATCGAGGCGTCTCTTTGCACGACCACGCTAGATGGCCGAATCCTTGGCATCGGAAGCACCGTTTCTTTTTGATCTCACACTTTTCCACTCTTCCAATGTACCGTTGATCGATCAACAGGCCATTGTTCAGCATCCACTCTGCTGCCTCTAATGAATCAAACCAGATTCCCATCGAGGCGAACGTTCCCAACTCTTTGTCTCTTTTCTTCAGCCAGGCAATGTCCTCAATTCGGAAGCCGTGGTCTGTGAGGTCGTTCTCGTTTGCGATCTTTTCAATGGCTTCGGTTTTCCTGTTTTCGAGGTCCAACCCAAAGGTCGGGATATGGTGGACAGCTACTCCGAAACGTGGTTTCACCAATCTAGTGTCGTTGCCCAGCTCGGTCAGCCACTCAGTGTTGTTGCGGGCCATTTCGGCCGACGTCTGGTTTTTGAATCGGATCACATATCCGGTCTTGGTAGTACCAATCCCTGCAACCTGTGCGTCCTGGGTAGATGGCGTCTTCAACAGTGCCGTCCTGATGTGGGTATTCGCAGCCGGGGTGGGGAGGTAGCGACCGAACGCGTCTCCGTTATTCTCTGCGCCCAGCGCTTCAGTGACAGATCGCTGAGTGCTGATTCGGACGCAATTCTTGTCTTTGTCAGTTTGTCGCCGGGTCTCCCGGGGTTGCGAGTTGTCTGTGGCGGCTGCAACGGCCGCCCATGATCGTGTCGGGGATGGTGTGTTCAGCCCGTCTACCTGCGACCGTAGCGCTAGGATCTCCTCCTGTAGCTTCTCATTCTGAGTTTGAAGCTCGTTCTGGTTATCTTTCACTTCTCTCAGTTCGCTCCGGGTGGCGTGAATGAGCGTGGTTTGTTCTTCAATGGTGTGTTGCAGGCGTACAATGATCTGCCAAATCTCTCTGGTTGTCACTCGTCCAGTGCCGGTTCCGGTATTGGTGAGCTCCACGGGTTCCGGGGCCGCGTGGGTCTGCTCGCTTTCCACTCGTGTATGTCTCCTGGTGCGGACCGTGGTCGTTGGTGTACGGTTTTCCGGTGCGTCGATCCCTGTGCCTCTTCGCGTGGTTGTGGTGGCAAGGGGCGCGGGAGCCCCCATGGGTGGGTCCGCCATCCGTCTGGTGTTAGTTCCCGCTCGGCACACAACACAATAATGTTATATCGCAGTGCTCAAGAAACAGTCCCAAAAAACAGTCCCCAAGTCAGTGAGTCGTCCCTGCGCTCCATTTCCTACAGTAGAATTCGAAAACAGATTACCCTTTGGACACTCACGCTTTCTTTCTCAGCGCCCCACTCCTATCACGCTAAACTGAATTCAGTCAAGGAAAGTCCCCACCATCTTTTCTTGATGTACTTCCGGTAGATCACCAAAATTACCGTAATTACAGTTCCCGGCATTGGGCGGACCATACTTGCCGAAACACCTAGTGGCCATTAATAGAATCAGAAAACCGATCACCCCACAGTTTGTTTCTCCAGCCATAACCGAAATGACACCAGGCATATACATATGGTTGCTATTGAACCAGCTCTTGTCTAGCAGTATTATGGTACAGATGGTATATTTATGAAGTCATTAATCGAGCGCACCCCTAATGACACCACACGATTATACTCTAACCGACACCGGACACGTTACAAGAGCAAACTTTTCAGAACAGCCTTAATTTCAACAGCTTGTCTTAAGCTGAAGAAATGCTAAGTTCGCGCCACTTCTTGTCGGATGCACTGAGTGCCTCGGCAGCCTTCCCAGCATAGTCAACTGCATCAGGGCCAACAAGAAGGCGCAAAGGAGGCTCCTTTTCATCCAAGAGCTTCAGCACAATATCTGCAATCTTGCTCGGGATAGACGCCTCGCTTCCAGATGACTTGCGAAGGTACTCGGCAAAGGCACCGACTGTTCCCCGGTAGGGCTCGCTCACCGGGGGAACCTGCATGGACGAGCCAGCCCAATCGGTCCTGATACCACCGGGCTCAAGAACAGTGATCTTAATACCAAAGGGAGCCACTTCTTGAGACAAAACCGTGGAGAATCCACCGACGGCCCACTTAGCACACTGGTAGGCCGAAAGGCCAGGGGCACCGATACGTCCCCCAAGCGAGGAGACCTGGAAAATATGGCCTGACTTCTGCTGACGCAAGATAGGGAGCACGGCCTTGGAAACGTAGACTACGCCCATGAGATTGGCATTGACCTGAGCGCAAAAGTCCTCGACATCGATATCTTCGACGGCGGCAGTATTGGCGTATCCTGCGTTATTGATAACGACGTCGATTCGTCCAAATCTCTCGAATCCGGACTTGACGGCTTGGACGACTTGGTCGTTGTCGGTCACGTCGAGAGCGACTGGGAGGACGCGCTCGATGCCAAATTTCTCGACCAGGTGGCCGAGCTGTTCCGGTTTGCGAGCGGTAGCGATAACAGAGTCTCCGTTGTTGAGAGCAGCTTCGGTGATGGCAAGGCCAAGACCGCGGGAGGACCCAGTGATAAACCAGATTTTTGCCATGATAAGAGATAGGCGTGGGGGAAAGAGAAAAAGAATGGACCAGATTCTCGACGTTGAAGTTTGAAGGGATAGTAATAATCTGAACATAAAAAAAAATAGTTATAGCAAGACTTTATAGATGTTCGGCGTTAATAGACCGATGACGTGGTCCACGCGTGCGGGCGCAGGGTGGTTTTCGTCTATGGGCCACTAAGTCGGCTCCCTCTTGAGCGGCTGCAAGTCCGATCAATTGTACTAACCCTATTTAGTTAGCGCCTTGTCATCATCTCCATCTAAATTTTAACTCTATGTGAATAGTTATAGACAGCGTTCTACTTCTGCCGAAAAAGTCACGATCGGCCCACTTATAGAAAATATGCACGGTAGCCGGATTTTCTGTCCTAACGCCGATAAAATCGAAATGCCCGGTAATCTCCGAAAGTAACAGCACTATTAGATGACTTTCATGCTGGGTGGTGCCGACTGCTGATCACCTCTCCACCTTTCGATATACTGTCCTAAACTTGTAGTTAGCCGCGTTATAGAGCTTTAAGGTAACAACAAATAAGACTTTTTAGGGCTTTTTCTTTTTCGATTTTTGGTTAGTGATTCAAGAAATTTGCTAACAACGGTCGGGAGTTTCTCCGCCCTTATTAGTGCGAGTGTAGGTGTCATCCCAGAACATTTCTATATCCACGCAAAATTTTTGAGATCTGCCTACTATTGATCCCTTAATATCAGACTTTATCATATTGAGGTTTCAAGGATACATTGACACATAATCATTCAAAAGGTTTCACACCACTTAATATAAAGAAGTGCAGTGGCCATAATGTATTTCTTTTAACCTAGACGTGACGCTAGTCCAGAGCTGACTCAATATCATTATATCGAAGGAATATTCAAATCAATACGCTATGCAAGGAATCCCCCATCCACGGCAAGCCGAGTACCCGTGATGTAGGAAGCATCATCAGAAAGAAGAAACGCGATGGCGGTTGCGCACTCCCTTCCCCTACCCATACGTTGCGCTGCGATTGTGGCTGCAACCTGCGCAGTTTCTTCGGGGTTGGTTTTCGTCATTGGAGTTTCTATAACACCGGGTTGGAGTTCGTTGACTCTAATGTTTCGAGTTGCCCAGTCTATAGCAGCAACACGGGTCAGACCACGAATGGCATGCTTGCTCGCCGAGTAAGCAGCACGTTGAGGTATACCACGGTCGGCGAAGACGCTTGACACGTTGACGATAGCTCCGCCGCCCGCTTTGTCGATGGCTGCAAGCTGGGCCTTCATGCAGTAGAAGAGTGATGATAGGTTGATAGCAATGGTTTGGTCCCAAACCTCCTTGGGGAGGTCGGGGATTTCACAGTTCTGGCCGGAGACACCGGCATTATTGACGGCGTAGTGGAGTGCACCGAACTTGTTCAGAGTATCTTCCACGACTTTCTCGACCATATGTAGGTCGGAGACATCTGCTACTGCAACAAGAACATCCCCACCCAAGCTTTGGATCTTTTCCTCGACCTCACGGAGCGGACCTTCTGTTCTGCCGACAATGACCACTCTGGCGCCTCTTTCGGCAAGGAGCACCGCAGTATCTGCACCAATTCCCGTGCCTGCACCAGTCACAATGACCACTTTATATGAGCTTCCGCATTCGGGGACATCCTACCATTCACTTGGAGTTCTTGTGCGATTTCCTATCTCGTATACAGCCACATGTAAACGATAATGTAGCGACCATCATCCATACGTCGGAGTTCGGAGACTCTGGCGTTGTCATGGCCTCGTTGACAAAGATCAACTCTTACAATACGACGCATCTAATTGTCCATGTGCCTAGGGTTGCTGATGCCACATATATGAGGTACTCCCATGGGATAGCGTTGCCCACCGGGATTGGTCGGAGTCTCTGACCTCTTTTGTAGGCAAATAGTACAGAATTTGAGCTGGAGGTGCAAACTGCTCTCGCTGTACCTATTTTTCGGGAAAAAGACATTCAGCTGCTCCGCTGTTTCCAAGCACAGCCTGACTTCCTGAAGTAAGGTACTTCCTTGCTCATGGTCTGAGATTCGACGAGGCTGAATGGAAACAGATGCCTTTTTATGTCTGGCTCCTTTTTCTGCTTCCCTTTCTAAATAGATGCTCTGTTTAGCGGGGGAATTGAAGGCTTATCTGGTTCAAACTTCCATATAGGGTTCAATACGGCACATATTAACATGCGGCTTCTTAAGGACATTCCAGTCATTCCGGAGCAAAGGCCGAAGTATTTGCGTGAGACCTGGCGATGTCGGTTTATAACAATAGTGATACGGCTCGGGCTACATGAAGCTTGCGCTACCCCTAATTTGTGCTATTGTTTTCTCAAGGTTACAAACCCCAGAAGAGCTTGGTGGTATTTCTTTTTACGTTGCATCTGAACAAGAATCTTGAACTTTCACCAAGTTTCTATTCCACTTTCCAATTTTGTGTTTCAAAGCCTTAGTATAAGTGGGGCATTTTGGACAAATTCATTTTGTTTGGCTTCGCGAGAGGGTTATAGGGTCGATTTTAATATCAACAGGACTACGGACCCCAACGCAAATTTGACAACCCCCGTCTCTTACCTCCGACTCAATGGATGCAATGATAAGCTGCCATTACTTTATTAAGGCTTTTTCTTTTTAGTTCACTAACGTTTGCCTGTGACATAACTGAACTACTCCAACTAAACACCTATATTCCTTTTGAACACATCTCAGAATTCTCGAATCTATTCAGCCAAGCCCACAGTCCGTGGTATAAGCATCCCGTTCTCGGGAGGGCATGTTGAATGAGAGCATAATCGGCGGGCGAAAAGGTGTCGGTCAGTGTCATGAGCCGAACACTGCAATTGAAACCTTTTGCACCCTATTTCATGATTTTTGGACCAACAATACCCAACAATAACACTCTATCGCATAGACTAGTCGTATTTGTACAGTAAAGGGTTTTTTTCGAATAAATCAAACAGCCTATGTAATTTTGGGCTAATTCAAGGCCAAGTGCGAAAGTTGCCCTCCTCATTCAAGTGACCTTCAAGGTAAAGTGCGATTCTACAATTGGAAGCTGCTTCAATGGCGCCTCTCACGTCACTGCCATCTTTTGCCCGAGGGTCCTTGTAAAGACGCTTGACGACCTGTTCATGTCCATTCCGAGCTGCTTTGCACAATGCCGTCTCCCCAAATCTATCAGTAGCAGTAACATCCAGTTCTTTTTCTGCAAGCAAGAGATCTATAATAGCCAAGTGTCCATGGTAAGCGGCCAAGGAAAGCGCAGTGTCTCCCATGTAAGTTTTGAGATTGATGTCGGGTGGCGTTGTATGTTCAAGGAGTAGCCTTGTAACTTCAAGGTGGCCCATCTCGGAGGCAATACAGAGAGGCGAGGTGTTCCAAAATTGTTGATTGACATCGATGGTATCAAAACAAAGTAATCGACGTACAACTTCCAGATGGCCTTTTTTGGCGGCATGGAAAAGGGGAGGGGCCTGTTGCACGTTCACTTGTATATCTCTCCTTGCGAGAAATAGCTCCAACATGCGTAAATCACCATTGGAAGCAGCGTAGGTGAGAGGCGCCCATTCATCGTCATCACGAATATTAGGATCTAGATCCTCATGGTCAAGAAGGACACCTAAATTGCTATATTTCCCGTTCTCACCGCATAATGAAGAACTGTCCTGCCATTTTGGCCTGCCACGTTGATATTTACGTGGTCTTCTGCAAGAATCTGCAAGGCTAAGGCCGTATGTTTTGCCTGCACAGCTAAACAGAGTGCTGTTGCTCCATTAACATCTAGGGTGTTGATATCCACATCACTAGAACTCAACAGAAGCCTTGTAATTGACTTGTGGCCATATTCTGCTGCGATGTGGAAGGCGGTGCGACCGTAACTGTCTCTCGCGTTGACGCAGGTCTTTTTATAAGTAAGTAACTCTCGAACTACCTCTTTGTAACCTTTTTCTGTGGCTTGATGCAACAGGTTTTGGCCGTGCCTATTCCTCGAATTGGGATTTGCACCATTGGCAACCAGTAGCGAGACGATATCTTGGAGGCCCGCCTGTACAGCTCGGTGGAGCAGACGGTCCCTGAGATTGCCATCCTGCAGTAAGGACTTCCCTGAGCTAGGCGCTGAATGGAGGAGTAACATTCGGGTAATATTCACGCTTTTGTTGGCAATAGCAAGGCTAATTGGTGAAATTCGTTTGTAGTCTGGCGTTCGTATATCGCTACCCTTTTTCAGAAGGACTTGCACCAGATTCTCATCGCAATGTGCAATGGCATACCAGACAGCAGACCGCTGCTTGCCATCCTTTTTATCCAGACATGGCTTGAAATCCAGTAGAAGTGAGGCGGCAGACAAAAGATTCCTGCTCATGGCGTATACCAGTGGAGTCTGCTTGTATTGATCTTGCCAATTGATATCCGCTCTCTTATCGGAGAGGAGCATGTGAATAATCGTCTCGTTCTCAGCGCGAATCGCATGAAAGATGGGTGTGCGAGATTTTTCATCTGTAGTGTTGGCGTCCGCTTGGTAATTGCCCAACATCTTTCCTACAAATTTTGGATCGCCTCGGACAACACCCCAAAGTAAGGCAGAGCTGCGTTGTCGGCGCACGTTGAAATTGCACAGGTAGGGAAGGAAAAGAGCGTTGGTTGCTCGATTGAGGCACGCCAGTGCAAGTAAATCCTTGGCTTTGTTCAGACTGTCTGCTATGCAAAGAAGAACTTCAAGAGGAAGACCAAGGAGAAACATCTATACGTTTATTAGCTTATGCACGTGGTCATGCCGTACATAGTAGCACCAGGTATACTCACATTGACTTATATCGATAGCTGAGAGAAGGAAGGAAATGGTGTACTATTTTATATATATCATCCGAAACTCATTGTGACACTACGTTTGAATTTAAAACGCGGGATAACGTTGTTCTTATAGGCAGAATAAAGAGTCATTGACAAATTGCCTGGAAAGGTAGAGATTCCTAGGAAGCGAGAGTTGGGTATCCGGATCCCTGCTTTGTGAGTAATTCTGCCCACGGGTTATTCGAGGTACAGTAGTAGTTCAGAATGGACAAAGATTCCTAGGAACCAATAGAGCGCAAAAAGTTCTGCTCGCCTTAGCTCCTAGGAATGGGGTAATAAATGGTCCCATGGGAGTTGTACAGGGCACAGAATTGTGCGACATGTGTTGTACACGATTGGGGTTCTCCATTTGGGATCGCAAAAAAAATTAGCTATGTTGAAGCTACAGTCCCTTCCCCAGTAAACTGAGTACTGCAAGAACTAAACTATCTTTGGTCCTTGCTCCGAGCAGCGTCACAGAATAATTCCAAGAGTCTTCGAGTTTGCTACGATGAGCTTATACGAGATGAGCTGCGGAGCAATTTTACGCTCTACCGAGCCCCGTGGCCTGAAACTGTATTTAGAATGACCACATTGGTCTGCTCAGGGGGTGCAGGATTATGTACCGAAGCCAATATGAAATAGCCTCCTAGGAGATTAGGTTATTTTCGTCACCTTTCTCGGAGATTTTTGTGTTGTTGATCAAGCAGGAATCAGATATAAAAGGGCTTTGTGCCGCCGTTGATTGCGTAAAACACACTTACTTTCATTACCGATCCTTCAAAGCCTGTGGAAAGTTGCCGGTATTCACACCTCAATTAAGAGCCCAGCCTCAAGTCAACCCATCCTTCCTCATAGCACGGCGTCAAGTGCGCTTGATGCCACCATGCAACGGACAGAGTATGCTCGCACCTCCGTCGACGACAGCGATGAAGACACCATCATTCTAGATCTGTCCGGTGCTGGGCAAGGCAATGCATCCGGATTCAGCAATAACGATCATGGCACAACGGGATCAGCCGTTCAATCTTTCGTCCCTCTTGTCGATCTCACCATCTCGACTACCTCTTCTCCCACGCAGCTTCCAACTAGTCCGGTCTATGCTCTCATAAATACCATCGATATCAAGAGGAGTCCGGAATGTTTTGCGTCCTTACCTACGCAGGGAATTGTGGTGATAATAAAGAAGAGAAACCACTCTAATCAATGTGCCAAGCTCCGCTCGTTGACTAGAAGGCCCAGCTCTCTCAGAAAGGGATGTATACTTTGCCTGGATGAAAGGCAGGATGGATTGGTCGATCTACAGTGCACTAGCTGTACCCAGCTCATGCACTTAACGTGCTTCGAAGAGTGGGTTTCTCGGCGCGATAGTCAGACTACCCACATGTGCCCAATATGGTATGCATAAAAGGCCATCTTGGTCGATCCTTCCCTTCTATATGGCGAGGTATTAAGCTAATCAAATTACAGCCGGACGTATCAAGTCGATCAACAATTTGATGCCTTTCATTGTTCATCTGAGGAGGTGACGGAGGAATTTACAAATATGGAACGCTACCAACGCTGCTTGAGCACAATTGAAAAAGCTACTAAAGCTTCAGAATCTGAAGAGCAAATCACCATACAGCATCGCCTCTCCCAAGCCTCGAGGTCGCCGCCAAAAACATCGCTGGCTACGAGGCAACAAGCCCGTTTGGTAAACACACGGCCTCGGCGGTCGAGACCGCGCAGATCGGTACGCAAATCGCGCTACAATGGCAGCTACCCTTCCTAGGTTATTTTTTTTACGTCAAGGCATGATTGCATGGAGATAACAAATTTTTTGTTTTCCCTTTGCTATGAAAGCCATCGATAATCATTGAGATACAGACGCGCTCGAAACAAGTTTCTTCCATTTCTTCTCTTTGGACCTTTCCGGGCCAATGAGGGACGATGGGTTGAAGTATGGAAAGAGAAAAAAAAAGCAAGAAGGGAGCAAGAGATAGTGAGCTTGTTCACGGATCCGAGCTTGCTATAAAGTGTAAAATGTCCCGGGAAAGTGAAAGCCATACTGGTCCATCTTAACGGCTTTTGAGAGGTCAACCATATTTCATCTAGTCGTGAGAAACATTGCTAGTCGGTAGCCAATTTGCAATCATATAGTTTATTTCGGCTTCTATCCGATTACCTTTTACTCTAGCAAAGAATGGGTCTGTTGAAACGCTTGAGCTTATCCCTTGGATATATCAGCAATTACTTGCTTTAGGAGTATGTTCTCCGCAGGTTCACCAGCACAAAAATTTTTAACAGAACTATACATGGTCTTGCTGATTTTCATGCAAATAAACTTGTTCATACAGGCATGGTTGGGGCCTTCTTCGGTCGGAAGGGCACATCATATGTGCGGTATAATTATCTCTACAGCAGCCCCTCCTTCCGTCTTTCCTGTATTCTTCCATCAGATGTCCCTTCCGATGCTAAATCGTTCCCCGAAGTACTGACAGTCATTCGTATCTCTTTTGTTCGCTGAACCATCAGCTAACCGTGATATCTCATCTCTCAAATTCCGCATGCGCTTTGTAGTTTCGTTGGGTCCTCTTCCTGTAAAGTCGATCCTCTCCACCTTCATATGCAGTTATATAGACAGGATAAAGTCTGCCGGGTGGGGCCTTTCCTATCTAGGCTGCCGCCGCTTTATGAGGGCGCTCATGCTCAGGATCACTGAGTAAACGTCAGTACGGGCTCAGACTCAGTGATCATGCTCAGTCCCATCACGTGACCGATGACTAATGCTCAGTGATTGCTCAGTGATTGCTCAGTTGTGCTCAGTGATTGCTCAGTTGTGCTCAGGGATTGCTCAGTGATTGCTCAGTGATTGCTCAGTCGTGCTCAATGTCGGCTCAGTGAGTGCTCAGTGAGTGCTCAGGCGTACTAGGTGATTCCTTACTAAGCCTCAAGTGAGCACCCTCTGATTTGGCCAGCACAAAAAATCGACCATACTCAAAATAGACGGACCCACAGGGCCATTTATTCCGTAATGGCTAGTCCGTCGGTCATGTTTGGGCTGCCCTCGTTTTCTGACTACCCTACCCCATCAGTGATTTGCGTCATATCTGTCGTGCAGGGAATAAAATGGAAATAGTCATGCATTACCGGGCGATAATGTCAAAGTCTACAATTTCTAGAGGTGGCTCGAGCTCAAAATGTCAGGTACAAAAGGGGATCATGTCCAACTCTAGATATCTCATGACTCCTTTCGAATTCAGATCGCTTTCCTCGAGCAGTGCCTCCAAGCTTAGATCAGACAGCGTCTTCGATAATGGGCAGACAGCTATTTCTCTCCGAGCGCGATGAAAAGGCGAAAGAGAAGCGTCGACTCCTTAGAGAGAAGAATGGCTTCGTCCCCGGAGCACACAAGGAGGAAGATTCCATTCGAAACAAAAACAAAAAACTTCCCAAGACAAAGAGGTTGCATCAAGAGAAATTCGGTCTTTGGCTCGAGTATGTTGAGAAAAATGCCGCCAAATCGTTGCTGACTTTTTCCTAGCTTCACGGCAGATCCCGAAAATGGATATCAGGATTACAAAACCTTTGAGGGGTGTGAGGCTCCGAGCCATGACATGGTGAAACAATTCATTCGGTGGCTTGCAAAATCTACATTAGGTCGACTTACCGAGGGCAAAGAGCCAACTGTGAGGTCTGCTCAGGCGTGGGCTGAGCAGTTCTTCGGTGGTTTCGCTGAATTTACCAAAACCGAAGTCATTCCAGAGGATCGAACGGAAGTCTACCAAGTAAGTCCATCCGTGTTTTCTTCTGAAGTAATCAATGGACGGAATTAATTTTTTATCGAACGGGAAATAGTGGATCAGGAATACCTTGACGCTAGATAAAGTTGTTGTGAATAAGAAAAAGCAGAAATACAACTTTACAAAGGACGACTTTTTGAAAGTCGTCTCCTCGATATGGCAAATTGATCATAAGAAATTCATTCCTGGGCTGATCAAAGTTGACATACTATTTGCTCTTCAACTATATCTTTTCACTGGAGCAAGGGTTGGAAGTTTTATGCCCTCGGATGAGAACAAACACCAGAGAGGCCTTCGATACGAAGTTGGTGAACTACCATTCCTAACGATTATTCTGTTCTAACGCCTGATATTAGCACATCGACTTGGTTCTGTTTCCTTCGCGCACCGATCCTTGGGAAGTGGGATGGAGGGTCAACCAGGTTTGGCTGAAGAATAATCGAGATTCAGAATATACAGTGTAAGGCTGGAAATTCCTTGATTATCACTTGATTGCACTAATATGTTTCAAGGTTCGGAATTGGTATCCGAGATAGCAGCAAACCGCAGTTCGCATCTGGCGAGGTCCTCCTCAGCCTTGCACTGGAACACGGCGCTCTTTTTGGGATTGAATCTGTAGCGGATCTGGCACAATACGACCTGTCAAATGGGGAAATTCCACTGCGATGGAAGAAAGATTATTTGTCAAAACCAATTTTCCGCAACGTTACAGCCGACGGACCTCAAGACATCCCTCTAACGCAAGGGAGGTTCACTAATTACCTGCACCAAATCTTCGTCGCAGCTGGGTATACCAAGCACCCCACAATACATTGTTTGCGTCGAAATCTGGCAAAGGAGGTTGAACGTAAGTGCTTTCAACTTGACTGTAAGATCTGCGGACTGACGCCCTAGGCAGAAAGGTATGGCTCTGCTCCAGTTTCGCAGATTCTTGCACATCGTGATCCAAACACATTTCCCGAACATTATCAGGCCCATTGTTCTTCTATAGACACTGTGTCGGCCATACTAAATGAGGAACCACAATCGCAACACATTGAGTACTTCCAGGGCTATGGGCAATTTTGTGAACCCGGCTTGCCCCTTGAACTGCCAGCGCACATCAAAGAAAGTATTTTGATGCAACCGGAAATGGTGGAAATACAAAATCGGATTGAAAACTTTGAAAGCTGCAACGATGAAGTTTCACTTCGGGCAGAGAAGTTGAATTTACGTGAATCAATGGTACGAAAGCGTCGATTTGAGCTCAAGCAGTATCAAAGTCAATGGGTACAATGGAGAAGAGACCAGAAAATCCTTAGTCGCGGCAAAGACAAACCGGTCTTATTGGAAAATGACATTTTCACACGAGCTCAGAGCCTAATAATGCCGGAGGTAGGGCGAATTGCAACAGCTATGGCCCTCACTACTGAGCTTTCCTTTAAAGAGAAACTTCTCTTTGTCCAAGACCTACAGACTCAGTGTTCCCGCGATTTTGATGTTGTCTATTTACCAAATGAAGAGCCTATTGAAGGGCTCTGCCCTTCAAAACATTGTCAGGTCAATATTGAAAGGTAAGTGGTCTTCTTTACAAATCAGATTACAGGTACCAACACACTTTATAGCTTGAAGAAATGTGAACGAAGCGCTCACACTCATAAATGCATACGGCGCGAGAAAGCGATTGATTTACAAGTCTCAGAAGCACGAATGAGATACTGTTATGAGTGCATGGAATGGTACTTGTCCCATCAGTGGCGAGATCATTGCGCCGAACATCTCCAGTCATGGCAAACCCGACACTGTGAAGTAATCAAATATCGTCATACCGTCATTCGTCCTGGATACTGCCCCTTCTGTTTGTCGGACTCAGATCTTCCAGCCGACAAACGCTTGGATTATTGGCCGCGAAGTTGTAACCTGAGAGAACATATCGAGAGTCAACATATTCCAAATATTGATTGGCCCCTTTCAAAACCATTATGTGGATGTATCCAAACATTTGACAGTGAACGCCAGTTGCGATATCACTTGCACGACAAGCACGGACTTCACCAAGCTATTTGGAAATCCCCAAAACTACCGAGAAAGAGGAAGCGCTCCAGCAGGACTATAGAGGAAACTTATTTAACGGAGCCAATTGAGGAGCAGCCTAAGAAACTCCGCTTTTGTTCCTATTCATTTCCAACTCAGCAGTTTGATGACCAAATATTCAGCGAGAAATTCTTGCCTGCCCCGCATTCTGAGTCATTTGCCACAGAGGACCCTCAAAAGGATTTGTCCAAAAGGCCCAACAGTCTCTGCTCGAGTAGCCGAAGCAGCTTTAAATCGGGATTCTCCGCGGTCAATTCTCCTCTAAGCTCTCGGCCAACGACCCCTGGGCTTGAGGCGATCGATCCAAAAATTCTTGAGCCCATTGGCTCCGGCAATGGAATTGAGCAACAGGCTTGTGATGAAGCCGCCGCCGGGTTGAACTCACTAAGTCTCTCTACCACCGATTTCGACACCAAAAAGATGTCGCTTACTTACACAATGAGATCGAATTCACCTGCCTCAGACCTTGCCTCCGAGCAGCCTGGTTGTGACATTGACGACGAAGCAAGACAAAGCAAGAAGTCCTCCCGAAAGGAACCGCCCACTTCAGAGCCTCCTAACGTTGTGGACATTTTAGAAATTTTTCCAGAAAAAGATGGGGCCAAAAACGATGAGGGAGAATATGAAGGCAGTCTCCAAGAGAAGGCAAGCGATCGAAAACCGCGCTGTCATATTCCAATTCATCTCACCAAGACGAGATCACAACAGCCTCGGCATCATTTGGCTGAACCGAGCCCTCAAAAACTGCGACAGAAACTCTATGCAAAGGAGAGAAGAAAGATGCTTGAATTCAAGAGCCAGAATCTGACCTTAAGGCAGATTGGACCCCGCTTCGCAGACATAGATACGGCGTTTCTGCGACAGGCCTGGCAGGATTTAGAGCTTCCCCAGCGATGCACCAGATCCGGGGCTAATCGGATGGCCCGTCAGAGGTATGCTCGCTAAGTCGTTCATACAAGTCGAGCGCAATGTCGTGTGTCAATCATAGTCTATTTGTACATAATTTATTAACAAACATCCATCTGCCTTCAATGTTATAATGTCACTACCCAAGACTCCAGCGACAGGCACTCTCGCTGCAGCGAAATAATGGATGAAAGATCTTGTAACATTCTCCAGAGCTAACATTTCTAAGAAACTCTTCTATCGGGATGTTAGCCGTCATTCGTGCTAAATTTAAGTCTGGAGAGGTTCACTGTGTAGAATCGTTTTACGATAGCGAGTCTGAACGCAATTTTTTTTGACGAAAACCGATTACAGCCGGCTTGTCACAAATCAAAATACCGTTACATTACTATTACACGGTTGCACCGCCACATTTCACAGGGCTATGCTCAGTAGGTACTTACCGGATGTAATGTAGCGTAATTGTTATGTTTTTGTTTGTATGATACGACATAACCTTGGGCGTGATCTACTTACTGCCTCGGAGCTTTCTTATTCTTTGATATTTTTGATTGACCGGGACCACGTAAACCGAAAAGTCGTCGTCGTCATCATTTTTACTTAGCCATATCAGTAGCTGCATTATCCAAGTAAAAATATTTCCTTCCAGATCCCCGCGGTTACTATCATAGAATCAGAGGAGCTAGAGGAAAGCTTCTTATCCAAGATCCGACAAAAACATATCGGCCAGTGCCAGCCTGTTTCGAATAATTTTTGATACTTTCAGGGCAGGTCATATTTGCTTATAGGTGCCCAATGGCAGGTTTAAGATATTTTCTAGTGGGGGTATTCAAGAGTCGGTTCCTGGGAGCAAACTATGACCCCATTCTGGCCTGTTCATCAGCTCCCGGAAGCACCCTTGGTTTGTTCCTAGAAATAATAATAGCCACCATGAAGCGTTTCATGGAAGCAGGGTTGTAAACTGGCTGCACATCGTGCATATTGCTCCTAGGACGGATTGCATATGTCGTAGGATTATGTGCGCGTTGGACCTGGTGAACTAGGGTATACGTCACGGTTTTGCCCCAAAACCACTGGCTACTGTAAGCCAGTTCCAAATTCCAAAGACGAGCTATAAAATCTGGTTGAATCCCCATGGATGATGAAGTATCAAATTTTCTACCGGAAATCGCAATTATAACAAACCGACTCTTTATTTTACTCTTTTTGCCTCGAGTACTCATATTCATCCCGCGTCAATTCCAATCTTGATATTTGGGAATTCATCTTCGGACTTTCGATTCAGCAAGTAAGAGACAAAATCCGCGTACTGCCAGTGTCAAAACGATTCACCGGAGTCACGTTGAGCTTTGGGTTGGTTAAGTAGCCACAATATACTTTCTCGGTTTCCTTGTTTACTGATTCCTCAAGTTTCTTGTTGACAGCGGGAGTGTTCCAGTCGGCTATAAGCTGGAGGAGGGATCTTCTGTTCCCAATACTACCATGATCAAAGAGTTCATGCTGTGGTATGTACCACAGTATGAACTCTAAGGGCGTCTTCAACCAGATAGAAGACCTACTGTGAAGGATACACCTGGTATGCGCAGAAACGTTTTTCAGTGGCTTGGAGACAGCTAACGGGAACATAGTTGCCGCAGAGGACCGTTCAGAGGTATACAGGGTTAGTATAGCAAGTTGCGAAATTTGATGGTGCCGGCTGGGGCTTACCTTCTAAGAGTGGATCAAATTTGACCTGCATGGTCGCGGGGCTCATAGGAGAGTTTACTAAAGAGGCACAAGGCTTACAAGCTTTGCTTCTTGTGTCTCTGCAAAACCGGTAGCTTATTTGCTAGCCGTGATTCTTCCAATCACTGTGCAACGCTGATAATCAAAGGACAAACTGGCTCCAAATCGTCACTACATTGTTGGGCGAATGGGCCAACTGATCTCATTCAAGCTTCCACCCTCAATTTGACACAGGGCCGCATTCCAGCAGTCACTTTCGTCCATATGATCTTAGAAGACAGTTGTTTCAATACAGTAGAAGCCGCCCAATGTGCATGGGTAACACGCCTCAATTGACAAAATACACTGAGATAAAACCAGAACAAAAGCATGGCTAGCCTCGTCTCTGGTCAAAAATGTGACCAGGAGGCCGGAAAATAATTTTTGGTAGGAAAATGCGGAGGGCTAGAATTACACAATTTTATTGCACGGTAAATCATGGATAACTCAAAGCTCTGCCATATCTAACTGCGATATTTGATGGCAACTTGGACGTCTAAGTTTATAGTATGATAGACACTGCTTGAGGGCACTATAGTAATAAACAGGCAATTAATTAATGGCAAGGAAGGGCGTGTAGACATGAACAATCTGTTCAAATCGGGTTTGAATGACTGTGGCCAATAATTATATGCCTAGAAAATAGTTGACCAGGTTAACTAGCCCGTCGAACCAACACTCCTCTGTCTTTTGCACGGATTTCTATGTTATTACCAACCCCCAACATTTTCTGCCCGCGAAACTTACTTTTCTGCTTCCCAGCCACATTGAAATGTTTCTCTTGACCAGAGTAGCCATTTCACAGTGTGCTTTTGTCCAATTATTATAACCTTTTCGAAGCTAGCTGTGCATTTAGGCGTTCGCCTCACATTGAGTCATAACCTTTCTTTACGGCTTTATAAACACCGTCTTACACGACCATATTTACATGAGGGCCCGCGATGGCAAATTGATGAAGTTGAATTGAGCAATCATTTAGTTGTGTTACTGTAATTCAGGACCGCTGTTTTTTCATTTTTCACAATCCCTACCATGTCTGTTCATGTAGATACGTACAAAACCTGAAATAAGAGAACTGCACGTGTTCGATGTCTACTTCATTGTTGAAATCATGCACATAATCAACGGTACGAGCCAATTCCAGCACGCAAGGCCCACTTATCGTGACCTAGGTGATATAATTCCTGCATCAGACTTGGGGGTGTCTGGCTATTAGGTAGGAAATGCGCGTAATTTAGAGTGGAGACTGTTGTCTAGCCAATAATATTCAACAGACACCCTACTTCTTTCACTGATAATACCCATGCGCCACCCACCTTCTCTCGGTCGACTGGTTATCTGGGTTCTGTGCGTGGTCCGTGGCTTCCTTCATTAGTCTCACTGCATAATCTACAGTATTTCCGGAAATCGGTGTCACCACCTACACTCTTTCATACTTTCCTAAACCTAATGCCAAGATCAACTAGTCTCGATCAAGAACAGGAGCGGAAAATAGATAGTCATGTATTATGTCTTGATCTGTATGGGTATTGTAGCTGGAACTATCCGTTGAAGTGCAATTAGATCAAACACTTAGAGCCGGAGCGTGTCTGGAAGATCTGGCAGTATGCTCTTTCCCCCCTGTAACTCTCATGCCGAACTAATGACCTACCTAAAATACCGCCTTCTACTTCTCGCAATAATTCCCGAGACGGAGTTTTTAGTATGAAGACAAGTAGTAAACTCCAGCTGTCCCAAGCTCTCCTTTTGTACAGAGATTTGAAAATAAGAGACCTGAGTGGAAGAACACGAAAAACGTAGTTTATATGATATGCGTAAGGAATCTTGTAACCAAGACCCGCCCATCCGCGTACCCGAGGGCAAGTGTGGCATCCTTGACAGCCTGGCACACAAATGAACGATACTCAGCCGGGAGCCATAGTACATTCTCACCTCCCAAACTAACCCAGTTATTCGATAATGATATCTGGCAATCGTCAAGACCTTTTTCGAGAGTTGGCGTGAGTCCATCAGGAGAAAAGGCCCCCGAATTAACCACATGTGAATGGCCCTCTAGCTGCGTGCCGGTCGCCGTATCCCAGAGCTTGATGGTGTTGTCTTCCGAGCCCGATGTCAGGGTGAGTCCATCGGGAGAGAAGGCGATTGAACTAGCCCAATTTGAATGGCCCTCTAACGTCCGCCGCTGCGTGCCGGTCGCCGTATCCCAGAGCTTAATGGTGCGGTCATCCGAGCCCGATGCTAGGGTGAGTCCATCGGGAGAGAAGGCCACCGAACAAACCCAACCTGAATGGCCCTCTAACGTCTGCCGTTGTGTGCCGGTCGCCGTATCCCAGAGCTTGATAGTGTTATCACTCGAGCCTGATGCTAGGATGAGCCCATCGGGAGAGAAGGCTACCGAATTAACCACATGTGAATGGCCCTCTAGCGTCTGCCGCTGTGTGCCGGTCACCGTATCCCAGAGCTTGATGGTGTGGTCGCCCAAGCCCGATGCTAGGGTAACCCCATCGGGAGAGAAGGCCACCGAACTAACCAAACTTGAAAGGCCCTCTAACGTCTGCCGCTGCGTGCCGGTCGCCGTATCCCAGAGCTTAATGGTGTTGTCTTCCGAGCCTGATACCAGGGTGAGTCCATCGGGAGAGAAGGCAACTGAACTAACCCAAGTTGAATGGCCCTCTAACGTCTGCCACTTCGTGCAAGTCGCCGGATCCGTGCCGGTCGCCGGATCCCAGAGCTTGATGGTGTGATCGTCCGAGCCCGATGCCAGGGTGAGCCCATCAGGAGAGAAGGCCACTGATCTAACCCATTTTGAATGGCCCTCTAGCGTCTGCCGGATCGTGCCTGTCGCCATATCCCAGAGCTTGATGGTGTGGTCGTCTGAGCCCGATGCCAAGGTGAGCCCATCAGGAGAGAAGGCCACTGATCTAACCCAATCTGAATGGCCCTCTAATGTCTGTAGAGTTGTGCTCCAGGAATCCATTACCGCTGGTAGAAGCTGTATTTGTTTTGACAATTCGCTAAGAAATGTCTCCTTGATGACACTTTGTGCTGGTGCAAATGCTAGCCCGGAACAGTAGAGTTGCAGCGGAGCAATGCCAGCTATATACGAATTTTGAAGAGTAAATCTTCTTGCATCATATAAAAACCCTGAAAGAGCAGGATTGTCTTTCTTCTGTGATATCTATCAGCTGTTATCTAACCGCAAATTCTCGATACTTACCCGTATGCTTGACTCTAATATCTTTATCATTCCTGCCGCCTCGGATACTTTCCCTATTAAAGCTAGCACCTCCAACCAGTGAAGGAGCCGCTTTTGAAGAAAAGAGAGAATTTCAGATTCAGGGATACCACCCTGGCTCTGCTTCAGATGATGTACCCAATAACAGCAGGAGTATTGCAAACCAGCAGGGAGGCGCTGCTGCATGACCTGAGGGTCGATATCCTGGCACTGTATTCCGTAACTTGCTAGGTCACAGATATTGTGCCTGAGCCGAGTTTCCATGACGCGTAGACAGTGTAATGCTATTTGTCGATGTGTATTCTTTTCATTGATATGAAAATCACCTTCTGTATGGATTAAAAAGTCTCGAAATGAAAGATGCAGAATGCGAACCGGTGCTTCGAGATCCGCTGGGACACTTAGAACAGAGTGAAATCTCTTTAATCGATTGACAATTTTATTCTCGGGCATCCCAGTGAATTGCGCAAGAGTGACAACTGAGAGAGGGACGGCCAAAAGAACAATCACGCCGATAACATCCTGAAACTCTTGTAAGAGTCGCTCAAAATCCTTCTTATTTTTCGCGATAAGGAGTTGGCGCAGTACTGGTAGATATGTCCGATCCATATCTGATGTCGATTTTGTTGCTTCATCTTGAAGAACGGCCGTAAGACGCTCTTCCGGAAACCAATCTTCATCCCCAACAAAGCGGCAAAGGGTGGCTGCAAAGATGAACAAAGGTAGAGCCATCTGCACCAGTTGCTCAAGTCTTTTATTCCCAGGCCAGTCAGAGGGAAGTGAGTGTTCGCGTTGTATTGCTGAAAGCTTGTATTCTAGAAACACGCGAATATCGTGTTCGATTACTGGAGCAGGAAGTTCATGGAGAACTAGGTCCTGATAGTTGTCTTCCTTCATGAAACCCAGACGGATCGGAAGTTCAGGTCTGCTTGTCAAGACTACTCGCAAGCGCACAGACTGAATTTCTTGTAATCTGAACAAGAGATGAAGTACGAGTTTTATATTATCATCCCCATCACATTCATCCAAGGCGTCAATAACGACCACAATCGTGGTTGATTGGTCCGGTTGCAGCTTCAGAAGAGGCTGATAGAGAAGCTGGTGAAATTGATCTCTCAGAAACTTCGATGTAATCCGCGGATCAGTCTTGATGGCACTCAAGACTTCAGGCACCAGTTGCCTGTGTCTAGTTACCAGCTGTCCCACGATACTGGTTATCAAGTATGATACAGTACCACGCTCGGCTTCGCCCCGCTTGAAAAAGAAGCTGGCACCAAGCAGTCCTTGTTCTTTGAACCCTTGTGCAACTGTGCGTGCAATGGTAGACTTCCCCGTTCCCGCCATCCCATTCAACCAAAAAACGAATTTATCATCGGACTTCACCCAATCCGTAATACGGGTAAGAAGCTCGGTTCTGGTCCCTGGAAGGCAAAAATCCTCATGTTCATGAACATGAGAGTCATATAATGCCCCCTCCACAACATGTAGATGCATAAGGCTAGACTGTTCCAAAAGAAGCTTCAGGGATTCACTAAGCTCCTCGATTTTGAGAAGAATATATTCTGCTTCCTTTTCATGGCGCAAGTATCCACCAAGCTCGGTCCACCGGCGCAAATTGTCTCTTTCTTTTTCGACTAAGGTCTTGAGCTCCGTAAGTGGGTGCCCAGTAATGGCAGTGAAACAGTCCGAGAGGTTTCTTCCGACGCCATGCTCTTGGGAATTCCGAATCTGTCCTGAATAGATCAGAATAGCCTTATAGAGTTTGATTATTGCAGTTTCCACATGGCCTCGAATATCTGAATCGCTGTCAAGCTTGAATCTCTGTTCAATAAAGGCGCATTGTGTAATAACATCGGCCAGGTACTCCGATGATTCAAACAATGCATTTCGTGCATCATGGTGGTTTTGGGGAATCTACGATACCAGTCAGACAATAAGCAACTGGCTTGTCCTAAATTTCTAGCAATACATACTTTCAAACCAAGCGAGACGACCGCCCAAGCACTGGCTGCATGTTGTGTGGGATCAAGTCCAGCAACTGTACTAATGATGTCCTTATAGGAAAGTAACGCATCGATGATCTTCCGCGAAGTTTTCCGGAGTGTATTATCTGACTTCTGCTGATATGCCTCGTATTGCAATTCTGTCACGTGGATGATCTCGTCGATCAGCTCTCTCGAGCCAGCTTTCTTATCCTTTGATTCGGGAGAGCTTTGTGTGCGTAACAAAATCTGCTGCTGCTTCTCATCGAGCTGGTCATACGCAGCTTGCCACAGGTCTTTCGACTGGAAGGTTTCGATTGACTGAAGTAGTTGGATTGCTGGCTGGCTGGAAGGCGGCGGTCTAGCGATGTTCGTGCCGTCTTTTTGGTCTTCTGCTTGATTGATCTGGGCTTCCGCATTCTCAATATCCTTGTGCCTGTGAAATGAAGGAAATAACTTTTTCAGACGTTTGGGCATATTTCGTAAAAAAAAGATTTTCCGGTGGCTGACTCTGAGTAAAGCAGGCTGGGGAGGGGCAGATGTCTTCCACCATTCCCATAAGTTACGGGTACAGGATGGATCGAAATCAGTTTCACCACTTTGCTCTCGTAGAATCCTTCTCGAACCCTAATCCAAAACACGCCAATCCATTTCAGGATTGGCTCGGTTTCAAATATTGAAACGTATTGAAATTGAGTATCACGTGATATGTTGTTCCTTAAATTACTTGTAATCAGTGCTTTTGCAAAAATACCGGCAGCTCGTAGGCGCTTTCCTTCTGCTTTCCCTCGATCGATTAGCAGCGATCTTCACTAAAGTCGTAACTCCAATTCCAGTTCAAATAGATAGTTTTAAGGCAATATGTTATGAGAAATATTGCTTTGGGAAGTCAACATAAGAAGCAGTAATGGCTGGGTAAACACGTTATATTCAAGTATCCAGCGTACCTAGGAATGCATATCTAAGAGCTGCGTTTCCCATTCTAACAATGTTTGTGAATTCGATAAAGTAGTGGGATGGTACGGGCCGAGTGTTTGCTTCTGCTTGCTTAAGCAAACTCGTAGCAACTTGGTGGCTTCGGCATCGTGAGCTGAAGATTTCCAGGTAACAGCGAGATTAGCCATACTGTTTAGCGTGTCAGGATGGTCCTCGCCGAGCTTTGTCTTGCTCGTCTTCATCACCTGCATGAAGAGATTCTCGGCCTCATCCAGTCGGCCTTGGCTCCAAAACGTTGCTGCTAGATTAGCCATGCTATTTAGCGTGTAGGGATGACCCTCGCCGAGCTTCGTCTTGCGAGTCTTCATCACCTGCAACTGGAGCTGCTCGGCCTCTTCCCACCGGCCCTGGTTCAAAAATGTCGATGCTAGGTTGGCCATGCTGTTCAGCGTGTCAGGATGGTCCTCGCCGAGCTTTGTCTTGCTCGTCCTCATCACCTGCACCTCGAGCTGCTCGGCCTCCTCCCACCGGCCTTGGCTCCAATACGTTGCTGCCAGGTTGGCCATACTGTTTAGCGTGTCGGGATGCCCCTCGCCGAGCTTTGTCTTGCGAGTCTTCATCACCTGCACCTGGAGCTGCTCGGCCTCTTCCCACCGGCCCTGGTTCCAAAATGTCGACGCTAGATTGGCCATACTGTTCAGCGTGTCGGGATAGTCCTCGCCGAGCTTTGTCTTGCGAGTCTTCAACACTTGCACCTCAAGCTGCTCGGCCTCTTCCCACCGGCCTTGGTTTCTATACGTTGATGCTATGTTGGCTATACTAGTCAGCGTGTCGGGATGGTCCTTGCCAAATATCGTCTTGCGAGTCTTCATCACCTGCACCTGGAGCTGCTCGGCCTCTTCCCACCGGCCCTGGTTCCTGTATGTTGTCGCTAGGTTGGCCATATTGTTTAGTGTGTCAGGATGGTCCTCGCCGAATATCGTCTTGCGAGCCCTCATCACCTGCATGTGGAGCTGCTCGGCCTCCTCCCACCGGCCCTGGTTCCTGTACGTTGACGCCAGGTTGGTCATACTGTTCAGCGTGTCGGGATGGTTCTTGCCGAGCTTTGTCTTGCGAGTCTTCATCATCTGCACCTGGAGCTGCTCGGCCTTCTCCCACTGGCCTTCAAGCCAGTATGCTGTTGCAAGCATGTCTGTACTATCAAGGACGTCTTCTTGATTCTCATCAAACAATATCATTCTTTGCTCTCTTGACTTTGCTGCCAATTGTCTTACATCCACGATGTTGCCGCTTTGCGACGCATACCATGCACCTCTATAAAGCAATGTAGCCCATTGTTGTAGAGACTGAGGTGATGTTGGTCGCTGTGACATTGCAGATTTGACATGAGGGAAAAGTGGCCTGCACCTCTCCCAGTTTTCGTATTCACCAGTGGGAAACTCGTCGTAGAGGATACTAATGAATTTATCTCTCCATTGGTCTATTTGTCTATGAGATTTCAACCACGCGCGCGTAGTCAGTTGCACCAGCCTATGCATCGTAAAGGAAGTGCTGTTCTCATTGACAGATATAAATGAATAGTCCCTCAGTGTTGCAAGGTCATCTTCAAAATCGGGACCTAGGTCTGATTCAGATATTGCCCCGTCGCTCCAGTCACTTGGAAGTTCTGAACTTGATATGTAGTTGGCCTTAGGCTGATGCCGGATAAGTTTCTCTGGAATCCCTTGCCGATCGAAAAAGCTCATAAGAGAAAGCAATTCCACCGCAGATTGCTTTGTCTGGCGTAGATAATTGAATGACATTTGCCACGTCACCAAAATTGAATTCTTAGCCTCCCAGTCCCGGTAAATATGACCGGCTTCTTTTTTCAGAAGCTTTACTGCTTCACGATCACTCCTTTGGAAATCCTTCAAGTATTGCGATATCAAATAGCGAGGCGCCCGAATTCGAATATAGCAAGCGGCCTGTACTATCGCTAGCGGCATGAATTCCAACTCGTTCACTAACTGTTGACTTTCTTGGCTTTCCCCTGGTTGTTCAAGTTTTCTCTGAAGAAGCTCTAGTGCTTCGGACTTTTCCATGGGTTTAACCTCAACAATGCCCTTATGATCGACTATCTTCAACGCAACCTCTCTGGTCCGACTCGTGATGATGATAGATCCAGTCTGGCTTGTAGGGATATATGCTAATAGTGGTTTTGCCGACGCGTTCGTTGGGCCTCTCAACGGATCTCTTTTGCCTGCCACCGGAATCGAGCAAAGAAGCTGATCGTCATCGACATTATCAAGGATACAAACCCAATTTCCTATCTTTTCATCCCGGAGCCAGTTTTCGACCAGTTTGAATATGTCAACTTTAGCATCTTGACGGCCCGGGATTTTTACCCGGTCCGCGATGTCCCGGAAACTTTGCTCAAATCGGGCTTCATTACTCGCATGGACCCAGAAGACCCATGTTGCCGGTGATCTGGATCGGACTTGGTAGGAGTATTCGATCGCAAGTTGCGATTTTCTTCGAGTTGTCAGCAATAAACCACGTAAGAGCCGCAATACCCTTACCCAACACCGCCGAGGCCAATCAGCGCTATCCTCGACCCCGCGACCGAGTTCTTACTATAGATCTGATTAAGCAGTTTGTCCCGACGGACAAAGTCTGGATCGCGCGCGAATGGCACAGTTGACAAAGGGCTGGGCGGAGTTTCTGCTCGCTCTAGAGGGAAGCGGCAATTACTCAGTCAGCCTTGACCTGTTCGGTTCCGTTCCTGACTTACCCGGAGGCAGATGAAAGTCTGCCATGAATGTGCCATAATTGATTCCCACCTGGGATCCATAGTTGACACCAGAGTGACTTGTTGACGCCATGATCGTATAAATGTGCCTGTCTGTAGTTCATTACAAGCTCTTCTCTGGATCTCAACTGAAGGAGGGGTACATCATCAGGTGACTCGGCTCCGCGGCGCTAAGACAGGAGACCAGATTTGCAGGTCACCCGCGTCGAGCCGTGGGGCAGGATTAGCACCTTCCTAGGAACCGGATCGACCCGACCCAGAACATTAAGACCAAGCGCAGCAAGCGATAATCAGCCCGGTCCCGCGGGGTGAAAAGCATGCTTTGAGGGTACCACTTCGAGAGCTTATTGTTGCCGGCTTTTTCAAGTACACGATGGACACTTTGAGATCGCATTTTGTTGTTGCTAGGGTGAAACTAACGTATGGTTTCCAGCCTAGCAACCACTTTTTTGAGGTCCGCAGCTTTGAGATGGGCCCTAAGCTCCCAGGAACTGCGAGATCGCCAATGTCACGTGTATTCCCTAATAGCCAGCATCCCCCAGACTTTTCACCCAAATTCATTTTACCTGCTCACTGAGCAGAGGGGTGAGCAAGGGTGAGCAGACGGAGTCGCTCCCTGTGCCCCTCAACGGTACCGGACCACTGCGTCTGCCAACGCTCTCCTCAATTAACAACCAGACTTCTCACAACATGGCGCCAAGACTCCCTCTCTCAAAGCTCGAAATGATCCAGGACATGGTATCGAGCAAATCACTAACTGCCTCGCAAATGGCCAAAGCTGCTAATGTAGTAAGCGTTCAATTATCAACATTAGCAACAACCTTTCCCGGTTTGGAAATGTCAGAGCACCCCCAACTCGAGTAGGTCGACGACGGACCGTAACACCTCCGATGATAGAAGCACTATGCGATCGCCTCCTCGAAAAGCCTGGGCTATATGTGGACGAGATGGCGATCTTTTTATGGGACGAGTTCCGCATCCAGGGTCACAAATTCGAGTCTCAAACGGGCTCTTGCTTCGGTGGGTTGGTCGAAGAAAGTTGCTCGACAGAGAGCCAAGGAATAGAATGCGGATTTACGAGATTTCTATATACATAACCTGTCAGAATTTCGCTCGTACCATTTGGTCTACGTGGATGAGTCTGGGTGTGATAAGCGAATCGGGTTCCGAAGGACTGGCTGGTCTCCGTTAGGCACGGCGCCATTGCAGGTAGCCAACTTCCATCGTGACCAGCGGTACCAGATACTACTCGCATATTGCCAAGATGCAATTTTGCTCTCTCGTGTATTCCAGGGCTCCACGGATGCTGCAGTCTTCGAGGACTTCGTTGGTCAGCTTCTTCGGCATTGTAGGAGATGGCCTGAACCTAAGTCCGTTCTAGTTATGGATAACGCATCTTTCCACCATTCTGATCGTATTGAGGAAATGTGCATCGAAGCAGGGGTAAAGCTCGTGTATCTACCACCTTACTCACCCGACTTGAATCCTATCGAGGAGTTTTTCTCTGAGTTAAAGGCATATATTAGACGGAACTTTGTGCGGTATGAAGAACACCCAGAACAAGGATTTCAAACTTTCCTCGAGCGGTGCATTAAGGTTTTTGGATCTCGAAAACAGAGTGCCTTGGGTCATTTCCGACATTCTGGGGTGGTCATTGACACCCATGGCTAGTTGGTAGCGTTAGAGGCGATCTGGCGTTAGGCCTTATAATGACATAATATATATATACAACCGGCTACAAAAGTTACTCAATTCTCTGTTAGCTCTACTTTTGTGTATAAAGGTGTGGTTTAATCATTAACTTAAGGATTTGCATAAAACAGAGTAATTCTAAGCCAATCTAGTGTGTATCCGAGTGCTTCTTACGCCTTCATATGGGTTCAAGCTGCGGCCTACGTAGCTTGGTCGTCTAGCGTGACATTTCTTACGCACTTAACCTATTGGCCAATATCTCTCACGAATTGGCGTGCAATACCCACCACAATCCCTTTGTCGATGAAGAATGAGGGATCTTGGTCCTCGTGAATCAGTCTAAGATCAAGACCATTGGCTAACGCCACATTGCATGCTTGCCGAAACTGTGCTTTCAGATTTTCGTCACCAACATTCGATTCATGCCATGCGCCGTAATCTTTGACAGCTTCGTCTCTTAGTCTAGTAAGATTGAGGTCTTCTATGACTTGGTCATTGGGTGGCAGAACCATGGCTAAGGCTGTGGTTGGGTTGGACGTGTCTTGTTGCGGGGAAGATTGCATCCCATTGAAGTTGATATTGATAGGCTGACAGCTTCCTGGGGTGCCTACCATCTTGTTCTTCTGAGATTGTTGGCTCTCCAGTCTATGCCGCTCTTCCATATATAGTTCTTCACGGAAATTATCCGGGACATCTTCATGAGATAGCAAGGCGCCGCCTTTCTCCACAAAGGCAATCAAACGCTTTAATTGATGGCTCCTCAATTTATAGTGCTTCTTTCCGTGGGGGTCTTGCCAGCAATGTGGGCCAAGGTGGCATGAGGAGGATGGGCAACGTATTAGATTGTAAACACCCCGCCATATCGATTCTTGCCCGGACACGTTTTCTTCGGCATCCAGTTGAGCGTCTCGCTCGTTGAGCATTCGTTTAGTGACCGATGACCTTCCTCTTTTCTCGACCCTACCCGAGGTAATTTTGTGGAGAGAGTCGTCCTCAATATATTTGAAGGCGATACTTAGCCTCAGTTTCTTGCCTCGACGAAACAGTTCGCCCCACTTCAGCAGCTGCTTTTCAACAGCAGTCCAATCGATGTCGAGATGGTCAAACCGTTTCATCAGGTCGCGTTGGGATCGATCATTCACCAATACAGCGATCGAAGTGTCGTCCGACCTTACCCTTCCTTTACGGGGGATTTTCCCTTCTAACAACCTCTCAAGCTTACCCTTCAGGGTCTTCGGCCAATAAGCACTCGGAGTCAGGACTACATCCTCTTCAGTGTCTTGCGAGAGCACCTTCTTATTCACTGTAACTTTCCATTCTATCGTATATTGGATGCAGTTTGCCGGAAGCTCGTCACTTAGCATCCCATCGTGCCACTCAGATAGCTGAAGCAGTCTGGGTCTTTCGGGCTCGTGTTGGCACAGGTCTTCTAGATCGTGCTCGGAGTGATAGTCGGGGGAAGGGCTGAGCCCACAGCTTGACGCAGGTGTGCGACCGTAGTATCCTGGAGTGGGAGCATATTGCGAATCTGGTCTCCAGGTTCAAGTGCATGCGGTTGAAAATCACGTTCATCGGGATATGAATCAGTAGTCATCGTCTTCGTCTGAACGCTCCAAAGAATCCAACATCAGCATGATCACAAGCAGTCAGTCAAGCAAATGCTGGTCTTCCATTAGAAGGTCAAGCTTGCCACACAAAGCAAATAAATATTACCCACTAGTACTGTCTCTATACACCGCGCTCGGTGTAGCGGTGCGCGGTTGACGGGAGTGGGATTTGAATTCCTGCCACATCTCCAGACGAGAAGAGCAGACAACCCTTGTGTTTGGCCTGTTTGCAGAGTCAACGTTCTAGAAACCCTAAGAACCATACAGGTCTAATACAGAAGCTATTTTTATGCTGTTATTTACACGTGTATTGAATTACTGCCAAGATAGGGGTTCAGGGGAAGAGTAATTGTAATAAGTATAGCGTGTTTCAAGAGAGGGTTCGAGATAGATTCTCCGTGTGCAAGTGGTGAAACTAATTTCGATCCTCCCTGTATTTTGAGACTACGCGGAAATAGGTTAGTTCTTCTTGGCATCAGGGTTCGAGAAATAATGAAAGAGTGTAGGTGGTGACACCAATTTCCGGAACTACTGTAGTTCAATGAGCCCCCAGTGAGCTCGCACTGGGCAGCAGTCCTTGCCAGGCTGCTGGGACGATGGATTCTTACCTTCTCGTGGTGTCCGGTGTATATCCCCGTTGGGGGAGACCGAATTGAATCCGCCGTGGTTGTGCGGTCCGGCCCGGTGCGGGAAGCGACCGCACAACCACACCAAAATCAGGGGATAACGGCATATGAAAACCATCCGACTTCTCCTTACCTGACTCGCACTCGGGCCCGATACTGGTCTTGCATTACCAGTGGAAGTGGTGTCGCCTAAGGAGAAGACAGGACACCCCTGAGCTTGCATACGGTCTGGGATCGCATCGTGCGAGATGCGGCGAGGCGGTAGTGAACCGGTGACACAGGCAGTCAAGCTGATATCGGACAGACCTCGTTCAAGGCCCAGAGGCCTCGTTAAGACTCGAACTCGTTAAGGCTCGGAGAGAGCGCTCGCTGGAGACCTCGTTAAGGCTCAGCCACGGGCAAGCTTCAGGGCGAGTGCTCTTCGGGACACGGGCACCACCGAGACACGGGCACCCTCTTGGGAGACACACGGGCAATCTGGAAAATATTGGTATTTGACTGGTGGCAGTCGGCAGGACTCGTTAAGGCTTCGCCACGGGCAACCCGTCGATCCTGTTCAGACACCGGGGACCAAGCTTGGTTAGTGGAGAGCAACCGACATATACTGCCGGATGGAGCGTATAGAGGACTTTCTGCAAGACACGGTCGGCCTGGCGGAGGGAGACCTCCTCAGGTAACGCGAAACGAGAGTGAAAGCTCTCGCGGGGCGTGGTGTACAATGGCAGCCACTGCGGCAGGGTCGGGGCCTGCCAAGAGACTGTCTGTATAGCCCGAGAGGACGGATGCGCGTGTCGGTGTACAAAAAGCCGGGAGTCAACTACCCCACTCGCACTGGGGGCCTGAGATCGACATTGGTCGGTTGAAGCGGTGTCGTCCTAGTTGGCTCGCCCGTGATGTATGCTTAAGGAGCAAACTGAGAGACACCCAGGGTGAGAGGTGTGGTGAACCTCAAAAGACCAGAAGCCTCATTTATCGGGTGAAAAACTGGGGTAGTGGTCTATGCAAGTAGACCTGTCGAAGCTACTTAATGTCTTTTGGGCCGAGACGCTCCACCAGACCGCCTAACAATTATGCCCAGCAGCAAGAATTCGATAACGAACAAGGCAATGCGCATTCTCAGCGGAAGAGGAAGACCCAGGGCAAGCCAGTAGACCAACGTGAAACGGTCGTCTCGGAATCATCTACAGAGAGCGAGGACCCGAACGCGTCGGAACTGTTGAAGGAACTGGTCAAACTCAGGAAGGAGATCAGACAGCGAGACGAATCACACAAGGAAGAGCTTCAAAGGGTCAAAGAAGAATTCGGCGCCCTCAAAGAAGAATAGACCCGCGACACCGCAACCCCATCTCGAGCCATGCTCTCAGAATGATGAGATTTTGCGCGAGATTCAGTCCTTACGCGAGGAAATCAGCGCCCCCGCCCCCATCAGATCCCCTTCCTATGCAGATATCGCGCGCACTCCTCCGACCAGTCACCCAAGCAACGTACGGACCCTCTCAACGCTGAACACAACACCATCCAACTTCACCGACACGTTATACTGCACGGTAGATACCGCGAAGATGACCGAAAGTGAAAACGAGAAGAAATCTGCAGGCTCAATCAGGGCCACAATCGAGAAAGAAATCCGAACGATGGATGATCACACTCACTGGCGCTGTCGCGCGGTGACTGTCAGTCCAAGAGACCCCAACCGAATCAGGATCGCGTGTCGCGATGAAGCCGAGCACCAGCTGGTCAAGAAAGTAGCGGAAGAAAAGATCGGAACGGGAGCCCGGGTGCTCCGGGACGAGCTCTACCCGATCAAGGTCGACAGCGTCAAGAGGGCTGCGGTACTGGATGAAAACCATGGCATCCTGACAGGAGCGGCGGCCGCCCTTGGTGAGGAGAATGAAACTACTATCGCCAAGATGACATGGCTTAGCAGCAAGGAAACCGTGAAGCCATATGGATCAATGGTCGTGTACCTCACCAAGGGCACTGACGCGCGGAGGCTCTTGGTTGACGGATACTTCCACGCTGGAGGGGAATCCGGGACAACCAGCGTCTTTGAGCATCGACCACGACCGATGCAATGTTACAACTGCCAGGAGGTTGGTCACAAGGCATTCCAATGCAAGAAGATCCAGAAGTGCGCAAAATGCGCCACGGAGGGCCATCACCACAGTCGCTGCGATCAAGCGGTTCCAAAGTGCGTTCCGTGCGGTGGGCCACATGAATCGTTTAGCAAGAACTGCCGGAAGCTCTACCCATCACGTCATGAATAAACCACTTCGAATAATTCAATTGAATGTGAGGAAGCAGGGTGCAGTGCTGGAAAGCTTAATGAACGACGAGGAAACCAAGGACGCAGTGGCGTTAGCGATTCAGGAACCCCAGGCGAGGAGGATCCAGGGCCGGCTCTTGACCACCCCGATGGGACACCACAAATGGACGAAGATGGTCCCCTCCACTTGGAGGGAAGGCAGGTGGGCGATCCGAAGCATGCTTTGGGTGAATAAAGACATAGAAGCGGAGCAAGTGGCTATAGAATCCCCGGATCTGACAGCGGCGATCGTCCGGCTACCCGAACGGCTGATCTTCATGGCATCGGTCTACGTCGAAGGCGGAGAGGCCTCGGCGCTAGAAGACGCATGCGATCACCTAAGAAAGGCAATCTTAAAGGTGCGACGAGACACGGGCGCTGTGGTGGATATCATGATTATGGGAGACTTCAACCGCCATGACCAACTCTGGGGCGGAGACGAGGTGTCCCTGGGAAGACAGGGCGAAGCGGACCCAATCATTGACCTCATGATCGAATTCGCTCTTAGCAGCTTGCTCAAACGAGGTACAAAAACATGGCACGGTGGGGGACAGAGCGGGGACTGCGAGTCGACCATCGACCTCGTCCTAGCCTCTGACAATTTGACAGACCTAATGACCAAATGTGTAATACACGGGGTTGAACATGGCTCGGATCACCGGACGATCGAGACTGTGTTCGATGCATCGTGGTCAGCCCCGGAGCATCAGGAACGACTTCTTCTGAAGAACGCACCGTGGAACGAGATTAATGCTAGAATTGCGAGCACCCTGGCCGCCACTCCGTCAGAGGGCACAGTACAGCAGAAAACCGATCGACTAATGTCCGCGGTCTCGGACGCGGTGCACAACCTAACTCCGAGAGCGAAGCCGTCGCCACACGCGAAGCGATGGTGGACAACTGACCTCACACAACTACGTCACATATATACCTATTGGCGAAATCACGCTCGTTCGGAGCGACGGGCGAGGGGAAAAGTACCTCGGCTCGAAAAGATGGCTCAGGATGCGGCGAAACAATACCATGATGCCATCCGCAAGCAAAAGAAGAAGCACTGGAATGAATTTCTCGCAGACAACGACAACATTTGGAAAGCAGCGACGTATCTGAAGTCCGGGGAGGATGCGGCATTTGGGAAATTACCGCAGCTCGTCAGAGCAGATGGGACAACCACCGCTGACCATATGGAGCAAGCAGAGGAGTTGCTATCTAAATTCTTCCCGCCACTGCCGGACAACATTGAAGATGAAGGGGCCAGACCACAAAGAGAGCCAGTGGAGATGCCGGCCATCAACCTGGAGGAGGTAGAACGACAGCTTCTTGCAGCGAAATCGTGGAAGGCGCCGGGAGAGGACGGCCTGCCGGCGATAGTGTGGAAGATGACGTGGCCCACGGTCAAGTACAGGGTCCTTGAACTATTTCAAGCGTCGCTGGCAGAAGGCTCGTTGCCAAGACAGTGGAGACACGCGAAGATCATACCGCTCAAAAAACCGAATAAAGAAAATTACACCATTGCAAAAGCATGGAGACCAATCTCCCTCCTAGCGACACTGGGCAAGATACTGGAGTCAGTGGTTGCAGAAAGGATCTCACACGTGGTGGAGACCCACGGCTTGCTCCCGACCAGCCACTTTGGAGCCCGGAAACAGCGATCCGCGGAGCAAGCACTCCTGCTCTTGCAAGAACAGATCTACACGGCGTGGCGGGGCCGGCGGGTATTGAGCCTGATCAGCTTCGATGTCAAAGGAGCCTACAACGGAGTGTGCAAAGAACGATTACTCCAAAGGATGAAAGCACGAGGCATCCCGGAGGGTCTGCTCCGGTGGATTGAAGCGTTCTGCTCGGAACGAACGGCGAACATCCAGATCAATGGGCAAGTGTCGGAGGTCCAAAGTCTGCCACAGGCTGGGCTACCGCAGGGCTCGCCCCTGTCCCCGATCCTATTCCTCTTCTTCAACGCAGACCTCGTGCAAAGGCAGATCGACAGCCAGGGAGGAGCAGTCGCTTTTGTGGATGATTTCACCGCATGGGTGACCGGATCAACCGCGCAGAGCAACCGGGAAGGAATTGAAGCAATTATTAATGGAGCTCTCGACTGGGAAAGGAGAAGCGGAGCGACCTTTGAAGCGGAAAAGACAGCTATCATACATTTTGCGCCCAAGATGCGTAAATCGGACCATGAGGCGTTTATCATCAAGGGACAAACGGTTGTGCCCGGAAACCACGTCAAGATCCTGGGTGTCTTGATGGACACGAGGCTTAAGTACAAGGAACATATCGCGAGGGCAGCGTCCAAGGGTCTTGAAGCGGCGATGGAGCTTCGGCGACTCCGTGGCTTATCTCCAGCAACCGCGCGGCAGCTGTTCACCTCGACGGTGGCACCGGTCGTGGACTACGCCTCCAATGTCTGGATGCACGCGTGTAAGGATAAGGCCATGGGGCCGATCAATCGGGTCCAAAGAGTTGGAGCACAAGCCATTGTGGGGACATTCCTCACCGTCGCGACCAGCGTAGCGGAGGCGGAGGCCCACATTGCCACCGCACGACAACGATTCTGGAGACGGGCCGTGAAGATGTGGACGGACATGCATACCCTGCCTGAAACCAACCCCCTCCGCAGGGGTACAGACCGGATCAGGAAGTTCAGAAGATACCATCGCTCGCCGCTGTACCGGGTAGCCGATGCGCTGAAGCATATCGACATGGAAACACTGGAAACAATTAATCCATTTACGTTAGCTCCGTGGGAAGAACGCATGCAACCCGATATGGACCAACCACAGGATGTCCAGACCAGAGCAGGCCTGTATATGCAGATCGCGGTCAGCAGCTCGGCTCGGAACGAGCTGGTCGGATTCGGGGTGGCGATCGAGAAACAACCACCTCGGTATCGAAAACTGAGACTGAAGACCCTCTCCGTCACATTGGGTGCAAGAGCAGAGCAAAATCCGTTATCTGCGGAGCTAGCAGCGATGGCACATGCATTGAAGATGGTAGTTGGAATCAAAGACTACAGAATTACGTTGCTCACAAGCAACAAGGCGGCGGCGCTCACGCTAAGGAACCCTCGACGACAGTCTGGCCAGGAGCTGGTTTGTCAGATATACAAGTTGATGAGAAGGTTGCGGAGGAATGGAAACCGAATCAAAATCCACTGGATCCGCACCAGCGAAGACAACAAGCTGTCAAGTCTGGCTAAAGAACAAGCCAGAACTGCAACACAAGAAGACGCTCTCCAACAGGAACGCGTCCCGAGGATGAAGTCGACCACATTGAATATCGCACGGTCCCAAGCAGTCCCCTGCAGTCAGCTACCAGAGAACATAGGAAGACACGCAAAACGAGTAGATGCCGCACTGCCAGGCAAACACACCCGGCTGTTATATGATCGCCTGACGTGGAAAGAAGCGACCGTACTGGCCCAACTCCGAACCGGCATGGCCAGACTCAATGGATACCTCAATCAAATTAATGTAGCAGAGACCGATCAATGTGATTGCGGACAAGCAAGAGAGACCCTGCAGCACTTCCTCTTCCGCTGTCGGAAGTGGACTGCACACCGGACGGAACTGTTACAATGCACCCAGGCTCACCGAGGAAACATATCCTTCGCCTTGGGGGGAAAACAGCCTTCTGACGATCAGAACTGGACGCCAAACCTAGAGGCAGTACGGGCCTCCATACGTTTCGCCATCGCAACGGGCCGCCTCGAGGCCACTTGAACACATTGACGAACATCACCCCCACCCCCTTCTTCCGACCCTGCTCACCCACCACCTCGTGCCACAAACGGTAGACGCGCTTCAACTGCCGAAGATAGGATGCTGAACACTTGAAGAAGCGCCTTCAAGCCAGTCTACTTACCCACTTACTAACTCACGAGAAACTCGCTGCGACACTGCTTTCTGGAAATGTCATACGCTATAAGGTTTTATGTATGGGCTTTCAGGAGACACAGCATATACAGATGGACATGTACAGTAGATCATTGATAGTTGCCCTTTCGGATCAGCCGCCGGGCGTTAATGAATTGTTTGTTTGTTTGTAGTTCAATGAAGTTCTAAACAATGTTTCTTCCTCATCTATACCCCGTCCTCGGACCTCAACAAAGTACGCGAGCATAAGCAGTGCGAGCAAAGCCTTCGCTGGATGGGTTCTCCCACTCTCCTCACATCCCTCCCATTTCTCTATACTACAGTATCTGGCGTAGGAGAGGGGAACTTTCATGGCGAGCGGTGCGCAATTCTTGAGGTCCGCAGCTTTTAGAGGCCACGGTGCTCCCAGGAGTTCGACACCACCGAGTCACGTGGAGTTCCCAATAAATCAGCATCCACCGGATCTTCTGGCAAACGAATTTCATCCAATCACTAAACAAAGGGGTGAGCAGGGGTGAGCATGGAGAATAACTCTTTTACAGTAAAGCGATATTCGAAACCAGTTTTACCTCCAATTTCCCGAGGCCCCAAGGCCCCACCTCAAACGCACTAGTGACTAATCTCGAGTGACTCATCTGGGTGGGCCATACCCACATACCGCGGGCCGTCTTCAGGAGAATATAGTGGATAGTGGTTCTGGCAATGAGAGCATAATGACCGAATACTGACGTAGAGCTCAGCTTAGCTTCAATTCGGAGTCACTCACATTCGCAGAAAACTGCCATGTACACCCGTCTACAGAGCGGCGGCACTGTCAGCTTGATTTGTGTTTCTGAAATTCTCGAATTCTGCCAACTTTGCTCTCTATCTGAATCCGTTCTTGTTTTTTACAAATAGCCAGCGGCCCCATCAAAAACCATGCACAGACCAGATGACGAGTTCATCAACCAGTTCAGGGAGAGATTTGGGGACCTTCTCTTGAGCTGCCATGGCGAAAGAGGAAGGACAGACGCTCATGTTGACGTGGGTGGTTCAATGTTCTCTGCTAGCCATGCCAAGGAAGATGAGCCCGTCGATGTTATGTGCGCAGACGAGGCGAACACTGCTCGAACATTGAGACTAGAGAAGGGTTCCCCGAAACCACGCAATTTTCATGCACTCGGTTCGATCTCTCCGATGAAAAGTGCTAAACAGCACGAGACATTCCACGATCGCAATCTACTGGGGTCGGGAGCGATCTTTCACAACAAGGCAGGAGACATCCACTCTCCAATGATACGGTGGAACACAAAGATCTCGCCATTCCTTGATGAATCAATTCAGCACGTCCAGCAGATTTCTTGGAATGGGCCCGATGGCTTCACTCCGCTGGCTGAGTCTCAACGTTGGCTATATGACCATACATATTTTGGACATACAGATGATATCTCGAGGACTCTTGTGCACCATGATTCTGGATACACTACATTGGATGGAGCCGATCAGGATATTTTGGCCGATAGTCTCAGTGAACAACCAGACTTAAACTCAGTCTTAGCTACATCGGAGGGCCACGTCAACGAACATTGGCAATATAGCGACGGAGAAAAGTATGGCTGATTGACGACATGCTGCGCATGTTATTTGAATTTGCTAATTTTCTACATAGATTTCGTTACCATGTGATACTGCAAGCCCCGACGGCAATTCTTCGGCATGCCAATGAAAGTCCAGTGACATACCTCGACAAAGGTCAAATATACAGCCTCACGGTGGCAGATTCTGCGCTATCCATAAAGAAGGCCGGTCTTCTTGAATATAGAACGTTCGTGCATGTGTCCTTCGAATCAGAAGCTCAAAGATATAATTCGGTTGCATCTTGGCAGCTATGGAAACAAGGTCGAGGCTCGAAAGAAGCCCATGAGCGCAAAGGCAAGGTTTCAGCTATCGAGTATGTCGTTTCTTCCCAGGACGATGTTAGAAATCAGGGACTTCGCCAGATACGGCTTGAAAAAGCTTTTGTTGATGGGTTTTGTGTCACTTGGACAGCTGATCCAAGCGCGAACATTCATAAAGCTGCGATTTTGCTAAAGTTTAATTTTCTATCTACTGATTTCAGCCGCTCAAAAGGGGTGAAAGGGGTACCAGTCAGGCTTTGTGTAAAAACGCAAATGTTGCGGTCAGACGACGAAACCGAGACCATTGACGACAAGCCAGAGAATTGTTACTGTCTGGTGAAGCTCTATCGTGATCACGGTGCCGAACGGAAACTATCGAACGACAAGATATATGCTAAGAAAAGGATTGAAAAGCTCAACAAAGAAATCCTTGGTAAAAGGACAGGGGAGGATTTTGATGGACGAAGTCGCAGAAACACTCTAACGAACGATAGAGAATTTGACATTCGGCCTCAGAAGAAACGCAAGTGGTCCATAAGTTCGCGCAAAGGCCCTGCGTCAGATAAAGACCTTCACGCCGAGTTAGCTACAATGGCTGAGGTCTTTTCATCGGCACGGCCAGTCAGTGTACTTGGTCTTTGTGGTAACGAGAAGGATGATCCTGATCTATATTCTATCTGTTTATCACATGGATCAAGCACCTTAACGAAAGCTGGTGACTTGGATGATAAATATAGCATGCGCGCTATAAACTTAGCCTACGAAGGAGCGGCTTGTTTGTCAAACAATGCTGACGAACGATTGGATCTCCAAAGCCCTAGCTGCCAAGAACGTCCGCCCAAAATGCCAAAAATTTCCACTATGGATTCTCAAATGGTCTCTCCACCTGCAAATCACTCTAAGTATGGTCCGTACTATTGTAAAGCAACCTTTGTTCTTCATTTGCTTACCTTGTCGCAGTTGCATGCTTTTATGTCCAGTTCACTCAAAATGGGAAGCATCCTGAGGGCAACCATTATGCGATATACCTTATGAATCGAACTGCTCTCGATTTGAAAAGCAAGCTTGCGGAGAAACTGCAGATCGACCCATGTCTTATCACTCGTGTCATTCATGTCAACAGTAAAGGCTTGAAGGTCGTGGTGGATGACGACATGATCCAGCAACTTCCAGAGGCGCGGATCATGATTGCAGATATTTGTGAACTCCCGTACACAGGCATGGCTCCCTCTAGCACAGGTTACTCTGAGGTGGAAATAAAGCTCGTGTTCTAGTCACTCTGAGTAAGAAGCAATACAGGCACCCCTAGCAAAGATATTCCTGGAATGCGCGTAAGGAATACTCGTAATATAGAATAGTGTGTCAATTAGGGTTCGAGAAAAGTACAGCTGATGACACCAGTTCTGGGACGTACAGTGGTGTTGCTCCCCTATCCTGTTCGCATTCTTCAACTCCGACCTGGTCGACCAACCTGTCAACTCTCACGGCGGTGCATCCGCCTTTATCGATGACTACTTTCGCTGGCGTGTGGGACGCACAGCCGAAGAGAACCTAGCCAAGATTCAATCGGAAGATATTCCCCGCATTGAGGCATGGGCCTGTCGAACTGGGTCCTGCTTTGCAGCCGAGAAAACCGAACTGATTCATATCACCAGGAAAAGACGCGAACAGCTCCAGGGGCAAGTGGTTATGAACGGGAAGACAATCGAGCCGTCTCCCACTGCCAAGCTACTGGGGGTGGTGTTCGACCAGGAGCTTCGCTGGAAAGAACACGTCCAGCAAGCGATCAAACGCGCAACCAAAGTCAGTATTGCTCTGGGCGGGCTGCGACAGCTACGCCCAGAACAGATGCGACAGCTCTACCAAGCCTGCGTAACACCAGTCATGGACCACGCGTCGACGGTCTGGCACGACCCGCTACGAGACAAAACTCACCTACGACACTTGAACACAGTCCAGAGAACCGCATTAGTCCGTATCCTATCAGCTTTCAGAACAGTGGCCACCACGACTCTGGAAGTAGAAGCACATATTTTGCCAACACACCTCCGCCCCCGCCGCCGAGCGCAGAACACCATTGCAAGCCTTCACACTCTGCCGCGCGATCATCCTATTTGGGATACACTACGGCGAGCCCAGAAACGTAGGAACAATATCGGGTCGCACGCTCGTTTCCCACTGGCGGAAGCCCTGAAGACCACGAACCTAGAAAGACTAGATGAACTAGAGACGATCGACCCACGACCGCTGCCACCGTGGCGAGTCGAGTCCTTCACGGAGATCGAGATCGGGTCAGACCGAGAGACGGCAAGAGAACGGGCTGAGTCCGTGCGGTCCACATCCGCTATCGTGGTCTATTCCGATGCCTCAGGACGTGAGGGCCACCTAGGCGCCGCTGCCGTAGCACTCGACAATACCCTACAGGTTATCGAATCCCAACAGGCCCAGGTGGGACCGATGGACCGGTGGTCGGTTCACGTAGCAGAGCTGATAGGCATTTTCTACGCTGTCAGTATAGTGTTCAAGATCAGCCATCAGCAGCCAAGAACGGAACATAGTGGAACAACAACGGCAACGATCCTCTGCGACAGCAGATCAGCGCTGCAAGCAATCCAGAACCCTGGAAACAAATCAGGACAGCGCATCACCCACGCGATCCTCCAGGCAGCCACAGAGGTTCAAGCAAAGGGAATCTCGCTCCGTCTCCAATGGATACCTGGACACTGCGACAACGCAGGGAACGACGCAGCAGATCGGCTGGCTAAAGACGCGGCAAGCCCCGGCAAAACACACCCCTTCCGCCCGTTGCTGACAAGGAAGAGGGCGCTCATCAGAGACACCATCCGCGCTCAGTGGGAGCGGGAATGGAAAGCATCTACCAAAGGCGGTCACCTACGAAAACTCGATAGCACGCTCCCAGCGGCCTACACCAGGAAGCTATACGGGAACCTGCCCAGGGGTCGGGCGTACCTGCTGACGCAGCTACGCACGAGCCATAATTGGTTATCCACCTATGCCAAGACCTTCGGCTTCCGCGACAATAATCAGTGCGTGTGCGGCGCGCAAGAAACAGTCACCCACGTGCTGGTGGACTGCCCAAACCTGAGGGAAATCCGACGGAAGCTAAGGAGCGAAGTTGGGGATGCGTTTAACAGTGTATCGAGTCTGCTGGGAGGCTCAACTGAAGGTGAGAGAGGTAAACCAGACACCGTCTCGCGGGCTAGGACGGTCAAAGCCGTACTAGACTTCGCTGAGGCGTCACAAAGATTCAAAAGCCGCGCGCCATGAGGGCAGCCTAATAACTTGAACGGCACCTGGGCCACGATAGGCCTTGACGAGGCTCCAAGTTCGTTTTCAGGAAGTGGGACATTACACTTGTACGTACATAGATATATACAGTTGCTGTATCCTGTATATCGCTTTGCGAGAGGTCGGGGTAAATGAAATCTACTACTACTACTACAGTGGTGTTGCATAAGTATTTGACCTCAGGGCCTCTCAGGATTCACTTTTCTCCTGACCGCTTTGTATACCGCCTACTAAATTAGTATGCCGCGTTCCAACGGGCAACCATGTACGCTATACTTCAACGCGTTTTGGCAGAATTTCTTGCCTTAATGTTACCTCCTCCGCGGTAAAAGGGCTCTAGGTCTTTCTTACCAAACGAGAACTAATATCTGTGAACTAGCTATACAATCGAATCGGAAGTTCCGAGGTTTCTGCCAGTTAGTACTAGAAAGTGGGTCCTAAGCCGAAGGAAGTATCGGAGGTCAAATACTTATGCAAACCCACTGTACATGTAAGGTAAACCTAGAATAAACAGGAATGTTGGAGAGGTCAGATACTGTCATCATGGCTGTGTGCCCTCGGCGGTATCTAAAATCTACCTTCGCCAAGCACTGCATAAGACTCAAGAGGCTAGTTCCGAGAGCAGAGTTTGATTTCTGGATGATGTCTCGGAACAATAGCTTATCGTTCACGTTATTCCATTCGTTACCTTTGAAATCAATGCTGAAAATCGCTCGGAGCAGACACGATCAATCAGAACAATGAGAATTTGTAAATCAATTTTGGGACATGGAATCCAACCGATGAATGATTTTCCTCTATGCATATGAAGGCAGCCACGAATCATAACATTGTTTTAGTGGTACTGTACGAAGGTCTACCTCAATGAAAATGTTAGTGTGGTACTTAAACTCCACTTTCATGACTAATATTCTGCCAGTTATTTTTTACAAGCTCATGTAATTAAACCACTATAACGTAATTCACAAGCAAATGGCGCACACAAGAAAGTGGCGCACCCCACCAAAACCGCGTCAATTTATTAGACCTCTCTTCTTTAACCACCCACCATGCCACCAATTCGTACTCAGTCTTCTCAAAAACGTACGGAGCAGGAGGGTAGGATCTTATTAGCTATTGATGCTATTCAGAAGCAAGATATACGCGCTGTTCGCGAAGCAGCGCGTATATTTGAGGTACCGGAGACTACGTTACGCCGCCGCCTTAAAAGCTCTACAAATCACGCGTTTTCTAGCGCAAAAAATCTCAAATTGACAGAAATTGAGGAAGAATCTCTTCAAAAATGGATACTCTCTCTAGATTCTCGCGGAGCAGCCCCTCGGCCTTCTATTGTACGAGAAATGGCAGATTTACTACTCGCGGCGCGTGGATCTACCCCCCTCTTACAGTCGGCCAAAATTGGGTTACAAATTCCGTTAAAAGGCATCCTGAACTTTCCTCCCGTTTCTCGAGACGCTACGATTATCGGCGAGCTAAATACGAAGACCCGAAAATCATGATTGAATGGTTTAACCTTGTTCAAAAAACTATATCTCAATACGGTATTAATCCCGACGACGTTTATAACTTTGACGAGACTGGTTTTGCGATGGGCTTGATTGCGACCGCAAAGATTATTACGAGGGCTGAATACTATGGTCGGCGATCGCTTTTACAGCCTGGAAATCGCGAGTGGGTGACCGCAATTGAATGTATTAGTGCATCGGGTTGGGCGCTTCCTCCATGCATTATTCTCAAAGGCAAGGTCTTTATCGAAGGTTGGTTCGATAATTTTCCGAATGATTGGCGATTCGAAGTAAGCCCGAACGGCTGGACCTCTGATCAAATTAGCCTTCGATGGCTTAAAAAGCTCTTTATTCCGTCTACTTCTTCACGTACGAAGGGGAAGTATAGACTCTTGATACTCGATGGCCACGGGAGTCACTTAACGCCGAAATTCGATCAAATCTGCGAGGAAAACAATATCATCGCAATTTGTATGCCTCCGCACTCGTCTCACCTTTTACAGCCTCTCGATATCGGTTGTTTTGCGGTTTTAAAGCGCCAATACGGTTTACTTGTTGAGTCAAAAATGCGGCTGAAGATCAATCTCGTTAAAAAGCTAGACTTCCTCGAAGCCTACTCTCTCGCCCGAATTGAAACGTTTAAATCGGAGACTATCAAAAATAGCTTTGCCGCCGCCGGTTTAGTGCCTTACAACCCTGATCGAGTACTCTCGAACCTTGATATTCATGTTCGAACCCCGACCCCCCCCCTCGAGCCGGGGTAGTGAGTGGGAGCCAAAAACCCCCTCAAATTATATCCAATTACAAAAACAAGCTTCTTCGATAAAAGCCTTCTTAAAACAGCGCTCAAAAAGCCCACCGAGTCCGCTAAATTCAGCAATCAATCAGGTTTTAAAAGCCTGTCAAATCACAATGCAGTCAGCAGCTATTCTCGAGAAAGAAGTAAGCGATTTACGCGCTGAAAACGAGAAGAAGAAGCAAAAAATGGCTAGATCTACAAGGCAAATACCTTCCGAAGAAGGTCTTACAGTTTTAGAGGCCACTACCTTGATAGCGCAGTTAGGGCAAGCAAATTTGACGCCAATACCCCGCGAGGTAGGGCCAGCTCCAGGGCCTTCTCAGCCACGTACAAGGGCCTTACCGACGTGCAGCGTTTGTGGAATTAAGGGTCATAGGTTTACCACATGTCCTAGTAAGAATCGTCTTTAGCTTATTCAATTTAATGGAGTTTTGGTTGAGAAAAATGCATTTGAAATTACTGAGTTAGTTGGGGTGCGCCACTTTCTTGTGTGCGCCATTTGCTTGTGAATTACGTTAATACATCTCCCTTCTAATAAGGCGTATGACCTCCTTGTGCCTCGATAACAGCCTGGCAGCGTGCCTGCATTAGATCGATTTGTTGGTCTAGAAAGCTTGTAGGTATCGCATCCCAGGCAGCTCTTATAACCTCGCGTAACTGATCATAGGATAGCTTACGATCATAGGCTTTCAAATATCGATCGCCAATCCAATCCTTTATCCGCCCCCAAAGCTGTTCAATAGGATTAAGATCAGGCGAATATGGCGGCCAATCAATAGGATATATCCCACGCTAGCTCCTCAATTGTGAGAAGGTTTCGATGAGACGGCGCGCCGTCTTGCATCACAATAAGATAAATATTTGTATTACGAGCCATCGTGACCATACCATCAATTAGCGGCACAATTCGTTCGGTATATCGTTCGTTATTGATAGTCTTCCATTCCTTTTCCCAGAATAGACATAGGCCCTTTTGATTGCCATAGAACGACCCCCAAAACATCCAACCAGGCGTACGAGAGATACGCTCGCGTGTACAAGTATCATCAAATTCTTCACCGGCGCGGCGTGTCACATATATACGTCGATGATAGATTGATGTAACCCAGGTTTCATCAGTCCATAATACCTTATTCCACTGCTCACGGGTCCAATTAACATGCTCCAATGCCCAGGTTAGACGTAGGGCTCGTGTATGATCAGATAACGGAGGCTTTCGAAGGGCCTTACATCGGTGATATCCACGTCTAGCAAGAGCCCTTCGTAAGGTCTCAGTGCCAACGGTAAGTTGTAATTCTTGAATAACCAGGTTGTAAGGCATTCATCGTGTCTCCTTCGAAGATGTGATAAAATCTATTATCTCATCTAGCTGTTCTTCCGATAACTTCCGAGCGCGGCCAGGGGCCTTACGTGGTGTAGGCCTCTTATCCGTACAGGCTTTTTGGACCTGGCGCTGTGTAATACCTAATTCTAGTGAAATTTGGGAATAGGTATAGCCCTGAGCTCGTAGTGTACGCGCTGCGACATGTTGATCACGGGAGGCCTGGTGCCCAGGTGTTTGTGGAGCCTGAGAGGTCTGATCGGAGGTCTGGTCGGAGTTCTGGTAGGAGGTCGCCATAGCTAGTATAGGTAGGTCGTACGTAGTATAGGAGGGGAAATTTAAGGGGAGGAAGGACTGAAATAGTTAGGTATTATACTAGTCTAAATTAGGTAGGCGGTTGAAGAATGTATTAGTCATATGCTAAGGGTGGAAGTACCACGCTAACATTTTCATTGGGTAGACCTTCGTATACAAGGAGTGCGAAGCAAAAGTATGCTAAGCTATGCGGGTCTCTCAGAAGGGCCGATCGAACGCAGAGCCTAGGAGGAGCTATCATGTGTGATACGATCAATCAGAGGGTCTAACTGAAGCTTTTCGAGGATGGAATCTGTCATAGAGGCACTGGAACGCACTTTAGGTAAATATTCTATGAAGCGTTGTAGCAGAAAGAGCACACACGTGAAGCCTCTCGCGACCATGTCTGGGAATCTGTTGATTACAGTTCCACCGTCTTCATTGATCTGCTGAATGTAGGTATTGATCTGCTCCGTGGTGGCCGAGTCTTTAAAGGTGACCTGTCTTGGTTAGGGAGAGCATAGAAGGCGAATAGAAATTTGTTTACAATATAATTCGAGTTCATCTTGTCGGGCTTGTTCAATTTGCTTCGACTTTTCGTTGAAGGAAAAAATTAATAACATAGGTTGCAGATTATTCCTTGACGGGACCCGGCGGCTATTACTAAAAATGACGTCAATACAAGGGAAACGAATCCTTTCATCTGGTGGTAGACTACACGTGGCCAACACCATTGGAAATATGTTACTACTGCCCATCGAAACAATACTATGCATATATGTGCCTTAAATTTAATCTGAAGAAAATCGTTAATGTAGCACAGTCTGTCTTTCTCCCCACAATAGGCTCTGTGGGTTAGTAATTCGAAATCGGGGGTTGGGTTTTCCCGAGTTATCTGATAGAAACCGTAGAAAACACATCCGCGAGTGAAAGTCGGATGCATCACTTATAGTGTCCGCGTTTCTTTGTTCAAGCTATGCAACGATCAGCCTAGGTGTGGTTTCCTTTATGTTGGATTCGTTGTGGGGCTTATCTTCATCCCGCTCAGCCAATTAAGTGGACTTGAATCCGTCTAGAGGAATCAAACTGGTTTGTGCTGTTCTACTTTTGTTTCTTTGAAGTCGGACCAGCGTCAGCACTTTCGACAGCTTGTAATAAGACACGTGGGGGAGCCATCAATGAAAATTGTTTTTCCGCGCTAGGAGATGACATCGATGACATCATTCTGCTATGAACGCAAATTCCGGTCGCCGCAAGAGGATGGGTTTTCCATCGAGAGAGGAGCGGGTCGTCGAGACACCTATAATTGAAACCACACTTCTCAAATCATATCCTTGTTACCGTGATCGACTCACTGAACCAGCTTACCGTTCGGCTGATAGCTAAGTCGTAAGCTGACCGACTTGATACTTCTTCTCTTTTCGAAAACGAGCTTTTCACTTTCAACGACACACAAGATGTCTGTTGCTTTTGATTTCAATATTTCTGCACAGGAGTTTGCTGATATGCTACCGACCGGCGTTGCAATTCTAGATCAAAATGACGAGTCAATCATGGTGAATCGGCGCTTCCGAGAACTTATGACCTGCTCAAGCGCTAGGTCATTCGAGTGCTGGTCACAGTCAATTCACCCAGATGATTTTGACCGAATAGCCTCTGCGTATTTTGAGACCACACGCTCTAAGCGTGCCCTTCGCATCGAGTTTCGTACTCACAGCCGAAAACCTTTGTGGCGAGTTCTGGCATTGGCTCCGTTAGATGAAGTTGATATGCACCGGCTCAATTTAAGCAATGGTGGCTTTATATGCACTATAGCAGATATTACCCACGAAAAGACAGCCGAACTTTTGCAAGTGGAAATTGCACGAGAAGCACAAGAACGCAAGCAACAACAGGAACGTTTCATTGATATGATCAGTCATGAAGTCCGAAATCCGCTTTCTGCTATTCTTCATTGCACAGAGGATATACTTGAGGCTGTACAGAACAAAGGAAGCAGTGGATTACCTGTGGCAGACATTGCACAAGCAGCAGAAACAATAAGCTTCTGCGTTGCACATCAAAAGAAGATCGTCGACGATGTTCTTACATTTTCGAAGCTAGACGCATCGATGTTGACCTTGTCACCGCGAAGAGATCAACCGAAACGACACTTTGCACGAACATTGTCTATATTTCGGCCGGAGCTTCGGAAGCAAGACATTCAGTTTGAGTTCAAACTTGACAATTCTTACTCAGAATGCGGGATTGAGTGGGTGTTAGCCGATTTAAGCCGGATGGGCCAGGTTCTTATCAACCTGGTTTCCAATGCTATCAAGTTCACTGCAAAAGCGGATAGTAAGAGAGAGATCAGAGTCTCCATGGGCGCCTCCACGAAGCGGCCGCCATCTTACCCTCCTAATGTTGTATTCTTTGAACCTAGCGAAAGTGCACTTCGCCTAGATGCCACTAGCGCACCTGAGTGGGGAGAGGGCCAAGTCGCGTATGTGATGGTTGCCGTGAAGGATACCGGGATTGGTATTAGTGACCAAGATCAAAAGCGACTATTTGAGCGCTTTAACCAAGCGACACCCAGAACTGAAAGCGTTTATGGTGGCTCTGGTCTTGGCCTAAATGTGAGCAGAAAACTTTGCCACCTTCATGGTGGAGAAATCGGCGCAAGCTCAAAGGAAGCTGAGGGCAGCACGTTTGGTTTCTTCTTCAGAGTCCGGCGGGATGATGAGCCATATAATCCCGTTCTACCTAATTACGACAAATCCGAAATTGATCAGTTATGTGGTGGGATCCAAGCGCTGAGCAACAAGGTTATCGGGGACAATGACCGGACGAAGTCTCCTGAAATACCAGAGAATCCCGTTGTCACTCACATCGCGGAAATAGCACCAGGGGCTGCGAGTGACGACAAATACATGCATACGTTGGAGATAGCTCACCAAGCCAAGACTAATGAGCCTTCTGCGAGCGAGCACGAAGTCCTGCACGATGATCCCAATGTGGACAGAACTTCGAAAAGCTCAAAAGGGTCCGCCGCAATTGGCGGGAAAGCTAACACGAACCTTCGACGTGTCCTCGTGGTGGAAGATAATATAATAAATCGACAAATCGTTTCTAGAAAACTGCAATCCTTGGGATTTCATATCTCGGAGGCGACGAACGGCCAACAGGCCTTGAATGCTGTCCAACGCGAGGAATTTGACTGCATCCTCATGGATCAAGAAATGCCAGTCATGGATGGAAAGTCCGCGACTGTGGCAATCCGCAATCTTGATCGTGCAGCGGATACCCCTATCCTTGGGGTCACTGCAAATGTGAGGGCGAGTCAACAAAAAGAGATGTTGCACGCTGGTATGGACGATATTATCCATAAGCCGTATCGGACAAATGACTTGTTTGAGAAGATAAATCAACTGATAGTACTCAGGTCGAAGGAATAAAATGCTAGGCTGGATGCTACATACAGGATCACTTTTGAATTACCTGGTGTCTGAAGAAAGTCGAATATCTCAAACTTACCGTTAGGAATATCCGTACAAATTTAGCGTAATTTGAGAGTAAATATGTATATCCTAGCTACTGAAAGATCTCCGAGGCTATGGAGGGATTAGGCCCCCGCCTAGAAAATCCATCATATGCGCGTATATTATTATTTTCTCCATCTCAGACGGCCCGGATGTGGAGCTGCTCTCTCTGCACGCTAGTCGGCACTTGAAAGTGGATCTCTCGCACACGGGAGAGGCCACGAATAGCAACCGCTGCATTAATGTAACCAGCCCCATCTTCGTGAAGTCAAACGATGTCACTCGTTTCCCATGTCCAATAGTGGCCCTAGTATATAACAGGGCCCGCAGACTCCCCAAGGGCCGCGCGCCTCAATTCTGCCCGGTTGTTTCTTCCGCTATGGCGGTAGCCGACTTATCAGGTCAGGCTGTGACGCTCTTCTGCTGCCTCATGAGCCTCTATGTCTTCAGGATTATTACGACATATGCTAAGTTGATGCAGTTCCGGGGGCCCTCGGGAACCGGCATTTCGAACTGGCCTCATAGCATGGCGATGCTTCGAGGCAATTGCCACGAGTGGTATGCAGAAGTCAACAAGAAACATGGTGCGAGGGATTTCCTAGACATCTCTTATGCTTCGCATCCGGGGAGCCGCATGTATTATAGCTAACATGTTCGACTGAGCCAGGTCCGATCGCCCGTGTCGCGCCTCAAGTGCTGGTCACGTCGTCTCCCGAAGTTTGGATGCACGTGAACAACAAGCCTGGCTACAAACGCTCCAATTGGTACTACAAAGCCGCACGAATCGAGTACCGAAGGGACAATGTCTTCAGTCAGACGGATAACACGAAACACGAGCAGCGGAGGAAGCAGATGGCTCCAGGGGTATGATAGCTGCCTCGTACTTCTCTCCGAGTCTATCCCCACCCATTCATACCTGCGTAGGCTTCAGCTGGATCACCCAAATGCCCTTCATCGGCAGGTTTATTGCACCATCGCCCAAAGATAGCAACGGCTTCGGTAAGATGATGGCCGCATGCTTCCGCCTTGTCGAAGAGCGCGCTACGGGCTCGACCAACGAAAAATCCAATATGTTAGCCTCCTTCATGCGCCACGGTCTAGCAGGTGACGAGCTGCGCACTGAAGCCTTAGAGCAAATAATTGCGGGCTCTGACACCACTGCTGGCGCGCCATCCGTGGCACCCTTTTGTACCTCATAACGAACCCCCGCGTCTACCTCAAGCTACAGCACAAAATTGACGATGCCACGCGCCGTGGCCTTGCTCCGAGCAAGGGCGAAGGCATTATTACTGCCGCCCAGGCTGGAAATCTTCCGTACCTCCAGGCAGTGATTCGCGAAGCTCTGCGAGTCTGCCCGCCTGTTACGAACATCTTCCCGCGTGATATCCCGCCAGGTGGCGACGCTCTTACCGTCGACGGGGAGAGCGTATTCTTACCAGGCGGCGCCTGCATCGGGTATTCCGCATGCGCTATGCACCAAAGCGAGAAGATCTATGGCAAGGATGCAAAGGCTTTTCGACCAGAGCGGTGGCTCGAGTCGGACCCTGCCAAGCTGGCTGTCATGGTTCGGACCAACGAACTCATTTTCGGCCACGGCAGATTCCAGTGTTTAGGGAAGGCAGTGGCACAAATCGAATCGGAAAGACGGTATTCGAGATGAGTAGAAAAGCTCCGCATGTCTACTTTAGTCCTCTTTCATCTCGATGGCACGCTAACTAACCGCCGACCGGATACAGCTGTTGCGTAATTTCGACCTAGCACTTATGAGCCCCACGCATCCCTGGGATGCGCGGAACTACCTAGGGCTTTTTGCGATTTCAAATATGTGGGTGCAGGTGATGGAGCGAATGCCCTGTTCTCTTTGATACGGCAGAGAGGATTTCCCGTGTAATGTTCAGGAGCACCTGCCATGATAATGCTTTCCAGGCATTCTTAATGGTACTGTAGAATGCTGAGAAGTTGATGCTTAATGTGTGGTTCGTATTTTGGATGTGTGACAATACTGCTTCTCGCTATTGGGTCTTTTGTATTATACCATTCCACAATCTGACGGACTGAGAAGCAGCCCAACGCAACCCACAGTAAAGCGAGGTGGGAAACATTGTCCACGATTCCTAGTGATGAAGTGTAGGCACTCTTTGGAAATCCACGTTGGGTTATCAATAGATGAGATGGTCAAATATGAATCGTCGAAGATTGAATAGCCTTCTGTGTCTCAAATAAACAAGACCGGGGAGGAGTTGATCGTCGTCCAAGGTTCCTTAACCGACTCAGCATCACTTTTTTCTAACATGAACCTATCCCGCTGCCTCGTGAGTCTGCATCTCGTGAGTGTTGAGATGCATCAATCTGCATTGTGTCTATTCCGCAAGGCATTTTTGACCCTTTGTCACTCGAAGTTGGCGTACAGCCTCCAACTTGATTGAGATGATCGATTACAAACATGATTTAACTATGCACACGCAATACACTGTATGCTCAAGATCAGACCCAAGGGTGTAGAGCTATGTGACGAGGTGTCGCTCGAAAATACGAATCGTGGGCTCAATCCAACATTATAACGCGATAAATTGATGGCATTCTGAACGCACTACCATAGTGGATGGCAGGAAATAGTTGAGGGCGCTATAGTAATGATCAGGCAATCAAGTGATGGCAGAGAGACTGGAGTGTATATCCACGAAATGAACAATCATTCTGTTGAGATAAGTAGTTGTAATGTTCTTGTTGAGGTTACTATCAAAAGTGGGAATCCCATCTACTTAAACGTCCATCGCTAGTCCCGCCATAAGCTTTGACCACCGCGATACTCAACAGATACAAGTAGGCTGGTAAACAGGTATATATGTATGCACGTGATTCCAGCCCCATTATTATCTCAATAACCGGGATATTTCAACAAATATCGTCAACAGTACTTTGGTTCTCGTGGGATGGCAATTTTTTCAACCGGGAGCGGCGAAACATGGCTTCCTGTGAGAGGCTGGCTTGGTCTCTCGGACAACGCGCTGATCACGTTTGACTCGAGGGTGTTTGGGCGCTTGTTAAGCTATGATTGAACACTGGAAGCAGGCGTTTCATTGCTTGTCGTATCCAATTAATCGACGGGAGGGCTAAAGGTACAGTACAAGTCTCTCTAGAGTTCATCTGCTGTTCCGTGTCCTTTGTCAAGATAGATGGCGCCGAATTCCTGGCGTAACTAAGCATGTTTATCGACTTTTTCGGTAACCCCACATGGCTTTCTACTAACTTGAGGACTACAGCTCAGCAAGGCTGGGTTCGTAGTCGGATCCAGCACATCCTCAGACTCGACAATCGTGACCGGGGAGGGTTCCATGCATGGCTGCGCTCTCACGTTTCTACATTGCTGTGCTTACAATGGTACAGATCTTAAATTTCCGAATTTATTGCCTTGGCCCCCCGGCCGAGTGACATATCCCTTTACCCCAACAGCACTCGCATTCAGTATTATTTCGAACCTATCAGGCCAAGGGAAGAGTTAACAAGCTACATGGAAAGTCAAAGCGGGAAGATGGTTGTTACAGGTAGGTGTATTCCAGAACGCTTGCCTCTCTTTCCCTTTCTGGTATGCCTGTGGCCTTTTTTTCTTTCTTTTTTTTATCAAACGACATTCCTTTTTACGTTTACATGGCTAACAAATTCGGCATCAGTATGTGCTGGCCCATTCATCCGTGAAGCAGTGCTAGACACCGCTCGTCCAATAACGAGCGAGGATCTGCGGTTGTTCAGTCTATATCTAGAGCCTTCGTTTGAGTGGCTGAATGAACTTTCCACGCAAGCCGCAGAGTGCTCCGGCCAGATGAAGGCTCGCGAAGGGCATCGGGATTTATCTGATTGCCCCTCTGTGCTTTCTGGAAGCACACTTACTCCTGAAAGTAATGATGAAAGGTGGCGCAAGCAAAGGATTGCCCAAGGCGCTCCAACGGGGTTATGGTGCACAAAAGGTTCAAAGCAATCTACAGGAGAGCGCTATGCTGTATAATAGACCTTCAGGTATTCAACCCGCTAAATTCGAAATTGTTCCAGCGTTTTTATAAAAAGCTCTCTTTCGTTGCCATACAACCCCGTCGGCTTTCGTTGGTGAACACTCGTGAGCCGTTGAAAGCAACACTAACACTGTCCCCGACTTTTCTTCTCAATTCCGTCCTCAGCTCTCGGAGCCTTGAGCATTCTATCAATACGTGGGCAACTGTCTCCTGCGCGCCGCACTCGCACCGATCGTGCTCGCTGTATCCCATTTCCTTCCGGTTAGCTGGATAGCCAGTTGTGGCCCATGCGTAGCTGTGTTAGCAGGTACGCGCGGTTCCTGGGTAAATTCCCGTATAGTTTCCTGGTTTATCGCGCCGGTAGGGCGCCGTCAACTTTCCGTAAGTAAGCGCCTTTGGTGCTTGACTTCCACTCTCGCCCCCACTGAGTATAAATGTTTCCGCGGACAAATGTATTCTCCCTCGATAGTAGCGGCCGGAAGGGGTGGGATTTACCCGGTTACGCAGCTTCTTAGGCCAATCGGTCTGCAGCGTCGTTCCCTGGGATTTCACAATGTCCTGGCATCCATTACGGCGGAGCCTAACGTTCACTCCCTGGACCTCAGCGGCTGCTTGGAGGATCGCATGGATGATACGCTGTCCCGATCGATTTTTGACGTTCTGGATTGCTTGCAAGGCCGACCTGCTATCACATAAAATTGTTGCCGTTGACTGCACTCCGTCCTCGACATTCGTACGCTGATGGGCCAGCTTGAACACCATGTCGACCGCGTAGAAGATGCCAATGAGCTCTGCAACGTGGACCGACCAACGTTCCATGGGGCCCACCTGGACCTGTTGGGATTCTATCACCTCTTCATTGTCGTTGAGTGTAACGATGGCGGCCCCCAGATGGCCCTTCCGCCCGGAGGCGTCCGAGTAGACGATTATGTCTGACGTGTCCTTTGCGGAAACTGCTCGTTCTCTCGCTGTTTCTCGGTCTGGTTCAATCTCAATCTCCGTGAAGGCGTTCTTTCGCTACGGTGGTAGCGGGCGTGGATCAATCGTCTCCAGTTCGTTGAGCCTGTCGACATCCATTGTTTTCAACGCTTCTGCTAGAGGGGAAGCGCGCGTACGACCCTATATTGTTTCTCCGATTCTGTGCACGTGATAGTGCGCCCCAAATGGGGTGGTCACGCGGTAGGGTGTGTAGTCTCGCGATGGTGCGATGTGCGCGGTGGCGAAGACGAAGATGCGTAGGGAGTATTTGAGCTTCCACTTCTAGCGTTGTGGTGGCTACTGTCCGGAATGCCGATAAAATCCGGATCAACGCAGTTCTCTGTACTGTGTTCAAGTGTCGTAGGTGAGTCTTATCCCGGAGCGGGTCATGCCAGACTGTGGATGCATAGTCTATGACGGGTGTGACACACGCTTGGTAGAGCTGTCGCATTTGTTCTGGGCGTAAGTGTCCTAGTCCACTTAGCGCGATAGTCGTCTTGGTAACCCGTTTGATGGCCTGCTGAACGTGTTCCTTCCAACGAAGTCCCTGGTCGAGCACTACCCCCAGCAGTTTGGCTGTAGGTGACGGCTTGACTTCGGCTCCATTGAAGGTGATTTGTCCCCCCTAAGTGCTCTCCCCTCTTTCTGGTGAGGTGGATGAGCTCGGTTTTCTCCGCCGCGAAGCAGGATCCCGTTCGCCGCGCCCACTCTTCAATCCGAGGGAAATCCTCGGACTGTATTTTGGCCAAGTTTTCCTCGGCCGAGCGGCCCACTCGCCATCGGAAGTAGTCGTCAATGAATGCCGACGCGCCTCCGTGGGAGTTGACGGGCTGGTCGACCAGATCGACGTAGAAGAAAACAAACAAGATAGGAGAGAGTGGCGACCCTTGCGCTAGTCCTGCATTGGCTAGGGGCTTTGTCTCAGTACGGAAGTCATCAAATCCAATATTGGCGTGTCGGTCGCTCATGAAACTCGCGATCCATTTCCTTGCCGCTATCGGGATCCCTCTCGCTTGTAGCGCGGCGTCTAGGCTCACCGAGTTCACCCCGTTAAAGGCACCCTTGAGGTCGAATGCAATTAGTGTTACCACTTTGTGTTTATAGTCGAGATGTCGGTCTGGATACCGCCGAGGTAGTGTGCAACCGCTGCTGGCAAGGATCCTAAGCTGCTACATTGTCGGGCGAACTAGCGGATAACATCCGTCTTCTCGTCTAGATGTTGGCTATTGTTATGTGCTGATGCTACTGACACATGCGCGTAAGTCTATGCTGTAGACATTGAGATTCGGGCTCCTATCGCTATCTGAGGCTACCGTTGGACCAGCAGGGAAACTAGCAGGGGCCAAAAAGCTCACTTTCTCTCGGTGGTCAGCGGGTGAATTCCCAGAATGCGCGATACTATCTCTGTCCTCGTCGGATGGCGAAGCGGCGTGGAGCCACCACAATCCACTATGCAAACTTGAGGGTCACGGGATTTACTCGACCGAAACGGTCGGCGAAAATGGAAATACAGTACAATTATGTCTAACGGCATTCAGACCTCTTAAACCGATTCTCAAGGGCTTACGATTACAACGTGGTTCAAATCTGTTGAAAGTACGGTCGCAGAATACGGTATCCTCGATGAAGATATCTACAATTCGACGAGACTGGCTTCGCTCTCGGCCTAATTGCTACTACCAAAGTAGTGACTCGAACATCATACGGTCGGCGAGCTCTTCTACAGCCAGGAAATAGGCAGTTGGTCTAAAAGACTGCGCGACAACGCGCAAGGGAGCGAAATGCTGATCTGCGGGACTACTATCTGCATAAACTATCAGAATTTCATTCATATCACTTGGTGTATGTTGATGAATCCGGATGTGATAAGCGTGTTGGATTCAGGCAGACAGGTTGGGCGCCGCTTGGCAAAGCTTCACTGCAGGTAACACTGTTCCACCGCCACCAGCGATATCAAATACTGCCTGCGTATGCCCAAGATGGAATCGTCCTGTTGTGTGTCTTCCGAGGCTCTACGGATGCCATCGTATTTGATGACTTCATAGCCGAGCTTCTTCAGCATTGCGGAAGATGGCTAGAACCTATATTAGTCTTCGTAACCGGGCCTTCGAACCCGACACCCCTGCGGTGGTCCGGGTTCCCGGGCGTAATGGTTTTCCGGGCGCAGTGGTTATTTTTTCACAATTTATTGGATTCAACCACCATACCTATCTAAATTAATTAAATTAATATGCATACTCGACTCTACGTCTATTCATATACCTGATGTTGCAGTTTTTTAATCAAATATACGCATGATGGCCGTACAATGGCTTTGTAAACCAACCTCAAATTGCTTGTCGTCATCTATACCTTCCACCAAAATCTATTTAAATAGAGGATCACCCTGAGTATCAATACAAAAAAGGCCATCTATCCATTCAAGACCTAATTCTTCATCCATTCCAGCCTCAATTTCAGCCTCATTTTGCCCGGTGGCCTCGGTATCGCCGTCTTCAATAGCTTTTTGAATTGCGGCCAAACGCCAAGACTTTTTATCACGCTTGAATTGCTGTAGCCTCTCTCGATCCACGCGGTCAGCAATATGCTTTTTGCAGTCCTTAACTAGCTTAGGGCCTAAATTGGAAAGCCTACGCTTCGTCTTTTGGGTCCCAGCTTGCTTTTTGCGGCGTAAAATCCGTACATTATCCGCGGCAAATTGCGCGCCGACCTCTGCAAGCGTTAAACCACCCTCTAGAATTCGAATCAAACCATCTTTGATCTTCGGAGATAGAGAAGTATCATTGTGGATATGCTTGAACACCTTTGTACTGCATTTTCGGAGCTTTTCAACAGTATTAGGTGGTGAATTCGGCAGTGAACTAGATACTGGCGGCGGTGTTTCACCCCTTTGGATCACGTCGTGGATAACAAATCCAGGCATCTCAGGTAGATCGTTGTCGTCGTTATTAAGGCCTCATTTTGTAAGGCCTTTGGTTGAATCAATCGGCCAAATGCCAGTCTCTCGAAATCCATGCCGAATTGAACGCTGGGTTAATGCTTTCATTCGTACGCTATGAATTCCGTCGAAAAATATAGCCTTATCCTTTGGATCACCGCCCCAAAAGGAAATGGCATTGTTGAATTGACGATAGTATGATGATGATGATGAACTCATTTGCCCGATGTAGCTCGCTCTATATATATGCTGCTATGCGGGAGTGCTGTCAGGCCTGCCGACAGCTGCAAGGTGGTCGCCAGCCCACTAGGCGATCGTCAAGGAACTCGTCTTGCGAATTTCTGATCAATCGCCCTCGAATGGAAAGATGTAGACTAAACAAAAGAAATGCACGGATGCAAACATGGTAAACACAAAGCCAAAATGAACGAACGTCATTTACCCCTGATCGAGGGTAGGACCCGGGCCCCACTTCAACACACACCATTCCCACGCCCTCTTCTCTCCAACCGTCCAGTCTTGTCGGCTGCCGCTTGCGTGCTCGCTTGGATCAAGGGAGTACTGTGGACCTGGCACTGCACTCCTAATGGGCGCCATCCTTCTTCTTCCGTCACACTGTCTAAGGGGTCTTTATCTCCGCTCCTTCGTCGTTCTCTTCCTCGCCCAGAGCCGTAGGGTCGACTGTCTGAAATTGGCCTAGGAGGCCGGTCTTGACCATAAATTCAGCCACAGCCGTGCGAGCCTCCGGTCGTGTCAGGAGTTCGTCTCGACTAAGAGTAGTTCCCTTGTCGGAAAGGGCGCTTCTCATCCAGTCTCGCTCATCCTGGTGCAAGGGGCACTCCAACAGGACGTGGATCATTGTTTGGTTGCCAAGGTCGCAACCACACCGCGCTGTTTCGCGTCGGTTGATACGGTTCAGGTAAGCCCCTAGGCCAATTCGCCCAGTACGAAGCTGCATCAGAATCGATGTCGTCGCTTTGCACAGGCCCGACCAGTATTCTAGCGTCTTCTTGGTTGGTGCTTCAATCAGGCGTCTCGTCGGGCGGCTGGTCGTTTCCTTGGCCCACGTCCTGTCCCACTCCAGCTTCGCTTCTCTGCGAATTCGCCGTTTCGCTGCGGCTGCGAGGCATATACCTCGGTTGCGAGGGTTCTGTAGGCCGTCCGGTTCTTGGGCTGCTTGTTTTGCGTGTTGGTCTACAATCTCATTGCCAATGACCCCTTGGTGCGCAGGAATCCATCTGAGCTCTATCCGGACGCATCTGCCAGCAAGCCGCTGGATCAGGCCGAGGCATCCTGCTAGATAGACCTGTCCTGACGGCATCCGCGGTCGCCTTAGCGCCTTCAGCGCTGCTTGGCTGTCCACAAAGATGACTACCCCGTTCTTCGCCTGCTTAGCCCATGACTCTGTGCTTTCCAGAACCATTTCAAGTGCCATCTCAATGGCTCGAAGTTCTGCCGCATACACGGTGGACGTATCATCATCTCCCATGTGGCTATGAGCATGTTGATCCTCAAGGTCCACGACCGCTGCCGCTCCGATCCTTCCATCAATTCCGCTCCCGTCGGTGTACAGAATCAAGGGTCTTTCTTCTGGGTCTTTCATCCGGATCTGGTTGTGATTGTTGACCGCAGCTTCTCTGTCCGCGATGATCACCTCTGGTGGTGCTTGCCATGGTGCCAGGACAAATGCCTTTCGACTCTCCCATCTTCTCGTCGAAGTATCCGGGGGAGCCGTAAGACATCCGCCCGCCTTCCACGCTTGTGCCTCCATTGGTGTCCATCCAGCCCAGTCTCTCTCATCTGCCGGTCGGCGACGTAACATCGTGGGCGGGACAGCGAACTCTGGTCCTGTCCGTAGTCGAAGGGCCGTTTCTTTCACCAGTCGATTCATGTGAACAGAAATAGGCGGTAGGTAAAGCTCTGCATTCAGTGCCTCTGCTGCCGTGGTTCTGAAAGCTCCACTGATGAGACATGCTGCCTGCTTCTGGATTGCCACGAAAGGCCGACTGATTATGCGTGCCTTGGAATTACTGATGATTATAGGTTGATACCACGCGGAAACCCCGAAGAGCATCTGCGGGATGATCACCGCCTGGTAAATTTTTCGCATTGCATAGAGTGAGGCCCCCCACGTTGACCCTGCCAGGCTTCGTAGTGCTCCAAGGGAGACGCCAGCCTTGGCCACCGCTTTCTCGCGGTGATGGCGGAATTCCAGGCCTGGATCCAGCCAGTAGCCGAGGTATCGCTCAGCTGTCCTTGTGGCTGTCACGGTGTGACCTCGTAGAGACAGCGATGTGTATTGTGGGTCGAGTTCCCTGGTGTTTACAAAGTGCACCAGTGCATACTTCTTCGGGTCAAAAACCGATGCATGTTTCTCGGCCCATTGGTCCGCTTTGCGGCATGCCGCTCTTAGTTTCTTGATGGTTTCGCGTTCGCTGTCCCCGTTTGTCATGAAGCAAACATCGTCGACCCACCCGTTGCTAGTCACACCGTTACCGCAGTTCTCTATGAGGTCTGCGTTGTAGATGGGATATAGAATGGGTGAGATCGGTGATCCTTGAGGGATGCCTGTAGGTGTCGGGATTCGATCAGATGTGCCCTCGGGCATGCGGATCCGTGTGCTTCGATTGCTCAGGAAGGCCCTCACCCAGGGAACGAAGTGTCCCAGACGTCGTTTCTTGATGTTGTGTAGTAGACGTTCATGGGAGACATTGTCGTACGCTCCAGACACGTCCAGCATTAGCAGGGATACCACTGGCTTGCCTTTTCCCCATGCGGTTTTGATTCGGTCGATGATAATGTGGATAGCATGATCGGTGGATATGCCCTTTCGCCCGCCTAGATGGGTTCGTGGGAGTAAACCGTTGGTTTCTGCTGCGTAGCTGATCCGTCGCGCGACAACTGCCTCCAGAAACTTTCCGAGCGTGTTCAGCAACGCCACGGGTCTGTAGGATTTTGCGAGCTGGTAGTCACTTTTACCTTGCTTCCGGAGCACCACCGTGATTGAGCGCTGGAAATGTGACGGGTTGTACCCCGTGTTTATGCATGCGTTGAATAACTGGACCACTGTTTCTAGAATCACCGGTATCTCGATAAGCTTGTGCCAGAGAGAGTTTGGTATACCGTCTTCTCCGGGTGCTTTCCCTGCTTTCGCTCCTCGCACCGCCTCCTGTATCTCTTGAGCGGTGACTGCTGGAAACTCAATTTGCTGTGGGTACAGGAATGAATCTGTGTCGGATAGATCGGCTGGTGGTGGTTTTGGGAAGAAGGCAGTCCGGAATGCCTCTGCCTTTTGCTCAACTGTTTCCGCGAGAGTTCCAGGCATTTGGGGATCTTGTATTTTCAGCGAAGGGGTGATGCCCTTCTCATATGCCCCGTCTCGGTTTCTTGCCCATTTAGCCAATCGCCACATACCCTGTGGGCCATCTTCAACGACCTGCTGGACTCGGCGCCGGTGCGCTCTTGACAACGTTTTCTTGACGAGTCGCGTTTTCTTGTTGCGTGCTTCCGAGTAGCACATCCAGTCGTAGGGGTCTTTGGTCCTCGTGTGTTTGCGACGGAGGCGACGAACTTCTTTGACCGCAACTTTACACTCGTCGTCAAAGTCGGGGTTCGACCACGCGGATGGTTTTGCCCATGGGGTTGATTCCTCGATTGCTGACTGGATCACACCCATTAGCTCCTGGCATTTGGCTTCTATCCTCTGCGGATCTGCCTCGTATAGGCCCCCTGCCTGTAGACCTCCTTCGATCTTCTGGATGAGTTTTTGATCATCAGTTGCGTTCCAGTTTCTTCTCTTCTGTTGTACAGCAATGGGTGTAATAATATCAAGCACAGTCCTGATCGGGAAATGGTCGGATGCATGTTCGATGTCATCAGCTCTCTCGCAATGGATCAGCCTGTTGACAAGGTTAGATGTGATGAAGGTGAGGTCAATCACCGATGACTGATCGTTTCGAGACCAGGTAGGTCTGCCTTGTTGGGTCGTCAACTCGAGTTCCCATTCATTGGCGATTTCTAGGAGTTGCTTGGCCTCCTGATCGGCCCTGGTCCCTGTTCCTCCCCATCTCGGGTGATGCGCGTTCATATCTCCAAGGACGATGTGTTCTCCATGAGGTCGTTTTGACAGCTCATTTCTTAGATGTCTAAGGGTATTGCTGCCCGGCCTATTGTATATGTTGTGTATGAAGAGATCTGTCCAGTCTCTGCCTTGATGAGCCTTTCTAAGTTTCAGTAACTGGTAGTCCTGTGAGACGAGTTGACACGACCAATGGCTCGGGTCAAGCCTTTTAGAGACAAACAGGCATACTCCCGGTTGGGAGAGATCCGAGGCTTGGACTTGATCATCCTGGCCTTGGGTTGATCCGTCAGCAGCTCCTTTTGGTGGGTAGATTAGCTGGAAAGTTGCCGTCGCTGGTTGGTGCGTTGTGTGTTGCATTTCGTTCTTCCATGGCTCCTGCACCGCGACGACGTCCGCCGCGAGGACATTTCTATCTCTGAGGAACGTTGCCATCACTGGCCACGATTTGTGTACGTTGTATTGAAGAATCTCAAACGATTTCATTGATGAGTTTGTTCGTCATCGCTTCGTTCGCTGGCCTCGTGCCATACTTCGTCATTTGGGTCTTCGATTGTTGGTGCATCCGTCGGAAAGAGCGGCGGAGATGATCCAATCGGTATCGCTTGCCGCTGTGTGTATTTCAGAATCACCAATTTGCGGTATTCGGGGCTCTCCGGGTCCAATTCCCCCTCGTCATCAGGCCCGGACGTGTTACCGGCCTCATTGACAGTGGTGACCTCGTTGATGAATTGGGTAAGTCGGTGTTCTAGGCTATCTTGCCGAGTGTCAGGTTGAGGGAGACTGGCCGGAGTGGGTTGAATGCTGAGCCATTCATTGTCGTCTGGTTGCTCGTCCATGGTGTCGTCCGGCTCGCCTGTGCGGCGCCTTTTCGAGGCCGCTTGGAGCCTTGTGGACCCTTGGCATGCCAGCGGTATCACTGTTGGTTTGGGATTCTTTGACCTCGTTCTTGAGCCCTTTGGGCGGCCAGGGCCCCTTTTGAGCTGAGTAGGCTGAGTCGGTTCAGTGACCTCCTCTGGTAATGTTTCTACTTCTATCGCTGCAGTCTCCACGTCGATTACAGCATCCTGGGGGTTCCATGGGGGCTCTTCCCCCCGCTGCCCCTCCGGAGCGTGTATCGACGCTTCGAGTCCATTCGCAATCATGGGGTCTGCCCTAGTCGAAGGTGCTTCGTTGCCGGTGCTTGCCGTCACTTGGAGGTGCATAGGAACGCGGTGATATGCAGGGCAGTTGGCCAGCGCTTGCTTGGCTTCGTTCATCGCTGCAACCTTCACCGGACATTCCCGACTTGTAGGGCGATGCCCTTCGCCACAATTGGCGCACTTGACTGGTATCGCTTGCCCCTTCGTCGACGGACACTCCCAGGTCGGGTGTCCGTTGGCGCAGTGACCGCATTTGAAGAAGTTGGAACAGTGTGACTGGATATGCCCCGGCTTTTGGCATTTTCTGCATAGCTTTATCCGCCCCTCACGACAGAATCGTGATGCATTGTGAATTTGCTTCCCCCACACGATTCCCGAGATGATCGCGCGATTAGCCACGACTGGGCTGGTGAACTCGATCAGGATGGAGCCCTCCGCCCTCTCACCCGGACGGGTCATCCATCCTAGATACTGAATCTTAGCGCCTTCGCCCCAGTTGTTCTGCCTGAGCAGCTCAGCCGCAACGTCAGCCATCGTCTCCGGAGTAACCTTCATCGACCTCACGGGAATATGGTACGCCACCACTCCCCATGACGGTTCTTGGACCACCGAGCCTGGTCCAAAGGCTCTCAGCCACGCAGCATGTTTGCGGAGGACCTCTGCCCCTGCCGCACTGTTGGCGATCATTGCCACATCCCCCGACGGCAATTTTCGAGCGGCGACAAAGAAAGCCTGTCCGGCCAGTACCCCTGAATTCTTCTGACGGGCATTTGTTACCCTCTGTCGTTCAGCCCTCTCGACCAGATCTTTTGGTGTCAATCCACGGATTTGCTCGCGGTTCATTCCGACCTTGACGATGACCTCTCGGTCCTCGCGAAGTTCCATTTCCGGTACTCCTGGAGACGATGTGCCGCCGCTCCGGGTGATAGGAGCCGCAGCCGTAGCCAAGTCGCGCTGCCATTCTTTGGCCCGGAAGTTGCGCCACGCTGCTGCAGAGTTCGCCGCGGGGGTAGATAGTGCCGTCGATAATGTGTTGGTTGTCTTTTCAATGGTATTAATTCGCTGGTTCAGGCGTTCGGTGCCGGCGTTGATCTTGGTCAGCGCCTCAAGCACCTTGGCCATCTCCTGACCGTCTCCCCGTTGGGCGTTTAGTGCGTACTGGCGGACGGCACGAATATATCCAGTGACGTACCGGTCCTCCGTGCCATTGTTCTCGATGTGGTTAAGCACCCGGCGGGCCCCTTCCGCGATGTCATCCATGGATCGGGGCGGATCCGTGAGGGCCGTGCTTTTTGGTGTTCCTCTCCTGTCAGGGGGCAAAATCTGTGCGTTCGCACCCGTCCCAACCATCGCTGCCATCTCCCCTATGAAAAGGGTATCAGGCCGTAGCGCTTGAGGTTACGATTACGATGAACTAATTCACGAGGCCGCGAGACCTCTGATTGGCTGGATATTTCAAGAAAACGTTTTTGCCAAGAAAGAGTTGTTCAATTGACGATAGTAGTTCTTCAAATTGGAAAAAGGCGTATCATCGAGAGGCTGGCAACCATGTGCTGTATGTGGAATGAAACAGTATGGAATAATACGTCGTTTCCAGCAGAATTCAATAATGTCATAGGTCATATGTGAACCATGATTATCCATCAAAAGTAGCCGAAATTCGCCCTTTTTCGTACGTAGAGATGTGAATTCATCGAAGATCTGGACCCAGGCAAAACTGACAATTTCATCGGTCCATCCATTCGGCGTCGGGCAAATTGTATAGTTATCAGGCAAATTGATGCCTGAAAACCAGCTCTCCATATGGAATTGCCCTTTGACCAAGAACCAAGGTGGCATCACCCAGCCATCGGCCGATACACACTCAATTCCCGTTAAAGATTCGCTTTGGCCGCCTGTATTATTGGTTGCATTGCCCCGGCGTGAGACGACCTTTTGGGGCTTGCCTTCGCCAATTCGATAGCCAGTTTCGTCGAAATTGTATAGATTTTTTGGTAGAATATCGTACGTTTTCAACGTAATTTGTAGGCGATCGTACCAAAAACTTAAATATCCAGGATCAACAGGTGCATATCGAGCCTTTTCGATAGGCTTTTGGGTCAAATAATTGTATTCAGGCGGTAGGCGCTTGCAAAAACTGTATCCCCAGTTTTTACCTAGTATACGGGCGGGTTCATGGCGCCGTACAATTTCCTGTGCACAGCCACGGATTTGGGCTGCAGAGGGCGGAGAATAGGCCTGATCCAAGGTATCGATCCATAGAATAAGGGCCTTTTCTTGCTCTGGTTCAAGAGCTTTGTTGGTAGGGATACGTTGGTTTCGAGGGTTGCGACCGTGGATCCGACCTCGCAGTGTATTATATTTAAGGTCAAATTGCTCTGCAACCACGCGGATATTCGGCTTTTCCTGCAAATTGTAGGCAGATATAGCACTTTTTATGCGATCTTCCAAGTTTGAAGCCATAATATGAAGAATTAATGGAGTGGTGGATTTTTGAAATGGTTGTTGTGGGAAAATAACCACTACGCCCGGGAACCCGGACCACCGCAGGGGTGTCGGGTTCGAAGGCCCGGTTAATGGACAACGCGTCGTTCCACCATTCAGAGCGTCTTGCACATATGTGTGTAGACGCTGGGGTGAAATTGGTTTATTTGCCGCCTTATTCGCCGGATTTAAATCCAATTGAGGAGTTCTCTGCTGAGCCTAAAAATTTCATCCGGCGGAATTGGGATTACTATGAAAGAGACCCTGGTCAAGGTTTCGATGCCTTCCTCCAATGGTGTATCACTGGGGTTGGTGCAAAAGAAGAAAGTGCCAGAGGACATTTTCACCATGCCGGCTTGAATGGAGATGTTGAAACAGACATTGAAATAGGAGCCTTACGTGGCTAATAGCGCAAGGAGGTTTGTATTTTGATTTAGATATACATGATGTAAGTAGAGGGAGGCCCTGACCATGATGCGAGGTCTAGCTTTGCTTGTGGTATTTAGATCGCCCTTTTGGCGGGTCAACATGAGCTAGTACTTCTTACACATTTCTGCTGCATTGATGTGCGCCGTAAATCTGGTTTTCATTTTCATCTTCCTCGTAGAGAAAACAAGAGGCGCTCTCAAACATGCAAGTCTCCACGTAATTGTGAATTAACTTATATCTGTGTCATGGTGATCGTAGGCTCGACTTCACACTTACGCAATGTCACTCAGGTCGCCCAAAGTCCCTGATAATGAGAACTGGAAGGGAATGGAGCCAAAGGAGCTGAAGTCCAGGGGAATACGCACTGTCGCGGGAGCAAGATACGGAAGTCCCTGAGGCGAAACCAACTGTGATGAAGGAGCGCTAAGATAGAAATGAGATTCCTGATAATAAGGCGAAATCGTGGTCGAATGCTGGTTGTTCATATCTCTTGCGGGCCATACTTGACAGGGTATTTTGCTCATTGATGAGTTCTGGCTTATCCGGTCATGAAAAGGCCTCGTGTCGCCTGGAGAATGTCCATTGCTCTTATGGTGTTGCCTGTTCACTGCGCTGCAGGAGTCGGGTAAATTGGCCTTCGAAACAAGAATTGTTGTTTTCCTATCTGAAATATGATTAGTTGTGGTAATACGGTCAATTGTAAGAACCTACCAGCTAACCCCTCCAGATACTTTTCTTCCGCATCCCTGACAGTGTATAGCTCATCTAAAAGTCTTGATCGCCCTATTGGATAAATGAACCGTCTGCTGGGCTGTTCTGCGACTTTCAGTTTTTGCGCTGTGATTCCATGGCTGAGGCGTAGGTCACAAAGAATATGAACAAGAAGTGCGATACGCTCTATTGGAAAATCAGTCAAGTTCGGAGTGGAGAGAAGTCTTCCTACCAGCTTTAGAGAGATGGTCAGGCTCTCGATGGCTCACACCAGGTGGCCACCACGGTGGCTTGGTTTCTTCGGGACTCATTTGGTATGTTATACCTCCCACAGTCCTGCGTCCGTTGTAAGGGTATTGAACTTGCTTGCGCGGCTCGACTATTTTCACGTAGACTTTGGCAATAACGCGGCAGTTCGTTTGCTGCAAATTTTTGAAGACTTTTTCATAGTATTGACGAAGGAATTTGCTGTCACGGAGAGGGATCGAGGCTGAGTGAGGGTCCGTACTGAGATCCTGAACCTCTACCCTTTCCCTGCACTGTACAGTTGCTCTTGTTCTGGCTGACGCAGGCTGTGTAACGCATTCTGGCACAACGGCCATTTCCCCGTTTCCCTCAGTTCCTCGAAGCGTTGGAAAGCTTGCATGACAAGAGGCATGACTCAAGTGTTTGTCGGCAAGGGAATGGGCAGGCCTTGATAAATGGGAGCGTTCCTCTGATTCTGCCACCACTTTTAAAAACCTCGCCGTAACTTGAGCGGTCAGAATATTCGCGCGGTTACCGTAGAGGGAAGGGGATATCTGATGGCGAAGGTTTCCATCGCGGTCTATATATATAAGGGCAAAATGTCGAGGATACATTTCTTTGTGCACACAATTCCTCGACATGCTTGCTGACCTTACCCAGTCACGATTCCTTGATGGCCGAGGACAGGAGACAAATCATACCACATAAATCTCAATTAAGATCTAGTGACATGTCATTTGAAGACTAGGTTTGACCGAAGAGCTCCTTTTCACGTCAAAAGAATATTTGAAGGAATCCCTCAAAAGTAGATGGCGGAGCCACATGAAGGCATCCTGTCGAGAGGGTAAAGCAAGGGGCTGAAAGAAAGTGCGATCAGAAGGGCTATAATCGATAGATTATGATGTGTGATACATCGTCTCGGCAGCAAGTGGCTGTATTAAAATACCGGGAAGCTACATTATACTGTGAAACTATAAGTTAACCACCAGTTGCCGAGAACTGTGAACCGACTATACTAAGTTCGGTTATGATCTGACTCAATTTACAAACATGCATTGAACGAGCCATGACGTAATTCATTACGGTAATCTATATGGTATTGCATGTAGGAAATATAGTACCCTTCGGATAAAGAGGACTGAATACTTCTCTTAATTCCGCTTGTTATACTGCTCCTGACGGTGACGGACAAAACTGCAGGCCTCAGGAAAGAGGGGAGCCGCATCTTTGTTTCTCCATGCATGGGTGGGATGAGTGAGAACATGAGCGACTTTAGTGCATCAAAGCCGTGGGTGAGGAAGCAACAGTCCTCATAATTGAGGGGTAGAGCGTGGAGTATCGAATGATGCCAAGAAACAGGCAAAGTTGCTGGCTCACAATTTTACTGCCTGGTATATATTCCAGGGTTTCCACAGTATCATTTATGAACCTTGTGAAGCCCATCCTCCCAACAAGGTTTTGGGTATCCCGCATCAAGCGCTAAGAAGTTACGCCTTGAACATACCAGTACTATCTCGCTAAGAACTCTGTATTAGGTCAGCGTTCTCGGCGAATCACAGCATACACGTTACACTAGATTCCGAAAGTGGCGGGTTTCATGCCAAGATGCCCCCAGTTGCCAGTTTTCTTAAGAGATTTTCAAACACACCGCCAGATGGTGCACAGGCGCCCAAATGAAGACCAGTATAGACTAAAGAATTTCAACGACAGGTATCGCGTTTTTCACGTTCTGAACCCACTCCCAATATCCTCTACGGAACGTCGAGCGATACCTATCTTGATACCTTTTGCAATGAAGAAGTTAGGATCTTGATCCCTGTACATTTGCTTAAGGTTAAGACTATTTTCGAGCATTACATTGCACACTTTTTGAAATGCAATTGTGAGGGAATTGTTCTCAACATTCGACACCTGCCACTCGCCGTATTCCTTAACAGCTACATCTCTAAGATCAGGAATGTAACCTTCCAGAACACCGACCTTCTCAACGTGGCTTATTAGGCGTTTCATGTGATGAGATTTAAGTGGGTAGTGGTTTTTCCCATTGGATCTACCCAGCCGTGGGGGCCATGCTGACACGTCAACGAGTCACATCACATTAGACTATAGACGCTGCGCCAAATTGGTTTCCCGCCAGAAGAGCTTTCCTCCGCGTCCAGCTGTGCGTCCCTCTCACCGAGCATTCTTTGTGTGACAGATGACTTCCCTCTTTTCTCTCCTATTCGCCCAGCAGATAGAGAAGAATGACGATCGTCTACATAGTTGAAACTGATTTTCAACGTCAACTCTTTACCACGGAGTAAAAATTCAGGCCATATCAGAAGCTGCTTTTCGATAGCGGTCCAGGATATATCGGTATCGTCAAATCGTTTGGTCAGGTTTCTCTTGGTACGATCGGTTGTTGATGCGACTACGACGGTATCATCTGGTCTCACTTGGCGATGGCGAGCAGTTTTGCGTCGTAATTCTAACTTCTTTCCCAAGGGCAGCTGCCAGAAGGCGCTAGGTGCCAATACGACATCTTCCTCCGTGTCCTTAGATACCTCTCTGTTGTTGACTGTCGCTCGCCACTCTATACGGTAGTGGATGCATGTTGGCGGGTTCTCGTCTCAGGCTTGCTTACCCATCATCGCTGCATGCAAAATGATCACTGAAATTGAAGAAGCAATACAATGCGCTAAATAACAGACCGAAATTTGAAGGCCGACCAGCTGGTGCATTTGTATTGGGGACATCTAGAAGTCTAAACTAACCTCGATAGTTGAGCCACCACCGGTGGCTCTGTTGCTTGAAATCTCAGACACCTCAGCGATCATGTCCTGACCATCCGGGATCCGCTGGACTACATCATCATCAATGATGATTTTCATGCCATTTTTGACATGGAACAGCTGCACTATATGGGCCTGGCTGAAGCGTTGTTTATGGGATATCTTTGCGATCAGCTCAGTCGTGGTGCGCTCTGTCAGATAAATCGCTGTATGGTAAATATCTTGCTGCGCATCACTTTTTTGAAAGCGGAGATAAAAACATGCAACTTGTTTTGCAGAAGTTAAAACTCTAGTCCATGTAGAATCGGGGACAAGAACTTACCTGGTACTTTGGGGTTTGAGTTGGTGGGTTTCACTCCAGGTTGTCCCGTAGGCCAGGGCGGAATTGGTGTAATAGGGTCTTTTTGGGACCTAGGTGTGCGGTGGTCTGCTGGATTTAATGGCAAATTTCTCGACGCGCTGCGTGATGTCGATGGCGGCGTCATAACTTGCAAGTTTGGTTGGTCCGAATTGCCAATTTTTTGTGTTTCTTCATCTACCATTTTCATTGGGAACAGGTCCGGATCATCCTTTTCACTACCGGGAAGACAGAAGTTGGTCACAGGTCGGTTAGAATTGAATCTGTTTTGCATCATTGCCAATTCATCATCCAAGCTTTTTTGGAGCTGCTCCCTCCTTTCTTCTTCGAGCTCCTTTTCGCTTTTGTTAAGGACAAAGCGACTACCGCGTTTTCGTTTGCCAAGGTGACTACCTCCGCTTTTGGCCTTCACATAATCATGTCTGCGTCTCTCAATTGCCCGCTTCAGCTGGGAGACATCGTTGAACATTTTTCGTTCAGCCCCATGTTCACGGAACAATTTAACTTTGCAACAGCTTATTTCGGAAGGACTTGAACCGACGGTTTCAGTTTTGGCGCATAACTTGATAGGAGCTCCTTTCACACCCTTGGTGTGGCTGAAATCAGTTGAAAGGAAGTGGAAGCGAACGCCCATTAAACAGCCTCGTCTTCCGGTGGTTGGGTCTGAGTACCAGGTCACACAAAATCCGTCAAGCGAGATTCTAGCTGGATTTGATCACAGGCTTGACCTTGATTCTCCTGAAATAGACCAACCAACTCAATAGCATATAGATTGCCATCTTTCTGATATGCCTCATGTCCCCGAGTGTCCTTCCACAGAGCCCAAGAAGCCGCAGGTTTTGAAGACTGTTCATAATCTTCGAAGGTGACCCGGATGCAGGTTCGATATCTGACAATGTCGTTGCTTACTGGCTGCCTTGCATCGACAATTGACAAAGGGTATATTTGAGCTTTGTTAAGATATGTGATAGGTGGGAGTTTGGTATCATGAAGCATGGCTGTCGGTGTGTTCAGTGTCACCCGAAACCTGAACCTAGAAAGCCCTTAGCTCTTCTCTTCCTCATTGCAAGACAGGGAAATCTTTACTGATCATCATCGCGGCTAGAGGATTTATTTCCCGGTGAATGAATGTACTGGGAGTACAGTTTCCCTTGGTTATCGACGTCGCTCAGAAAGGTTGCTTCGCTCGTTCCATCGGCAGCACCATCAGCTAAATGGGATTGCACAAATGCACCGGGAGGGTATCCAGCGTTATGATTGCCAGAACCTTTATTTTGCGGCTCCCACGTCCAGTGTTGCACGTCTGCAAGATCATGAAATGGGTCGATATTATTTCTCTGTATAGGGCTGACCGCGAATTGTTCAAGGAGCGTGTTGGGTGTCATTAAAGTTGACTTCACGAGTGGGGTGTGCAAGTCTCCGGCCGGACCATGGAAGACTGTATTCAATCCACCAGGATTGTAGTTGGAGTTTTGAGGGGATAAATTTAGACTTGGCGTGGGGATCGACTGATCATCGATGAAGGACGTAAATCGTAGACCAGACCGGTCATTCAGCAAGGGCGTGAAGCGAAGGCCAGGAGTACCTCGGTCCAGCTTATTGTAGCTCGTGGGTCTGTGAGCCGACAGATTAGCTAATGCCCATGGCTCAAGCCCAGGAGGACGGTATGAAGAGAAGATGGATCGTAGATATCGCGGGAAGGCATGAAACATACCCAGGAGGATCGCATTTGGTAGGCCGAACAATGTCTGAAAAAGTAGCCTGGAACTTAGTGATAAGGCCCTCGCCGGGCTTCTGGGCGTTCGGTCTGTATTGAGCTCTAATTAGAACACACAATCAACGGTCCGCAAGGTCCAGCGGTTTCTCATACCTGTTGCCAAACATTTGTGGCAGTGAAATGACAAGGTTGTAAGGTCAACGATTCCAAAGTTGTTGTGCAGCGAGCAACAAGAGGGGCAGCAGAAGCAGCGGCTTTCACTTTCAGAGCCCAGTATACCCAGTTTTCTCATCCGCCAGTCACAATATGGTGGGGCGCTCTTACCCCTTGCTAAGAAAGGTCCAATTGCGCTAGCTTCGGCGACATGCTTCCTCACTCCGGATCCACTGTGGCTTACCTTTCTCGAAATTTCTCCTAGATATGGACATTTTGGGGTTGGTAGGGGGCGGAAGGGCCAATAAACATCTGTGGATGTTTATCCCTCTCATTGCCGATCATATACAGCTATGACGTCATATTTCAAGAGGCCCGGGATCACTTCAGACATCTCTACCAACTAGCCGTAAACGGCGACTCCCGAAACAGACAACGCAAGGGTCATTCATACAGTGTTTAACTATCTAGCACTGTTATAACGCATCCTTGGAGTACATTTGGTCATACACATATTCGTCCGGCAGCGGGGGTCGAGAACCTGGTCGATTCAGGCTATAGATAAGAAGTCACAAGAAAATCAGATGGTCGTCCTCAGGAATGTCGCAAGCGCATCAATTTAGGGACCGTTGTTGACACTCTTAAGTTTTTGCTGATATTTGTGTCCAAAGTATGCTACGTTTGGCTTTCTCCAGCCACTAGGTAATTCAAAAGCGATATATGGCAGCCAGTCTGACTTTTCATTTCTTCGATCTGAGAGTTATCATTTGATTTATCTTCTCAAACAAGTCATTCGTTCGATAAGGTTTATGGATAATATCGTCCATACCAGCGTCCAACATCTCTATTTGTTGAGCCGCCCTCACATTTGCAGTGACCCCAATGATAGGGATATTTGCCGTACTGTCTCTACCAAGGTTGCGGATTGCCATAGTTGCGGACTTTCCATCCAGAATAGGCATTTCTTGGTCCATGAGAATGCAGTCAATTCGATCATGCTGAACAGCCTCCAAGGCCTTTTGGCCATTCGGCGCCTCCGAAACATGGAATCCCAAGGATCGCAGCTTCCGACAAACAATTTGCCGATTGATTATATTATCCTCTACCACGAGAATATGTCGAGATCCCTCATCATAACTCATGGCAGTCGTGCCGAATGCTATAGGGTTGGGTTCCCACACGTCGAGAGGAGGGTGCAAATTTGGGCGGTCGCTCGCAAAAGGCTCATCTGGCTTAGCCTGATGGGCTAGTTCCAATGTATGCCTATATCTGTCATCGCCCACAGCCACGGGTGATATTTTTGCAACGTGAGTTATCATCGGATTCTCCAAGATTTCAGGGGATTTTGTCCGGTCATTGACCCCGGTGACCGTGTTGCTCAGCTCGTGGATCCCACCACATAATTGATCAATTCCCGAATTTTCATAATTAGGCAGATAGAGATCAGATGGCTCAATCTCCCGCCGGACCTTAAAGAAGAAATCAAATGTGCTCCCTTCCCCTTCCTTTGAGCTTGCACCGATTTCTCCACCGTGAAGGTGGCAGAGCTTTCTGCTCACATTGAGACCAAGACCAGAACCACCGTAAACGCTTTCAGTTCTAGGCGCTGCTTGGTTGAAGCGCTCAAAAAGTCGCTTTTGAGCTTGGTCACCAATGCCTATCCCAGTATCCTTCACAGCAACCATCACATACGCGACTTGGCCCTCTCCCCACTCAGGCGTGGTGGTGGAATCCAAGCGAAGTGCATTCTTGTCAGTTTCAAAAAACACAACATTGGGAGGATAAGATGGCGGCCGCTTTGTGGAGGCGCCCATGGACACTCTGATCTCTCTCTTACTGTCCGCTTTTGCAGTGAACTTGATAGCATTGGAAACTAGGTTGATAAGAACCTGACCCATCCGGCTGAAATCGGATAATACCCATTCGATCCCGCAACCTGCGTAAGAATGGCCAAGTTTGAACTCAAATTGAATGTGTTGCTTCCGAAGTTCCGGCCGAAATATAGACAATGTCCGCGCCAACTGTCGTTCTGGTTGATCTCTTCGCGGCGACAATGTCAACATTGACGCGTCTAGCTTCGAGAATGTAAGGACATCATCGACAATTTTTTTTCGATGTGCAATGCAGAAGCTGATTGTTTCTGCGGCTTGTGCAATGTCTGACACAGGTACCCCACTACTTTGCTTGTCCTTTACTGCTTCAAGTATATCCTCTGTACAATGAAGGATAGCAGAGGGAGGGTTTTGAACTTTATGACTGATCATGTCAATAAAGCGTTCCTGCTGTTGCTTGCGCTCTTGCGCCTCTCGCGCAATTTCTACTTGCAGCAGCTCAGCCGTCCTTTCTTGTGTAATGTCTGCCATAGTGCAGATGAAGCCACCATAGCTTAAATTAAGCCGCTGCAGATCAGCCTCATCTAATGGAGCCAACATCAGAACACGCCACAGAGGGATCTAGCTACGGGTGCGAAACTCGGTGCACAGGGCAAGCTTAGAGCGTGAGGCCTCTCGATAGGCAGTGGCTACCCTGTCATAACCTTCCAGGTGGATGGATTGCGACCAGCATTCGAATGATCTAGCGGTGCAACAGGTCATGAGCTCGCGGAAGCGGCGGTTCACCATGATTGATTCGTCATCATGGTTGAGAATTGCAATGCCGGTCGGTAGCATATCTGCAAGCTCCTGTGCAGAGACGTCCCCATCGAAAATAGTAGCCATCTTTTTCTGGTATGTACCTTTTATGATATACGTCCGTTGTCGAAAGTAGGACTATCATCGGGTCGATAAGCACATGCCTTGGCTAACAGCTGAGAGGTAATCCAATATACCTCCGAAATAATTGTTTTAAGTACTTCAACGTTTTGTTTCGTTCATACCAGAGAATGAACGACAGAGAGTTACGCCTTGGATAGGCGTCCAGCGCGAAATGATGTCAATGATCTTGTCTCTCTTGTAGACCTGGCTAGGACCCGCGGGTACCCACCATGACCCTGACCCTCACCTCACCATGCGGAGGGTCAGGGCCCGAGCCCTGGACCCGCGGGGAGGGTCGTCAAACATGACAAACAGGTAAAAACCGTGACTGGACGTCAATTGCATAATTATGTAGAAACAGGCTGTATTCCATTGTAATTGTAAACTAAACCTTCATTACTGTATGGCCTTACAGAAGGATACTACATATACACTCCTTAGTGCATACCATAGGTTCATTCTCGAATAGGGGTTTCAATTATGAATGGTTTATATTGCACCTGTAGCATAGTGTCTAGTCATGGTTCTGATGAGCTAAGAGTCAAACTATATACCCATCTAATAGTCTCGACTTCTTCCGTATCCTACCCGATACACGATGCTGCGTATCAGGGAAGGATAATGATAAGTTCTCCTCCAGATCCACAAACCCATCGGCATCAGAATCTTCCTCATCACCAGAATTGACTGCAGGGGGCTTTCCAGCGGCGACTGCTGAGAGTGGCGGTGCGTCCAGGGTTGCTTGCGTAATTGACATAGCAGCCGGTGTATTGAGACGGATCTCAACATCCTCCTCCTCATCATCACTGATGGCCTCAAAAGTATACGTCTGGAAATCAAGTGCTTCTGCCGAAGCTGTTATCTCATAGTCTGAAAGATACTCTTGGAGAATCAGCCGCTGCTCCTCCTTGATATCGAATCTTGTTATACATATGTACAACATGATATCACGAATAGTCTCTAGGTTTAAAGACCCCCGGCGGTAGTGGCATATATCCCGAGTAGAGTTAAACAGACGCTCAACTCCGGCACTAGTCGCTGGAATTGACATGATATCACGGGCAACGCTTGCAAGAACAGGGAATCTTCTCTGATGATCTTTCCAGAAGATCCGAATGGATCCTTTGATAGTATCTAATCAGGCAAAGGGTTAGTTATATGATTTATAAATAGGCTTACTTACTTACCACTCTAGAGATATTTGGTAAGCTCGTCGTACTGCGGAGCAATTGATTGTGGTAAAGAGTCGCCGTCAAGGGCCTTCTCAAGCTCTAATTCAGTTGTTGATAACTGGCTATCAGGCTGTATCATATCTAGTAGTGTACGTTGGCTATATCTTCCGAAAAGAGACTAAAGACTCTCGCGGTATTCCTTTCTATAGTCCCTTCCTATCTCAGGATCCACGTCCCAATCACTTGTTGAAAAGAACTCCATCTTGCTCGACGGCGCTAGGATCGTCCCAATTGCATAGAGATTACCTTCAATATCATCTGTTGCACTGTAGTATTTCTTCAATTTCTCCTTTGCAGCCTCAAGGGAGGAAAACATCAGCTGTTTCCAGGGAACTTTCTTTCGACGAAGCTGACGTATTAATCTTTCAAGATGATCAAAGAGCTTGTTGTAAATCCTAAAGATGAGGTAGATACTCGAGTCTTTAGTACGACAAACCAGCGTAGTAAGCGTAAAAAAGGGCTGGAGAATGCAAAGTAGATAGTCAATCTATCGCCACCCCTCTATACTCAATGCAAAATGGGGTTGGGTATAGTCTTCGCAGTACTTGTCGAATGTATCATGAAGTCTTTTCGCCCGCCGGAACATTAGGAATGTCGGATTCCATCGTATACGAACATCCTGGATTGTGAGAAGCCTTTTCCCAGCATTGTTAGATTGAAGATTCAGGAAGGCTTCTTTGCGTTAAGGGCTTCCGTTGATATTTACTGCAAGACCGCGGACCTATAAGGATGATTAGCGTTATAAAATCAATCATGATTCGTAAATAGAAGCCTTGAGCTTACCTTATTTAAAGTATCGGCGATCTCATGTTTCTGCTGGCGCGCACGAAGTGAACGTACACGATCTTCGGACCATTCTATCTCGGCGTTATGATTTTACCAAGTAAATCAATTAGACTTAATTGAATAACATATACAAGGCAGGGTACTTAGACAATCGTAGAATCTGTCTCAAGCTGTAGCGTCTTAGTCGAATCATTCACCGCTGCAATAAGTGTCTTATCATTAGACGCATTATCCGTTGTTATCGCTAGTATACGGTCAGCGATCTAGTGCTTCTATAGGGTCTAGAGAACAACCCTACCGAGGTTCACTCCGGTATAAGATCCAGAAATTGGCTTAAACCCAAGGAGAACCTCGCGATACTCCCATTCCTAGTCTAGGAAGTATCCTATGATAGCCATGAATGCTTGCTGGAATGGAGAAGTCCAACAGTCAAGCGCAATCGACATTTTTGTACTAGATGGAAGCTGTTATAGTATCTCCTGTTAATATTCTATAACAAAACCCTAAAGGCGGTCGCGAATCACCTTTCTTGATGGAACGCTTAGTGGTATAGGTGCTAGTCGTGCGTAGGAAAGGAGGTCATGGAATTCTTAATGCTCAACAAATAGGAAGGGTAAATGCGATACAGTGATCAGGTTCAGGATCTTCTACTCCCATATTTGCTGGGTAAAGGTAGGCGCTAGTCTTCTCTCGGCCTAAATAATAGTGAATTCAGTATTAGTATTAATATCAAATATAGGCTAGTTTAAGTATACCGCATCACTAAGTAGTTGCTAGATATTACCCTTCTTCGGTATTCGCTGTCGGCACCTTAGCCTACTGAGATATTTCTACATCGATAAGGTTCCAGTATGGTTAGTACTTGGATGCTCAAGGATTGTACGGCACCGTTTGCATATAACGCCTAGCTTCCCATCTTTGGCATTTGCAACTTGTTGAAACCCTTTCCAGCACTCTGCACGACGGTTCATATTCCAGTTGATTCGCTTCTTCTTACCAAAGTCGGTCTCAAGCCACCACTGAATAAATTCTGCAGTCATTGTAGTTGTGAAGATAATGTACTCGTTGATATAGTCTGGTTTGATTCGCGTAAGAGTGTCTAGGGCCTAAGGTGCCACACGCGATCGATGGGTTGGAAGGTCTGGAAGGTCTAGAACTGATCCAACTTGGCTTTCGGATAGTTGTTGACTCTGGCTTTCGCGTTAGGACATAGAATCGTCAGGAATAAGGTATTATAGCGCGTCTAATTGCACCCCGTCGAAGCTGAATGATACGTAGATATCAGAGAGCTGAGACATGATAGATTCAGTAACTAGAAGACAGTACCCTGACTAAGGAGGAAGATACTGTAATAAGGAACTTACTGATCAGTTTGTATAAAAAGATGCGCGATATTCTTGGGGCATCCATTTGTCCCTGTTCTATATGCTAGAATTGATCTATCGTCTTTTGTATCCATATCGCTAGATCTGATTGGATAGTATAGTGGATAACCTGATAAATGAACCTCAACGAACCTCAACGAACCTCAACGAACCTCAAACAGACCCTCACTTACCCGCAGCGACCCTTAAAGGGACCCTCAAAGAGACCCTCAAGTTGAGAAAATAGTATTGATCAGAACGGCCAAGTCCAATAATTGCAACCTTTGAACCAGATTTACGACATACCTAGATCATTTATCTTGAATTCTTAAAGACAGATTGATAGAAGAAGATATAACAGTTCAAATGTTGTAAAAAAAGGGCATTTGAACTACGTCTTTATAGTTTTCTTGAAAACAGTAGTTCTACAAATAAAGATACATATAGGTTACAGTATCTACAACATATATATCTACAACTTTACATGCGGTTTTGTCGACTGTTGAAATATGAGGCCATTTGCCGTACGGGCAATGCATCAATTTCCGAGGTTCATGCAACCATCGCCTGATCGAATTATAGTGGGAAATAACCACCGTGTCCTCTTCAAAGGTACTTTTACTAGTATAAATAGCTAGAGAGTGACCTCTTGGAGGGACAGAGACTTAAACAACCTCATTCAATGCCAGGCATCTTTTGCACATCTATCCTTTTTACATCGTAACTTCAACATCGACAACCGCTACAGTATTGACCACCCACCATATCAATATCATCGAATATTACTTGTAATATGTAGGTAACCATACCTACAGTGTACTTTTACATGAATATTTTTTTATAGTTCATTATATTGATAGAGTATTCAGTGAAATATCTGCAAATTAAAGGAACAGCCGTAAAAAACAGAGATGAATCATCAATTTTATCCAACCGAAAGAGGTAAGGCGTCGAAAATTTATGCAAATGCGGGTTGTTGAGGGTCGCCGAGGGTCCGCATAGTGAACCTCAACGACCCTCAGGGTAGGTTGAGGGGAGGTTCGAGGGTCCGGGGTAGGGACCCATGCGGAGGGTCGTAGCCAGGTCTACTCTCTTGGCACGGAATAACATTTTCCCTCAATCGATTTAAGGAACAAAAATCATACCACAGCCCATTTAGAGTCCACTGCATGAGTTGAGTTCTTTGTCTTCTCAATGGCTAGGCTTAATGATGACAGCCTCAGCCTCGAACCAAAAGGGCAACCTTCGAGATTCTGGATCGAGAAGGGCTTGGCACATTGTTGCATACTGTACCTTGAACACAAAAACGTGTACATTGTGAGCCATGCACTCGTTGTTGTCTCGCAGAACTAATTTCCAAGGTTTCCAACTCATGGTTCAGGAAATACCGATCTTGGTCCATAATCCCCACAGGGCTTTGTGTACAAAAAAAATCGCCATCCTCAAAGGATTCATGACGCACGAACTGCGCTAGTTTAGCAACAATACTCTCCAGAGCTCAGCATTATCGGCTCCTGCATGATATACAAACCCATGTTTATAGGCAGGTGACATCTCTCTAATCGGATTGGCATGTATAGCCTGGTACCCATAGCGGGGCTCCCTGTGGGTGACGTCATTTTGTTTTCTTGGTAGAACGATAGTGAGGTTTAGTGAGTGATGTCAAGAAATAATCTGCAACCTTAAGTTTTTATTCTTCCGTTCAGCGCAGTCAACATCAATTATAGATGCCCGACAAGATGGCTACGACTTATATTGTAACTGGGCTTCTTCCTATTCTCTACGATTCTCACTAACAAGGACAGGTAACCTTTAAAGACTCGGCCACTACCGAGCAGATCAATACCCTTATCCAACAGATTGAAGGTGGCGGGGGAACCATAATCAATAGATTCCCAGATATGATCACTAGAGGCTTCAGGTATGTGCTTTGGCTACTAGAGCGTTTCATCGTATTTTTCACTAATTTGCGTTCTAGTGTCTGTATAACAGATTCAATCCTTAAACAGCTTCAGTCAGACCCTTTGATTGATTGTATCACGCCTGATAGCTCTTCCTAAGATCGGCATTGGCTCGTTTTTCTAAGATATTGGTATGGCCTAGCTTCCTTTTGCCTCGAATTCTGTTTATAACTATAATTGAATTGACTACCAAGTCACATTGACCTTTGTATTGGGACATATGAAAGGAAAACTATGCATCGCTGCGACCCCTTACCATAAAGTACTCCAAAATATAGGTGTACTCACGGATCTTGTCTGCTCCGAGCAACTGATCGTTTCTCTTTCGAAAGGTACAATGTTGCATGCTTTTACGTCCCATTCACTCAAAGCGGGAAACAGCTACAGGGCAACTACTATGCAATATACCTAGCGGAATGCACTTCTCTCGATTTGAAAGTCGAGCTTGCCAAGTAAAAGCAGATCGCTTCTAGTTCTATGTATCGTATCCTTTAGGTCAGTAGTAAAGGCTTGAGGGATAGGGCGAGGAAGGTGAACATCTACCAAGTGATTTCTCCAGATCGGACCAAGGAGAGATTACTGATGGTTTTTATTACAGTCTAAGTAACCGGGACATACGAAGGAGTCCGTTACCAAGGATCAGACAGTCCAACCTAGTACGTATCAATGTTGAAGTTACGATGTAAAACTGATAGATATGTGAAAGCTGTATGGCATAGAATGAGGTTGTTCAAGTCTACTCCCATGGAGGAAGTATCTTTACTGCTATTTATACTAGTAAAAGTACAATAGACGAGGGTCTAATGGAGATATCCCATGTTTATGCAGTGGGTAAATCTCCACAAAAGCCCTATCAGGTGATGGTTGCATGAACCTCGTAAATTGAGGCATTGCCCGTACAGCAAATGACCTTATATTTCAACAATCAATACTGTTAAATGAGCTTTAGTCGGCCTCCCAGGATACTGTAGAAGATGCTGCTGAGGGATATATTAACATGGTTGTGTAAGCTCTCCGCTATAGGTTGCCACATAGCGTCAAGTGGAACAACCTCGGCTGACACGCTGAATGTTGTGATAGGCATTTTTATGAGGACTGGTAGCGTACGACCATATATTTGGATGAAACCCATCAGCGAAACTGAACCTCTCTATGAATGCGTTTACCTGGCCGGTCATCCGGCTTTGACCACCTCAAATTCGGACGATCCACCCGGGTCTTTCCATTCTAAGGATGTATTTGCTCCTCATCCTACGATAATCAGGCACTGGAAGTACCTGTGGAGACTGGATGACCGCGTTACCCTCGTCAATGGTGAAAACGTTTTGCCACTTTCTATGGAAGGCCACATCAAGCAACATTCGCTGGTCCACGAAGCCGTCGTGGTGGGAGTGGGCAGAGCCACTCCAGGGCTTCTGGTCTTGCGCTCGTAGAAAGCCGAGTCTGATTCTTTGCCGGATGAGGAATACCTCAATGCTATCTGGCCGTCGGTCGAAGAGGCTAATTACCAGGCAGAGACCTTTGCTCAGATTTCACGAGACACGATGACGATCCTGTTTTATACTGCAAAGTTTCCGCGAACAGACAAAGGCTCTATGATATGAGCACAAGTCTATTAGCAATATGCTGGGTTGATCGAGGCCCTATACACCACGGAAGCGCGACGTAAGGGGGTGTCCAATTAGGCTTGGCCGAGACGCAGTCTCACCTTCTTCAGCTGTGTTGGCATGGACTCGGGATAGATGCCGATCTCAAGACTGTCGGCAGCCTAAAAGCAGTGCACCTCCGCCGCTTGATTCTGCAGCAGTTCAGGTTTGACCCCTGCCACTCTCCGAGTCCCAACTCTGTGTTTGAAATGGGCACTTTCTCGCAGCTAGCCCTCTTTATCTGCGCGCTGCAGGGCGGAGATAGGCTATCGACGGCCGAAGACAGTACCTTACTGATGAACAACTTGGTCAAGAAATACTCCTCATTTCGGAAACACTTGCCTTTCCCGGAAACTCCACGGAGGACAAGGAGCGTTGTAAGTGCATGCAATTTTGACACCGAATCATCAACCTGACATCGCAAAGCTGTTGACAGGAGCTACTGGCTCAATGGGCGCACACGTGTTGTTCGAATTGCTGAACGATGACTCGGTGTCGACGGTTTACTGTCTCACACGGAGGGCATCTCCGTCAAAGGCGGTGCGCGGCAGCCTGTTCGAAAGGGGTCTGTTGCTTTCGCCAAAACAGACATCAAAGGTTGTGGCACTAAATGGTGCACTGGACCGCCCTGACTTTTGTCTGGACCCAGTGGGGAAGACCTCTAAACGTATGCTAGAGTCCGTGTCTCTCGTCATCCATACTGCATGGCCAGTCAACTTCAACCTTCCCCTCGCTCGATTCGAGCCACACCTCCGAACTCTATACAACCTCATCCTGTTTTCACTTTCGGTCCGAAGACTTAAACCTGCGGTTATGTTCTTTTGCTCTTCCACCGCTACGGCGCTGGGTGCCTCGTCGGCCACGATCGAAGAGGAAGCTGTCGATCTTAACAGCGCGCTGATAGGCTACGGTCAGTCTAAGCTGGTGGGAGAAAGGATGGTCGGCCTTGCACGTCAGTCAGGTGCCAGGACATATTTGACACCGGTAAGACATCGAGTAAGCGTTGTAGCCGATCCTTCAAACTTGCGTGCCAACCGACGAATTTGGATGTTTTTTTTTTTTTTTTTTTTTTTTTTTTTTCATTTGGAAAAGCCTAAATAGCTAATAAGATCCTCCCCTCTTGCTATATATGCTTTTGGAACTTCGAGAGCGAATTGGGGCATGGTGGGTAGTTGAAGAAAGAGGTTTAAACTAAAACGCGAGAATGACGCGGGGTGCACCACTCGCTTACTGAATACGTTAACTTTATCTTCCTACGTACATGTATCGTGTACCATTTCCTAAACGAACTTAAAGCCTCACCGAGGCCTGCCATGGCCTCGGTGCCGTCGTTGTATTCATGCTGCCCTCATGGCGCGCGGATTTGAAAAAGTTGTGATGCTTCAACGAAGACCACGATAGTCTCCACTGTCTTGGTCCGTGAATAACTGTCAATCTTACCTCTACCTTCTTCTCCTGGTCTCCCCAACAGGGTTGATATCCTGTTTAAAGCGTCGCCAGCCTTACTTAGAAGATTTTTCCTTAATCCTCCCAATCTTAGGCAATCTAGCAAAACATGGTGCACGCTTTTCCGTTCGCCACAGACGCATAGCTCGTCATCGCGGAACGGAAAAGCCTTGGCATATGTTGACAGCCAAAAATGTCCAATGCGCAGCTGCGTTCGTACGCTCGATCTGCATTCAGCCACGTTCAATTCCAATGAACTGGTAACTTTATCCGGGGCGATCGATACGTCAACCTTGAAACTATAATATGAGCTTTTGTCGCGGTAGAGGAAATATGGGATGAAGCCAATTGGTCGAAATGCCGTCTGACGTCAAATAGGGCCACAGATCAACGACCCACCAATGGCAACCACCGCCTCTCGCAATACCTCACGGGAAATGAGTCCTAGTTTGACTAATTAATCATGATCTTAAGAGCTGCTCCTTTCTCCACAAATGACGCGCTGAAGCTGTTCCGAGTCTACAAATCCTGCCCGCGAGGCTATGTGACACCCTCACTCCCGACTAACTATGGAGAATCGACCGGGTCTTGATCCATCTAGCATCGCACCTTGGAGCTGGACGCTGTCCATGAGCCCTGGCGCTGACGCTCGTTCCTATCCAACGCCGAACTCGCTTTCACCATCGTTTCAAACCCCTACTGCGCCTGCGCAATCTTACTCGCAGCCTTACCCCTCTGCTACGTCATCTTCATCCTCTGCGCCAGGCTCAGCGTTTGGGTCCGCGCAGAAGGTGGCTATTCCGCGGCTTGCGGGCTCCGAAGCTGGTTTTGGCGGGCGCCGCCGCTCCGCTCGTGCTTGCGAGCCTTGTCGCCAACGCAAGATCAAATGCGACGGACAGAGACCGTCGTGTAGACAATGCGTTTATTATAGTCAGCTGTGTTCCTACGAGGATGTCAAGCGCGTTCGTGATCAAAAACGATTGGGTACGTTAGCCAAGCGCGTCGACGCGTACGAGGCACTATTACGAGAACTGGAGGGGGAGGTTGATTTGCCTACGGCGCGACAGATCAGGAAAGCATTGCAGGTAAGTCTATCAGACGAGACCGTAGCCTCGTTTGAGACCGGGTCTCACGCTCTGAGACTCGAATACAGGTTTCTGACTATATTTTGCAAAGACTAAGGATTTTAAATCCTCGCAAAGAAACGGTGACACTTCCGATGACTCCTCGGCATCCCTAGGCTCGCTCGATGGGATCGATGAGGTGGATGAAGACCTAAACCGGGATGACAGTAGTCGTGCTGCGGGATTCTTTGGGAAGAATTCGGAGGTCAATTGGATTTGCAAACTGGCGAGCGGATTGAGGGTGACTAGCCCGTCAGGAAATGCAACAAAGAGTACGCTGAACTCTTCCCATCCGGATAGTCATCAGGATGCATCTGTTCAGCAGCGACAGAGTCCCGGAAGCGTTCTTTCTACGTCCATTATGGACTATCATCTTAACAATCTAGAAATCCCGTTTATCGAATCATGCGACCCTTTTGCTTTTCCACCGCAAGAACTAGCAGACCGGTATTTTGACACCTACATGACATATGTCCATCCGACTTTTGCTGTCATTCGAAAAGAAACCTTCATTTCACAGTACCAGAAGTTTTTTGAGAATATGTCGGTAACGCGGCAGTCGCGGAAATGGCTCGCCATTCTGAACATGATGTTCGCCATTGGCTATCGACACTGTCGACTCATGGACAATGACCACAGGATGAGCGAAGAGGACCTGGTCTTCCTGAGCCGGGCGCGGCTGCTGGGCTTTGATTTCGGCGTTCTGTTTGAGCACAGCGATCTCCAACAGATCCAACTAGAATCCCTGATGGCAATATACCTCCTTTGTCTAGGACAGGTCAACAGGTAAGCCTCGTTTGCTGCTTTAGATACCCGTGAAGCTCTATCATTAAACCTATTACCAGGGCATCCAAGTTTTCCAGCATGGCTCTCCGCTCAGCCCTATCCCTCGGCATCAATCTCCGTCTCACGGAAAATCAAATCTCAGAAGCATCAAAAGAAGCCCGCGTCCGTCTCTGGTGGTCCATATACTCTCTCGAACACCTCGTAACATCAGTGACCGGCCGCCCCTCTGGCGTAACGGAGAGCATCTGCGCCATACCACTCCCATTCCCCTGCGCAGAAGAAACATTCGACCAACCTGAAGCAAAGCGTCTCTTCCAAAACTCATCTCTTCGCGAAACACACCTCCGCCCAACACTCTTCGAAGCCCCCAGCCGGCAGCGGTCCCAAGCATGGTCTACAGCTTGCCCGCCCTGTCCGTCCCTCTTCTTCCATCATCTCGTTGACTTAACCCTCATCACCCAAGCCCTCATGACTAAAGTCTACAGCGTTGAAGGTCTCCGTCAAGGCCCTTCTAGAATCGAATACCACGTCAATAAATTCGGCCTGAAATTGGATCGCTGGCTTGCGAAACTCTCTCCCTGCTACCAATTCACCCTTCCTGACGCCGGTCCCTGGCACCTCAACCACCCCCAACTTGACGATCTCGGCGCGCCATTCGTTCGCGAACGTGTCTGTCTAGCTATGAACTATTACTCCGCCCGAATTACCCTCTGCAGACCCTGTCTCACGCACATCGACACAAACACCCAACCATCCCGTGACTCTCCAGGCTCAAGTCCAGATCCCGACAAGACATCGTGCACAAAACTTCGCAACGAAATGGCAACTCACTGCCTTCAAGCCGCCTGCGCATTAATCGCTATCCTTCCGGAATCCCCTAGCTTTCCTTGGCTAGCGCGCACATCACCCTGGTGGAGTGTCCTTCATTTCATAATGCAAGCAACAACAGCCCTCCTTCTTGGTCTATCCTACCGACCCTATAATACCAAACCAGAATCACAATCACAATTCAAGTCATCTGACCCCCTCACGCTCAATACGCCTAACTCCTCCGCACCATCACTGGGAGCAGCATACTCACCACTCCCAGAATCAGATCTCGGCACGGCCATTGCAACGGCCAGGAAGGCTATGAGGTGGATCCACGCGACCTCGCAGGTAGATATGGCATCGCGGAGGGCATTTCTCTTGTGTGAGAATGTCATAAAGAGAATTGCGCCTGGGCTAGGGATTGATTTGAGGGATTGGCCTGATGGAAGTGAGTTTGTTGGTGATTTGAAAGAAATGAGGAGTCAAAAGTTTAGTGGGAATGCGAACGGAGCCGGCAATTGGAGTGATGGAGATGGGAATGAGAGGAGGAATGAGATCTATAATGAAAGTGACTGTGGGAGTGGGATGGAGCTTTTTGAGGAGTTCATCGACTTTGAGGGGGTGTGTTTTATAGGGGTGTTTCTTGGTTCACACGTTTAGTGTATTTTTGGGAACTAATGTCTTTAAAGAAATGTCACGATTTGTAAGAGATATTCTTGATGTGAAAATATATTCATTGTAGGATGCCTTGGACAATTCCAGGCAACTGATTTTACGTCATGGCTACGAGAATAATAGGAAATAATAAGTGACAGACTGAGATTAGGGATCTAAATATTGTGTTGAAATATGAGGCCATTTGCCGTACGGGCAATGCTTCAATTTCCGAGGTTCATGCAACCATTACCCGATCGAATTATAGTGAGAATTTGCCTATACCACTAACATGGGAAATCGCCACCGTGTCCTCTTCTAAAGTACTTTACTAGTATAAATAGCTATAAAGTGACCTCCTTCTGGGGGAAAGGGGGGGGACAGACTTAAACAACCTCGTTCAATACCAGGCATCTTTTGCACATCTATCCTTATTACATCGTAATTTCAACATATTGAAATTGGATTGATAAGATGGCACTCTGGAAAGGCAGACGGGTCGATATCAATGAAGAGCACACGAGAAATAACTAGTGCTGCGAATATTGACCAATGTGTACCTACCAAGCGTAAAATAGCTTGGCAAGCAGCCATCTAACGTTATAAGGTAGCAAATGGGTAAGCAAATGGATGCTGTATGACTCAAGCAAACTAGTATTGCAAGGGCTCGTTTATTCGACTAATTCTTGAATGACACATTGACGTATATGGTTTGGATGCCATGGCCATGTGCCACTGAGTTATCTGCAAAGCGTAATGAAAGCGTTGTTACTGGCGCGTATTCAGCTGTTTATCTTGGCGTTCCAACAAATGCAGTCAGCTCAAAACGGAGCACGGGAGTCTGAGTGCAGACGCCTGAAGCAAGAGAGGGGCGCGGGGAAGAATATGTAATTTCACAACCTTACAGTACCATATCACCCAGCGGGATGACTTGACCAAGATTGTGGAGTGCATCGGCGATAAAGGATAGAGGATTGGCAAGCCTCGAGTTGGAGAAAATAGGACAAATGCTACGCCAAGATCTTTTGGATAAATGTGTGGCCGCTTCCCTATTCTCCATCTTTGATCGAGATTTGTGAGCGAATTAGGTATCGCTTCCCAGTACTCAGTTGAATGCCGCGTCTAGTACTGTATATTGAATCAATTCAAACTTCTTTATAGTACTTGTGAGATCAACAAACTCAGAAAAATTCCCTTGCATACTCACCGATGATGGCTATTTCAATTGGAGATTCCACTTGTTTCTAATTGGCCGGAAAAGAGCTCCGTAAGCCGATCTCTCACTTTAGTGGCGTATTGCCGATTTTCGGTATCATTTGATCGACAGAAACAGAGATGTTAACAGAGCCCGAAGCAGGCCCTGCAGACGGCTGCTTTTTCCGTCCAATAGCCTCCAAAGCAAAGTTTGACTTTGGTTAGCTTGCCTGTCTGATGCCCCGCATGAAATACACTTCCACCGCTAGGTTGACGCGATGCTTGCCGCTTGCGTAGCCCTTGGCCAATCAATAATACAGTGGCGTCCCCGCAATTCGACTAAATCCTGGTTACCCACCCAGCTACTTCTCAACTAATGCTTTCAAACTCGCACTCTTTTGTTCATAATGCTCTACACATCACCATAATCTATTACAAGCCTCCCCGAAACTGATACAAGATACCGCTCAATATGAAAGCCGAAGCAAAGTCCCCAGTGTCGGTCGCTCCATCAATTCTGCGGAACTTACACGGGTACCACAGCGCGATGGTCTTTCACACATGCAGTCAAATACAAACCATCATTGATGCTGAAGCCACCGAATATTCCGATATTCCCATGGGGACACCAGCTACTCGTATTGATGACGATGGAGAATTCACAAAGACGCCGTCAATAAACGAGAATCGGCCCGGATGTGGCAGCGCATAGGATGACTAACCTGGACTGAACTAGGGTTTTGAAGAAAGTTCACGCTAGTAACACTGGCAGTTCAACTTCAGTCATCTTTATGGATACCGGCATTTGCTTTTCCTGGTACTCTTGGGCGTGAAGATGCTACTCACTTTGTTATTGAAGGTTTATATTGTTGAATCCTACCTGCTTCGATATAGAACGATCGTTTTTTAGCATGGCAATGCACTTACACGATATGTATTTGCCTGATATCGAATCATGCAACAATTTATAATCTCAACACACGGAAAGGTGTTCTCTGTTCGCGAGGTATCTATCTGATGATAGCCACTGGTATTATGCAGAGGCTGTTGATAATGTTCTTGACAGTCCCATTGTGGCCATATTTAGGCTTTGAATCACGCATTTAGCCCAAATTACCTGCGTTTGGAGTCATACAAAATTTCATAGGGGCACCTTAGGTGCGTCATTCAGTAGGGTGATTTAAGGGAAGCCAATGAAGTGCCCTCGTGGATTATTGTTATAGTCTTTTTGGTTTCTGTTCATCGCTTGCGCGGAGGTTCTCGAGAAGTTGTACTGGCTTGTGGGGGCTTTGGGAGTTAAGGGGAAGGCCACTTTTCTTATTCCAAGTCAGACTCTAAGGAAGCCACCGGCACTAATAAACCCTCTTTGGCCATAGCTATTATGTAATTTGCCCCAATAAACCTTCAGCCCTCCCAGGCGGGCAGTATGTTATTAACCGGTAGTACCATAGTCCCATTCGACATATGGATTGCTTCAAATTGCTCGATCCAGCCGCCTGGGGGAGGTCGCTAAAGATATTTCGGAGGCTTGTGTCAAATTAGGGGCTTACTCGTAGGACTTTTTGTAGGCGGGGTCCATTTCATTAGGTCGAAGTATCCGATCATGATGCGCATGTGGACCGGGTTGTGCGGTTCGCTCCTGTCCAGTCTTCTGCGATTTTATCGACTTCTAAGGTGCATTTCGGTGTCTTCCACGTCACAGCAGCAGCAAGGGTAGTAGTACTAGTAGAAATAGTGGAATTCAGTTATCCTGACTCCTTGCAAGGAATATAGATAATAGCAAATGTATAAATTCATGACTGTCTGATTCCTAATGTTGATTCAAGCTTCCTGAACGGTGATCGTTTAGTATTGCAGGTCTCCTATCGTCTGAAACCGAATCAATGGTCAGTAGGATTGATGCTTGATGCTTTTCTTGTCTGAAAAACTCACTGACTCTGTTGTTTTCTTCGGGGTTCTCATGCGGTATACTGAGAGAACTCGTTATTGCGGGAGAAGAATATATGCAGATTTTGATGGTTTCTAGAAATTTCTGGCATGTTCTGCTTCCCATGTTATCCTCCCTGAAGCTCAGATATTGGCTTTGCGGTTCCTTCTTTATAGACCTCGTTAGTACACGAAAACCCCCAAAAGGTTCGTAGAAGGAACGCACTGTTCTTCTCGTCAGGATGTGTGCCATTTTGACGAGACTTTTCCGAATTTTGACGTTTTTTAATAGAATGAGTGTCATGCTCATCTCTTCGTCCCCTCGGGTCTGGCTTGGTCATATGTATAATAGGCGGCATGGTGGTCAATCCGAACACAGATTGAACTATTTGGTACAAGAATAATTATGTCTACACCTGAAACCCTACTTGAGTAGAAGTCTACGTAATTATGACGTAAAGCTTCCATTACTGATTAATCGTAAAAGTTCCGTGGAATTGAAATACGGTAGTCCTCCGGCATCAAGCTCTGACGCAATACCGGAATTTCCTGTGCTAAACCACTAGATCGCTTGTACCAACTACTCCCCAAATCTGCCGTATAATCGTACAGATGGGGAATAGTGGATTTTCGTCAGCATGACATCACCGGCGATTATACACCATTTATATACCCTTTTACTTTCAAGCTGACATTGAGTACTCTTTTGGGCCGAAAAATTGTCCAGGCACAATTTCGTACTTTTCTACTTCTATCACCGATATGTCTACATTTGTGAGACAGGCAGAGAATGTGATGACGAGCAAGCAGCGGGAAAGGGGTAGCTCCTACAATCATGAACCTCATGCTGCAGTTATAGATCCAGGCAACAAGGCTGATACAAACGTGATGACGAGTACAGGTGTGACAGCCCTTAATCCTTCGATAAATTCAGCGCCTATAGTTGAATTGTCTAGAAAACCGTGAATCCAGTTCCGGAAGAACTCCAGACGATAATCGTCTTGATTCAGCCAGCGGCCAGGAAAGCGGCGACACCGCTGGGCCGCATGACTCTAAGCTCATCAATAAGCTCGACCCTCGGGTTGACACCAGCAAAGATGAGAACCTTCGGCAGCAGTCTTTCAACGGCAAAATCCCTGGTTGGATGATCGCGTGAATACTGGTGTTAGTGGGCAGAAAGAAATCGTGACAGGTATACTTGGGAGCTTGGGGTTTGCTGTCTTGCCACTGTACTGTTTGTGCTTCGCGGTCCAAGATGGTGGAGATTGTCTTGGCTATGGATTTTGCCAAAGCATCGCAACGGTTTCAAAGCCGCGCTCTACTGTATGAGGGCAGCATGAATATAACAACTGCTCTGTCTGTCATGCAGAACCGTTTTTAACGCGGTAATAAAGACGGTTCTGAGGACCTGTCGGGGATGATAAGCGCGGAAAGCGAGCTTTGGTAGACCCATACAGGATGTGGACTTGCATTTATTACAGATGGTGGAGACGATGGAGAAATGTGACTGGTCTTTTAGAAGATAATCACTTACAGAAATTAATGTAATGGCATTGAATATGGTACTTTAGTATTAGCGAAATCTCCTTCCTCGACGACTGCTTTTCTTCTCTAGGGCCCCACTGCCAAGGCCTTCATTGATCGGACCGCGCTAAATTGAGGGCCGCCGTAAAATGCACCTTATCCTGGGAATATGTTTTCGGCCGACAACAGTCCACCAATTCATGGGGAAAGCACTGCGTGGCGGGGGCCATTCTGGGAGAAGCTGTCAAATAAGGCGTTGTCACCCCGACCGGCCGAGTCCTTTGCTGTACGTTACATGTACCGTACTGTATACGACAGGATCTTTTTTGCTTTTTTTTTTTTTTTCCCACATAATATTTGCTCATGGAGACCGAATTTTGACCGATTTGTTTTGGCCGTTTCCTTCCCTATCGACAGGCGGGCTGTGGGGCCAATTAACCTGGATGAGATTTCGTGATGTCATTTCACTTTCGCTCTTTACAAGAAAATGTCACAAGATAGCCTCGAACTATTTATTATAGACTGCACCAGCTGGGTGCTTGGATTCTTTGTATTGATACTAGAATTGATCCTTTGGCCTGTATGATCCACTTCTGTCTCGGCCGTCCCTTGAGCTAAATACCTTTGCCCTCTGGTCAGCTCAACAAAATGAATGTTAAACCTCAGCCTTGTACGCGAGAACAACTCTTTGACTCGACGACAACTATTATAGATGCCATAGACAGCTTCAGGTCCACTGATGCGGCTATTCTCGGCACGCTTGGGGATGGTTTAAGGTCACTACAGGATACATTATTGGGGTCCGGAAACATACCTTCTCTAGTGTTCTATCCGTTCCCCGAGCTCTGCTTGCAACTTTGTGAGGGCTTTAGTGAGAAGCTTTCAGAAATTCATGGCGATGCTTCAAGGTGTGCAAACATTGCAATGTCCGGCTACAACCTGTGCCAACTCCAGAAAGCGCTTTTGGCTATATTCCATGCATTTGCAACTTACCTCAACCTCATACGCTGGTATGTGCAAGCACCAATACTTGAAGTCTTCATTCTGAAGAACGAAATAGTAGCACGGCAAAATTAGGAACAGCGGCCAGAAAAAGATGCATGGCTTGTGTTGCTTGTGCAATACGTGATCTTCAGGATCATCTAACCCATCTGGAGCATATCGGCAAGCCCGAATTCGTATTATTCCAATATCATCTCACGAAGGATTGTCTTTTGATGTACTGTGAACAACTTCAGGACCTTGGCATTGAGTCTTACCCGCAAACATACTGTGACTGCATTAAGCAGGGAAGTAATCACGTGACTCGTTGCCAGGACGATATTGTTATCATCCGAGTTGGACAAGATGCGATGGAACACTTCTCTGGGATCAGCGTTCAACTTTTGGAGAACATAGCTCGGAGAAAAAGGCTTGGGGACAAGAAGGGGTACGAAGACTTTTCCAACAGGTATGAGGACGGAGAAGAGCGTCTCCGCACTGTTATCAGCCATCTCCGGCATGACAAAGTTTTAGTGTCTTTTGAAATCTTGACCAGAGGGTATCGACTCGAGTTTAGTGATATGACTAGTGAGGCTGTGGAGCAGCTTGGATGGTCTTGAATAAGCCCGAATACTCAGTTCACTGCCAAGAAATAATCTGCAACTTAAGCCTTTATTCTTCCATTCAGAGTTTACACCGATCAAACATGCGAAGCAAGATGGTGAAGACATATATTCGTGCACGTACACGAAAACGTTGCGCTGGCCAACACGAGCGGGAACGATTTTTCGACTGTAGTGACGAACACCCTTATCGATCAATCTTCGGGATTCATTCACCTCGTAACAAATGAGGCAACAGATCGCTGTTGACTACAGTGACGCAGCCAATGTTTTAACACCCCTCTGAATTTTTAGATTCTGCCGGTCAAAAACATGATTTTTTCAACATTGTTTACTTTGTTTCTTAATAAAGTACTTGGCCTTTGTGTATTGAATTAAATCATACCTTCTATGAAAAATACCTACTGAAACAAGAATATTTTAAAAGTAAGATGTCATAAACTTGCTTTTCGCTTGCAATAAGTGGTGCCAAAGCGGTCTGTCCAAGGGTGTTAAAACATTTGCTGCGTCACTGTACAGTGGTGTAAATACTCAGGATTAGGGCTTTAGGTACTGAAATTCACCAATATATTTCTCATAGAACTTATTTGTAATTTATCTATGGGATCGGTATACCATATGCCAGGTCTTGTTCCGTATCCTTCACAATTGGGGAAAGAAATAACAGAACAGGCACATACCACCACGCTTTATAAAACTCATAGGGTTCAGCTTGAAAATTATGGGGCTGTATATCGAACTCCAGGGGTTCTGGTAGAGGCAATCTTCGGGCACCCGTGAACGCTCGCTGTGACCTTATCCACCCTGGACTTGAAATCATAATCGCTTTCATATATATAGGTAATCCCTGGCTTCTGCTTGGTCGAATGACTTAGCACAATGACGTCACGTAGTGTAAGCATCCTTGCAACATGCTCAACCAGCCAACTAGTTTCACATGCGAGCCACGTAATTATATTAGGCGTCCACTGCATTTCAAGAGGGCCATCTCATTAATCAGTTCGATTTTATTGATCATCTGTATTACATATTTCAACTCATCGTGATGCCTGAATCAATTTCCACACATACCAGAGAAACCCGCGAGAGGAAGCGATATATCAAGGCAGTGGAAGAGAACAATGAGACTGTGGTAGTTGCTGAGAAGAGCTACATCACCAGCAAGCGGCTCCCAGCAGTCTCCCTCGCCGACGCCATAGAAAACCCTGGTGTTGCACGAGCTAACGCAGCGGTATCCGTGGAAATGCCTGAGGGCGACCTTGAATGGGCCAGAAAATGTGACGGTTATGTATGTATGGGGACTATGGTTTCCTCAAGATCTATCGCCCTTATGCTGATGTTGATGATGTATAGACGCCCCTTCAGCAGCACATCCTCTTCTGGGATCGCGATGGCGACGGGATGATCTACCCTTGGGATACCTACACTGGGTTTCGGGAGCTAGGCTTTAACATTTTTTTCTCGATACTTGCGACTTTCATAATCAACGTCAACTTCTCCTATCCCACACGCCTAGCATACTCGTGGTTGCCTGACCCATGGTTCCGTGTTTATATAACAAGCATTCATAAAGCTAAGGTGAATATCTCGCAGAGCGCAGAATATTAGAGGTTACAGTGAAGCTAACGCCTATATCAGCATGGTTCGGACAGTGGCGTCTACGATCCAGAGGGCCGTTTCGTACCGCAACTCTTCGAAAATTTGTTCTCAAAATGGGATAATGATGACGATGGGACTTTAACACTTCGAGAGCTTTTCCAGCTAATGCACGGCCATAGATGCGCCGCTGATCCTTTTGGAGTAAGTTTTCAATATGGGCGGTAAATTTTGACTGACACTAACAATTACTGTATGCAGTGGTTTGCAGCCTTTTTTGAATGGGGAACAACTTGGCTTTTGATACAAAAGGACAATAAAGCATACAGAGAAGATCTACGAGCGGTTTATGATGTATGGAAATCTGTCCGAACTGCCGAGGGACATGGCTTGGCTAACAATTGCTAGGGCTCGTTGTTCTGGAAGATCAGGGAAACAAGGAAGACACCAACAGGCTGGATGCAAGGTTGGGGCTTAGGAGGAGATGGTTTTATCGGAGGAAAGAAATTGATTTAATAACTATGTTCTAACAAGCTCCTACTTGCTCTGGTTGGGGTAGACACAAAACACCCCAAAAGCGTCTCAAGGTGATTAGAGAAGAATTTTGACAAATCATTAAATGCTCTCTCCGTGGACCTAGTTCGCCTAATCATCTTCGACTCTGCTACGCAGAAGCTTCATAAATGTACAATAGCCCTGATGAACAATCTGCTCAATTAGGGTTTGAAACAAACGATTGTTGGTATTTGCTCAATTTGAACCCCAAAGAGGATCGCATCTCAAATATGAATAGGTACATCGAATTGTCAGGCCGAACCGAGGGAAAAAAATATTTGTTTGTCTATAAACTAAATTGAATCACCACCGTCCTCCCACCCATGCAATTTGGTTAATAAACATTTTTGACTACCAGCCCCTCAGCATTTTCTGCCCGCAACTCTTACTTTTCCACCTTTCAGTCATGTTGAATTGTTGCTCTTGACCAGAGCAGCCGTATTACATTGTGCTTGTGTTTAATCTGCAGTAATATATAAAGGCGGGTTTGGTTATAGCTAGAACGATATATGGAGGTGAGAATCACAATGAGAGAGTAAAATAGGCAACAATCAAGCATAGAGTTCCCTGCGCATCAAACTACAAAGGTTGGAGACCACCTGCCTCCTCCCAGACGGAGAATCAAGGTCAAACCAAGGTGTGGAATTCACATATAGAAAGGCGCTGGGCGAAGGCGATTCAAGATCCAAAAGATATTCCTCACTGATCTCGAAGTGGACGAAGCACATATAGTGCTGCGTAGCATTAATTACTATAACTCTTCGTCATGTTGTCAGTATGCGTATTACCTTGATTCCAAAAGGGTTAGATGTTATAAGAGAAGAAAGTAATACCCATTTGGCTGCAACTCGTTGAACGGATCGACGATGCTGACTACCAGAGCTTCGCAAGTCATCTGGGCGAGACAGTTATCCGATATGACCGGCCGGCCATTCTCAAGACATTGAAATTGTCTTTTGCCCTCCAAAATCGCCAGGTGATTTTTGAAGAGTGAAAAACAACCGTTTAATTCCTTCCTTAAGCAGAGGCCTCCGTCATCGATAGCTACTATCTTCCGCTTCAGTATGGGAGTATATGCAGCCATTCTCACTTTCGCATCCCGGAATTCGACAACGGTTCGCAAATCCACAGAATCCTGAGGGGCACCAAAGTACAAGATATGTCGAATTACGCACGATGCAAGCCGTAAGGTTTCGTCTTCCGGTGAGGCCAGGAGCCTGTGTGATTCGGGATCGACATAACCGACAGAAGATGTCTCTTGGGAGCTTATCTCCTGTGGACTGCTGGAGCCAACTTGAATTGTGCGTGAATCCATGTAATCTTCTTGGAGGGTGCTTCGTCTGGGCCGCTTTGCTCTTTCTTCTCCTTCATCCGTTTCGTCATCAGAGCCGGCGAGGATTTCTTTTCCGCGACGCCCTTGGCCACTTTTGAACATTGCCAACGCCGCCCAGATCTGTCCAAGAGACATCCCGTAGTCAAACTTCCGCACGAGTCGGTGCTCGCTTTGAGCCATGTACATCGGGTCCGGCGGACCGTTCACAAAGTTGATGATTTCGGATGAGGACTTCAAATCTGATGGCCTTGTATACTCAGACAAAATCGGAAGAACAGAGCGCTGCGTCTCTCGCCGGATTACACGACATGCGAACAGATGATCACGCCCCCATTCACTCGCGGCGACGAGATTGACGTCGGAAAAAACTTTCCCAAGATCCTGTTGAAAGTGTGCCTTAAAGGCCGATTCGTTGGTGATAGTGCTAAAGTACGAGGTGGTCATTTTGCAGGTGCCTGCCTACCTCTTCCGAGCTTGAAGAGTGGTGAAATTACAAAGTTCGGCGGGGGAAAGAAGGAGAGGGAGAGGGGTGGGTGGGGTTGGTTATTGTAGGTGCCTAAGAGCCTCATCCTACTTGGGATAGTTTGTTTTTCGGTGAGGGTGATCAATTAGCGCATGAAGTGGAGGAAACGCTAATTACAAAGTTCACTACTGCAACAGGTAGTGAAGAGCGGTTTGGCAAATCACGACAGGTTGGGATGGCAGACTCAGTAGTAGAAGAATCCTTAGTCCGACATTAAGAATACAGCGCTCTGTTTCTCTTGTAATACTGTAAGACCCAGTAGACTCAACCAAACTAGCATGAATTGCGCGTTCGCGAGTGTCGAATGGGGAGACAAGTGGTGCCAAAGAAACCCCACAAGCCGTGCAAATTTACAACCGGAAGGCGGTCAGGACGGGCGGTCATAACGCGCTCATAAGGCGTCAGCGTTATAAAGGATGCCACCCCTTTACTTTCGTTCCACCATGCCATGACTTGTTCCAACATGTCAGCCAGCGACGGTGTGATATCGCTCGCTGACCTTATGCACCGTCATCAGGAACTTTTGGTTAAACCTTTGTACTGGACCCCCCGCCATTTGGAATTGATGGGATGTCGATTTCAACATGTTTACAATGCCCCTTCGAGGGAGGACACTCGCGACGACCAACAGCCCTTAGAGGGGAAACCTAATGAAGGGGAGTCTGAAGCGCGGTCACTTGCCAGGAATTTCTCGCTCCAAGGGAAATTAAACGCTCTCACAAACATTCTGCTATCCAAGGGAAGCATCTTGGACAAACGCAGGTGAGATACGACTTGGTGATCACGGATAGCTTCTATTATATATCGTTAACAAATTACGGGAATAGCAAAGGGCCTTGCTTCAATTTCGCGGGTCATCCTGTTCATCGACCTCACTACACCGTGTTTTATCGCCGCGACCAACCCGACCGATCTGTCTCTCAAGAACCACTACCGGTGATTGGCTATTTGAACTACACAAATGTCAGTGGTACTCGTTGGCACAAATTTCAGCCTCGCCATCATGACGGAGGCGTTGATTACGCTGTTTCGCCACTTTCCAAGAAGAAGCTTGCTCGTGTCACCCCAAAGGAATGGAAAGAAGATCCGTACTTTGTGTGTGTCCTGCTATCTCTTGCCCAACTTCAGGAGCACCGTCTGAAGCCATCGAGGCCAACAAGTCATTTGGTTAGTCCTCCTTGCCGTCGAAATTGTCATAGGTTTCACCGTTTTGTTTCCCTGGCTCACATACACAAGTCCCGTCTTCTCATAGCAAGCCCGATGGATCGAGAATTTATTCATCTTTACGAGGCTCAAATCACCTCCGACTTTTTAAGAATGCTTGACAACCCAGCGGCTGCCACAATCCAAACAAATTTCCCTACCATCGAACGCAGGCAAATCCCGTTCAGACCCTTCGAGACCTTCCAGGAACGAATTTTGGCTGAACTGTCAGTTAAAAATATCCCGCCTCGTGTTTCAAATAGACATAATATTATCAACCAAAACGTTAAACGAGCACATGAGCAAGAAGATGACGAAGGGTGCAAGCGGGCCCGAACCTCTTGAATGGCTTGTCATAATTGAAGGCCACCAAATTGACTGCAGACGAGATGTCTACGCAGCCTGCGTGAGCAGCTGGGGGACGGCCGCGGGATACAGCACAAATGCACTGTCCACCTTGCCTCGCTAAAATTGATGGCCCAGAAAACTACCGCCGAGACCTCACAGGTTCGGTAACTGGGGTTTGTTCACGACCCACCTTGTTACTAGCGTGCGATCAATCTAGAGCTTGAATTCCCAGTCGCCATTTCCTGACTGCTGCGTATGATCGCCTCAATTTTTCAAACCCAACAACAACACCGTATCGATACATGACCATAAGCTACAAATAATGCGTCAAGATGAATGGCAGAGCCGACCCCGCCTTGGTAAAGCTGGAAAGCAAGCGACCGCAGCATGCCATCCAATGTCTGCTTTGCAGAGTTGCTAAAGTCAAAAAAGAAGCTGATGATTAGACCGTTGGTTTCCTTCGCGACATGATCAAGCACGGTCGAACTGAGAACCGTCTTTCCACATCCCGCAAGCCCGTGCAGCCATAAATGTCGACGCGACCGCGAGTGCCACGACTTGAAGACGGGATTTTCCAGGATCCACCGCGCCAGTCCCCTCATAGCGGAGTGTCCTCGCGTGGTTGGCATTTATAGACGGATCCGGGTGACAAAAGCCAGCGCCCGATCACATCGGTGCGAAGATCAGACCTGATGGAATCAGTTATAGCTTTCGTTGCAACTGTCGTCTGCTGCACGCTATTAATCTGTCGTTTTAACTACTCACAGTCAGGACGTATGCCAATCTCAATGTAATGCGGTCTCGTGTACTTGCTAGTCTAGCTAGTGAATGAAACAAGATCTAACCTAGCTGAAGCACTTCCAGTGCCCTCTTGGTCTCTTTGACCTCTGCAGCCGGCACGTACGCCAGAAGTTCCTTTGTATACGCAGCGGCGGTCGCCGAGGCGTAGCGTTGCCATCGATCGTTCTTGTAAAAATCAGTGTAGTCGCAAATCCCTCGGACCACAAGACAGGGAAAGTGGTTCATCAGCCCGGCTGCTTCCATCTCAAAGCAGATGCAATCCTCGTCGAGGTCAGCAACAATCCGATCGCGAGCAGCAGCGTCTTTGGCGAGTGTGTTGGCGGATACGATGGTCCCATAGTGGATATCGGGATCGATGGTGTCTCGAGTATCGCGTTGAATCTCATCAGCCATGTCACAGCCCCGACAGTCCGGGCCGGGGATGTGGTCGCATGGAGCTTTGAAGAGGCGGTCGTTGTCGAAGCCCTAGTGAGTATAGAAGGATTTTTGCTCGGATCTCTTGCCCATCTTCGGGTTATTCGCCAGCAGTTCTTTTCTCAAAGGAAGAAGGGAACCATGGAGTCTTTCCGCTTGTGGTAGGCCTGGATTCTGCGAAGCGCATTGAGGACCGTCAGAGGCCGTCCGAGGAAGCCTTTGCGCTCACGCTTGTCACCAGACTTTGCCTTGATGAAGTCGTACTGACAGACACCGCCCGTGGTCCCAAAGGGCTGGTTCACGAAAACGTCACCTAGCCGGATACCTTGGTCGTCGTCCGGTCGAGCGATGCCGCCGCCTATGCCAACGAAAGGACCAACACGAATGGATGGCAAAGAGGCAAGCAGGCTCGAGGCCGTGGTCGCAGTCGAGGTGGTCCCGTAGACTCCAGAAGTGAGAGAGGCAATAACGGTGTTTTGCTCTCCCACGCGACCCCACATATAAACGTTCGCGTCCGTTTGGGGTCTGGTGAAACCCCTTGGAGCTGCATGTTCCTCATCGAGCATCGCTTCTGCAGGGCCAGCTCAATGGGAAGAGTGGCGAACCAGGCGATTTATAGTAGTCTGGGCTGTCGAGGTTGTTGTGGGATGCGGTGATGCGGAAGGAAGCGCACTAGGCTGCCAGATAGGCGGGTGTATCACTGTCAGACAAAGGGCGCAAACCTTGTCAGTTGCCATACAGGACTAGCGCTATTACCTAACAACCTCCAGATAGATTCATACTTGCTGCATCCAACTGTTTGAGGATGGAGGCAAGCTGAAAAGGACAAGGCCGGGCCACAACAACAAGTCCTCGCCAGTGAGACACGCATGGGGGGGCCTTGAGCTATGGGCGCCTGCATGCGGAAGCCTCTAGCTGACTGCACGGCATGATTGGGAGTGACCAATGCCGAAACTGCCTCCCACATTGCCAGGCCATGTTTGAATGGGCTTCTCAGGATGGAGCTAGCCTGCAAAGCTATATCCTCGGCTCAGAATGCCGCGATCCGAAAACGGAAAGCTGTTCAGAAGCGTTTCGAAGACTACAAATCATCGCTGCAGTCTCTTGTACCCGATATCTTATAAATTACTCCGCAAGCCCGACGTGATGTCGAATTGTCTGAAGAGGAGATTTGGAAATCATAAGCTCCATATGGGCGGGGGCCTTCATTTCTTAGTAGACTCATAATTCTCTGATGGTAACTGAAGACAAATATGGTAAAAAACGGTCGATTCGTGCGGAAGCTCCAAAGGGTTTCACCCAGGTGGGGTTTGATGGTACAATTGCCTACGCAGTAAATGTTGACCAGAGGGAAATTCGAGGGGTTGGGTTGGTCACTGAAGCAATGTGGGTCAGGTACAGTTCAACAACCATGAAGTAGAGGGTCAGGAGTGTAACAAAGTGGCATGCTTCTCATTACCCCGTTCAACTCATGGCGTCCGCTTAGGCCTCACCCAAACGCTTTCCGAAGAGCTGGGGTTGCGAGGATCGGAAGAATGAAACTCGAGAATGCAGAGGGATGTGCGTTGCGGTACAGTTGTGCCCGACATCGCCTTCTATGTCAGAAACACAGACATGCTCTCTCGAACCCTAATCACATGATCCCATAAATCCAGATATGGTTACTCCTGTACTTTAGATCATGTTTCCGTTTTGAATGGTAAAATACAAACGCACGAGACCTGTAATGCTATGTATTATTACCGATCTAAAAATACCTATGCCCGCTATGCGTTGTCCCAACTTAAACATCCGAACTTAGATAAAGAACCAATCCTTCAACCGTTACAAAATGGCGTGAAACCTGAATTCCTAGAAGAGTCACATGATTGCACACATGATAAGCAGCAAGAAAGGCCTGACTACATGGCCAAACTGGTAAGGTGTAGCCAGCGTTCGATTAACATACACAAGTACATGCGGTTGCTCGGCAGTTCCAAATTTCCGGCAAGGGCAAGAAGTATTACATACAGGATGAAGTCATGATGCCTTCGCAAAATCAATCAAAGCAGAGATATCATCACCGCTATGACCAGCCGCAGCTGCCTTCTCCATCAATTGCTTTATCGGACGAATGAAATCAGCGGAGACTTGCTGGGCCGCACTGGTGTCAATAATATTCTGGATAGCAACTAATTGCATGGCCATATTTGATCCCTCACTAGCATACTTTCCCTCGTCAATCTGCTTTGCTATCACTTTAGTGTACTCGGTCATTGCTCCCAGCCAGGGAACCAAGAGGTCCGTGAACTTAACGGCGGGTGTGCTCGACCTCACGAGCGCAGTTGCATGCAGGAAGCCTGAGCAGAGACCATACATGCCGCTAAGTAGAGCCAGGTCATGCAGGGAAGCAGCGCCCGCATCCTCACTGAGGAAGATACACTTAGCCAGCACCAACAGATAGGGTTCGTCGGCCTTGAATGCTTGTTGTGACCCGCTGTACAGTATCAGAGCATGAGGTGAACCAATCATGGAAGGGGTGGCCATAATTCCGCCGTGGATGTATCGAGCACCGTGGCCAACGACCAAGTCCGATAGCTTGCGAGCTTGGTCAGGTGTTCCGTTTGTTAGGTTGACAATGGTCTTGCCTTGGACTTGGTCAAGAGCGCCAGCGAGGGTTGTTTGGACAGCAGCGTTGTTGAGGAGGCAGATAATGATCAGATCACTTGCATTGATGCCATCTACCGCTGTTTGGGCAAGATTTGCGCCCTTGCTGAGTAAAGGGACTGCTCTTTGTGGAGATCGATTCCATACAGCGACTCTGTATTTCTCTACAGTATAAGAAACCGAGAGGCCAGGGCTGTCCCCATAGCTCCAAGACCAAGAATACTAACAGATGACATTCTAATAAGACTTTCAGAAGGAGGGCTGACCTAGCTGCTGATTGATACATACACTCAGAAATCCCGACTTGATTTATATATGAGGTCCGTTCTATATCGACATATGTTAGTATCTGTATGCTTGGCAGCCAAGACTTGCTTGGAAATCAGCGTGGATATACCTCGTATTTTACAAATCAACAGGAGAATGCCAAGCGCATTGACTCATTTCGTCGTATTCCCAATATAAGGAAATTCAGCGACAGAAGCTATAAGCACAGGTAAATTTATCCACGGCCGAGCCGGTTAACTCAGGCGTCGAATTATAGACGAACGAGCTAAGGAATAAAGAAATAGAATATAGACTATTGTATCTTTCTTACCAGTATCGTGAAAAGGAACTGGTATTATTACGGGTAGGTACAAAACGTGTTATTTTACTGTATCATGTGATTAGGTTTTGAAAGAGTATATGTGTGTCTCTAGATATGGAAGGCAATAACAGGTGGTACAGTATGTGTGTGTGTGTAATTCATTTACGCTGACCCCTCGTCGAAACGATATGCAGCCTACCACTATGATTTAAATACATGATTGTCTCCACTGAGATTGTACCACTTCTTAGACGAACTTGGTGCCTCGCCGTGGCCTGTGTTTGTTTCCACCTTCAACCTGTGAACAAGGCTTGGGATACTCCATTACCCCGTGTGATAGTGTCCCGCAAAAGAGACATGGTTGGTTTATAGAGTTGCCGGCACTGGGATTCGAACCCGAGAACCCCAGAAGATGCGCAGGGGCCGACTCCACATCTCCTGTATCAGGACCACTTTTCTGCAGGTTACAGGGCGGAAACCATTTGCCCTGCTACCGACAACACAGTTAAGGAGGGTGAGGGTGCTGGGATTCGAACCCAGAATTTGAGAAATTGTAGTTTCAGAAACCTCCATGACGGCGACGCTAACCACTGCGCCATCCACCCCCGGTACAGTACAGTAGGATGGATGGATGGATGATTTCATTTACGCTGACCCCTCGCGAACGATATGCAGCCTACCACTACTATATATATCTTCCTATGTACATAGACCGTGTACCACTTCCTAAGCGAACTTTGAGCCTCGCCGAGGCCTGCCGTGGCCTCTGTGCCGTCATTATATTCATGCTGCCCTCATGGCGCGCGGCTTTGAAACCGTTGCGATGCTTCAGCAAAATCCAAGACGGCCTCCACTGTTTTGGACCGCGAAGCACTATCAATCTTACCTCTTCCTTCCTCACCAGGTCCTCCTAACAGAGTCGAGATGCTGTTAAACGCGTCACCAACCTTTTCTCGAAGCTTTTTCCTTAATCCTCCCAGTCCTGGACAATCCAACAACACGTGGTGGACACTCTCCCGTTCGCCACAGACGCACTGGTCATCATCTCGGAATCGGAACGCCTTGGCGTATGTTGACAACCAGCTGTGTCCAGTTCGCAGCTGTGTCAGCAGGTACGCTCGGTTTCTAGGCAGAGATCCGTAGAGGCGTCTGGTGTACTTGGCCGGCAGTGTGTTGTCGATCTGGCGGAGATGGACGCCGGTGCCTGACTCGCTCCATTCCTTCTTCCATTGGGTGTGGATCCCTTGCCTAATGCGTGCTCTCTCGCGTGACAGCAAAGAGCAGAATGGGTGTGTTTTTCCCGGTATAGCCGCCTCTTTGGCTAACTGATCTGCAGTGTCGTTCCCAGGTATTTCGCAATGTCCGGGGATCTACTGTAGTCGAATCGATGTGCCGTGAGTCTTGGTGTTCCTGGCTGCTTGTAGAATGGCGTGGATGATCTGTTGTCCCGACTTGTTCCCGGGGTTCTGAACTGCTTGCAGGGCCGACTTGCTGTCACTGAGAATAGTGGCAATTCGCACCCGCGTATGGGAGGTCCTCCAGTGACGGAGAGCAATCTTGTTGATGATGTTGATGGCGTACAGGATCCCAATGAGCTCGGCGGCGTGAACCGACCATCGCTCCATAGGTCCAACCTGAACTTGCATGCTGTCGGTTGTTTCCAGCGATTCATCGAGCACGGTAGCTGCGGCACCTAGGTGACCTTCTCGTCCCGAGGCGTCCGAGTACACCACGATGTCCGCGGTTGACCGTGCAGCCTCGGCTCTTTCTAGCGCGGTCTCTCTGTCCGATTCAATCTCGATTTCTGAGAAGGCTTCTATTCGCCACGGTGGTAGCGGGGTTGGGTCAATCATTTCGATTTCCTTTAGTCTCTCCAGGTTCATTGTTTTTAAGGCTTCTGATAGTGGGAACCGGGCGAATGATCCACGATTGTTGCGTCTTCTCTGGGCCCGACGTAGGGCGCTCCACATAGGGTGTTTTTGTGGTAGGGTATGCAGTCTAGTGATGGTATTTTGTGCGCGGTAGCGCAGACGGAGATGAGTTGGCAGTACATGTGCTTCTACGTCGAGTGTGGTTGTTGCCACTGTTCGAAAGGCTGATAGGACCCGGATGAGAGCCGCTCGTTGCACGGTGCGGAGGTGACGTAGATGGGTCTTATCTCGAAGTGGATCATGCCAGACGGTTGAGGCGTAGTCGACAACCGGTGTGACGCACGCTTCGTAGAGCTGTCGCATCTGCTCTGGGCGGAGCTGTCGCAATCCGCCAAGCGCGATGTTGACCTTAGTGGCTCGTTTAACGGCTTGCTGTACGTGTTCCTTCCACCGAAGCTCATGATCGAAGATTACCCCTAAGAGCTTGGCCGTTGTAGATGGCTTGATGACATTGCCATTCATGATAAGCTGGCCCTGGCTCTGTTCTTTTCTTTTTCGGGTAATGTGAATGAGTTCGGTCTTTTCTGCAGCGAAGCAGGACCCAGTTCTCTGAGCCCAGGCTTCAATCCGGGGTATGTCTTCGGACTGGATTTTGGCCAGATTCTCTGCGGCACTCCAGCCAACTCGCCAGCGGAAGTAGTCATCAATGAAGGCGGACGCCCCACCGTGAAAATCGACCGGCTGGTCGACTAGATCGCAGTTGAAGAATGCAAAGAGGATAGGTGACAGCGGAGAGCCTTGTGCGAGCCCGGCATTTTCTAGCGGTACCACCTCGGTTTGGTAATCGTCGAACCCAATGCTAGCCTGGCGCCCGCTCATGAAGCTCGCGATCCACCTTCGGGCCACCGAGGGGATACCCTTGGACTGGAGGCGAATATCCAGGCTTGTCTTATTAACCCCATTAAAGGCTCCCTTCAGGTCAAAGGCCACCAGTGTGACGACCTTCTGCCTGTACCATGCCCGGTCGATTGCGTTAGCAAGCATCAGGAGGGCTTGCTCGGTTGTTCGTCCCGGGCGCCCTCCGAACTGGGTATCCGGTAGAAGCCCGTAATGCTCCGCGAAGAAGGACAGCCGCCGGGCCATCACTGCTTCCAGCAATTTTCCGAGTGTGTTAAGTAGCGAGATTGGGCGGTACGCTCCCGGTAGCGAGTAGTCTGGTTTCCCGGGCTTCCGCAGGACTACGATTCGCGCGCTTCTCCATCGCTGTGAGTGGTATCCTAGTTCGATCGACGCCGTGAAAATCCGAGTGATGATGTTTCCGAGGTATTTCCAGAGACGTTTCCAGATCAACGTGGGTAGACCGTCCTCGCCTGGCGCTGTTGTGCCTTTGGCAGCCTTGAGCGATCGGTAGACTTCAACCTCGGAGATTGGATGCCATCGGATCTCGGTTGGGGCGTGAGTGGGTGCTTCCTCTTGCGCAGGCACCATCGATGGGAAGAACGATCCCATGAACGCCTGAGCTTTCTCCGCGTTGTCAACTAGCTCCCTGTCGCCAACCTTGAGGGCGGGAATGCATCCCCAGGAGTCTCGTGGTTTCATGTACGTCGCTGCCTTCCACAGTTTCCCTTCACCTGCTTCGTCTAGGAACTGCTTCCAATGGGATGTCTTGGCCTTCTCAATGGTTCGAGTCCATGCCCGCCGTGACTGGCGCATGTCCTCGAACATGGCCATGGTGCGGGAGTCGGCTCGTCCGACTTCAGCGCAGCTCTCTTGCCACTTGCGTCGTAGGCGGTTCACATCATTCTGTTGGGCTTTAAGGTCGGCAGTGAACCACCGCTTGGAGTACGGGGACGGTCTCAGATCGGGCGTGTGCTTGTCAACTGCCCTTGCGGTCGTTCTTGTAAGTCTATCTACGACCGTGTCTAGCGCCTTGGTTGAGTCTAGCTCTCCGGGTCGCTCGAAGAGATCCTGGATTTCCTTTCCAATCTTCTCCCAGTCCGCTCGGTCGTACGCTTTTCTCGGTTTAGTGGTGAGGTTGCGCCGCGCTTGGAGGTACCATTCTGAATAAGTGCCTCGGTGGTCCGAGCCATAGTTGTCGTGGTAGAGATGGCATTTGATGAGTAGATCTGGTCTGTTTGTCACTGTCTGGTCGATCGTAGAATTTCTTCCCGGGTGGCTCAACGACCAGAAGGTCGCAGTTCCCCGAGGGAGACAGCTCTGGAGGCCATGATCATGAAAGAAATTGATCAGTTCGCCGGCGTCCTCGATGAATCGAGGTTGAATGTGGTTGCTCCCCCACGCTGGGTGGTGGCGATTGAAGTCCCCGGCCAAAATAAGGCTAAAGGTTCTGCTATCGTCTCGTATGACGTTTTGAATCGTGTCGTGGATTGCCGATAAGGTAGCCTCCGCCGATGCCCCATCAGGCGTGTGCATCGGTACGGGCGGAATGTAGACTGAGAAGATCAGGATCTGGGAGTCGGCCGTCCAGATCTTGACCGCCGTCAGATCCGGGTGATTGCACCTCACTTGTCGGTGAGAGGAGGTTGAGAGTTTGCGATTGACATAGATAAGGCTACGGAATCGAACCGAATCGCTCTCTACTGTAGGTTGGTATAGTCGCCACGCGCTGTGGTTCACGTGTGTTCGGTAGGCAGTAATCGACGGTTCCTGGATTAGGAGCACGTCCAGTTTCTGGCTTTGATGGTCGTTGATGAGAGCTTCCATGCCCGCCTTCGACTTCATGGTGTTTAGTTGTAGAATTCGGAGGTTGTTCTCTAACATTGCGATGGGGGTGCCGTGGCTGGCGTCGGGCACAGCAAGTCTCCAGTCGGATGTTCCCCGCTGCATTCCAGGCAGCGCGCTCTGATTCCCGGAGGACATCTTTCTCGCTCATGTTGGCCGCCACAGTGGCCGCATCGAGGCGTCTCTTTGCACGACCACGCTAGATGGCCGAATCCTTGGCATCGGAAGCACCGTTTCTTTTTGATCTCACACTTTTCCACTCTTCCAATGTACCGTTGATCGATCAACAGGCCATTGTTCAGCATCCACTCCGCTGCCTCTAATGAATCAAACCAGATTCCCATCGAGGCGAACGTTCCCAACTCTTTGTCTCTTTTCTTCAGCCAGGCAATGTCCTCAATTCGAAAGCCGTGGTCTGTGAGGTCGTTCTCGTTTGCGATCTTTTCAATGGCTTCGGTTTTCCTGTTTTCGAGGTCCAACCCAAAGGTCGGGATATGGTGGACAGCTACTCCGAAACGTGGTTTCACCAGTCTAGTGTCGTTGCCCAGCTCGGTCAGCCACTCAGTGTTGTTGCGGGCCATTTCGGCCGACGTCTGGTTTTTGAATCGGATCACATATCCGGTCTTGGTAGTACCAATCCCTGCAACCTGTGCGTCCTGGGTAGATGGCGTCTTCAACAGTGCCGTCCTGATGTGGGTATTCGCAGCCGGGGTGGGGAGGTAGCGACCGAACGCGTCTCCGTTATTCTCTGCGCCCAGCGCTTCAGTGACAGATCGCTGAGTGCTGATTCGGACGCAATTCTTGTCTTTGTCAGTTTGTCGCCGGGCCTCCCGGGGTTGCGAGTTGTCTGTGGCGGCTGCAACGGCCGCCCATGATCGTGTCGGGGATGGTGTGTTCAGCCCGTCTACCTGCGACCGTAGCGCTAGGATCTCCTCCTGTAGCTTCTCATTCTGAGTTTGAAGCTCGTTCTGGTTATCTTTCACTTCTCTCAGTTCGCTCCGGGTGGCGTGAATGAGCGTGGTTTGTTCTTCAATGGTGTGTTGCAGGCGTACAATGATCTGCCAAATCTCTCTGGTTGTCACTCGTCCAGTGCCGGTTCCGGTATTGGTGAGCTCCACGGGTTCCGGGGCCGCGTGGGTCTGCTCGCTTTCCACTCGTGTATGTCTCCTGGTGCGGACCGTGGTCGTTGGTGCACGGTTTTCCGGTGCGTCGATCCCTGTGCCTCTTCGCGTGGTTGTGGTGGCAAGGGGCGCGGGAGCCCCCGTGGGTGGGTCCGCCATCCGTCTGGTGTTAGTTCCCGCTCGGCACACAACACAATAATGTTATATCGCAGTGCTCAAGAAACAGTCAGTCCCTCTTTTCATTACAGACGCATAGACCACCCCAATGGTACAGTAGAATTCGAAAACAGATTACCCCTTGGACACTGACGCTTTCTTTCCCAGAGCCCCACTTTGATTGCACTAGACCGAATTAGATCAAGGAAAGCCTCGCAATATCTTTTTAATGTATTCCGGATAGATCTCCATAGTTACCGTAATTACCGGTTCCGGCGTTGAGCAGACCAGTCACCGTGGCAATACACTGGATTTGAACGTACAGTGGTGTTGCATAATATTGGCATCCCCATGCGAATACTGCATGAAAACCGGAGGAACGTACTCCCGGTATAATACAGCTTAGTAATTAGCTTATGCACTTAAAACCCTCGTAAATAGGGGTAATACAACTCAGAGTCGTGAACATCTTCAATTGGTCAGATAAATTACTGGAATAGTTTTGTTTCAACACTATCTATTCATGCAAAAGTCTCAAATATTACCCCTATTTCTGGCTGTTCATTGTCAAATATAGTTACTGTAGTGGTGGAACCGGTGACATGGTAGAAATATGGGCGGGCTATGGGTCACGTGTTCAATCAGATAGCATTCCTCCTTGTTGAGTTCCAGCCGAGGACGGGGTTAGCATCATACAATTTTACTCTTTTCTTTTCGAGCCCTTTTATTATGAAGAAATCTTAAAGTATATGCGCCGCTGTCTACTATTGCTGTCAAGGGAGTGATTGGTTGCTTGTTCTCTCTATTGATATTGACCCGTCTGCTATGCCAGACTGCCATCGTGCCATCCCCATTTCAATAGTTGATTGGCACGAGTCAAACTAGAACCACTGACAACCGGTCAGTGGAAGGGAAATGACACCACGTATTTCGTTGGGGAAAATTGAAGAACACAGTTATCCTGTTCACCGATGACACAACGCTGTTCTCCTTCATTTCCCAATGACGTCATCGCATGAGCTTCACATATCGGTCACACAATACAATTTAAATCTTTGTTGAATAAATAACAATGCCTGCATTCACAGGTTCTTGCTTCTGCCACAATATCGAGTACGAGTTGCAGCTTGAATTGGCTGATGACGCGAGAACTTCTATCTGTCACTGTCGCAATTGCAAGGTATCATTCATTATTGGGGTTTTTGAACTGGAAAATTCTGACTTGATTTGGCCCGAAACAGAAAGCATTTGGAACAAACTACGGGTTGACAGCCAAGGTTCCAAAAGATGCCTTCCATCTCAACAAAGGCAGGCCAAAGGAGCATGCCGCAGATAACGGATCTGGCATCATCATCCACCGGGAGTTTTGTGATATATGTGGCAGCTTCATTCTGGAATATGGAGTATATGCTATGCCTCTAGAACCGGTTGAGAATAGGCTGACAAGAATGGTAGGACGCTGTCAAGAATGACTTTCGCTACATTTGTATTGGCTCATTGGATGACCCTGAGGCCTTCCCCCGAAGGGTGAATTCTTTTGCAAGGATCGTTCAAGCTGGATGCCCAAAATCCCTAGTAAGTGGGCCGAGAAGTACCTTTATTGAATGTTCTGATGGTTATAGATGTTTTTTACAAACATGAAGTCAAGCAGTGAGTCTATAAGGATCACTGAACTTGGGTCATGATTTGAATCTAGCTATCCCATACTTCAGGCAACTTTCTAGCAATGACAAAGCCCTATATGAATTGTCAATGTATGCGTTATTTACGGCTATCAGAACTCTAGTAGGGGGGATATAATTGCCTAACTTCTGTATTCATGGAACTGATATCGCTTTGCATACGTTTACTGTTTCCCAACCGCAGATGACGACATATGACTAGTCCTGTAACTTCAACGGTCTACTATCGCTACATGGATAACACCGTGATCCATGAGTATGCAGTCAAATTCCTCACGTTGGACAGCATTCAAGGCCTCCTTGCCGTTCGTCGCCTCCAAAAAGTCTTAGCTAGTCTAGGTTGCCGTGCTGAAGGCATTGATCTGCTGAAATATGGAAATGTAAGCCAGGAGCTTTCGTGGTGGTATAGCCACTCCAGGGTCTCTTACCCCTGGTCGACATACCCTTGTTTTAACGGGCCTAGCGAACAGAAACAGAAAATGCCTATTCCTCCAGAGAGACTGCATTTGGAGACGAAAATAAATTATCCAATCTGACTCTTTTGTATCCAGCTGATTATCTGGATTGGATATCTGACAATGATATTATGAAACGACGGTTCAAATCGCTGGGTTTCGTCAAAACTGCGAATAGTGTGCTTCAATTCCGTCTTTCGCAAACAGATCGATTTGATAATTTCACCGTCTATAATGTATGATCAGAAGATTATCATGTAGTCAACGAGCTACCGGGAATCCTTTGCGTATCGGAGCTCTATTATCTCTGAATCCATCAATCAAAGTTTCTATAATCAATCGAAGATCACGGGGTTTTCAATAAAGCTTACCTCACTGTGACGGAATATACGGAGATATAAATAAAACAAAGCTTCTCCAGCTTTTGCTCTAGCCAATGATGTGACCGGAAAGTCACATATATAACCTTGTATCGATAACAGTCAGAATATTTACCATGACATTTCGGCAACATATCGATATCAAGATTCATTGTATGATCCAAGGGGTTGATCGGAGCAAAACTTCTTTCAGAAATGGAAATATTCTCCTCGTACATGGTAGAGGTTTGACCAGTAGTTTTATCCTCGATAAACCTTGGTCAGCGACGTGCTGTTCCATCATTTTATTCCGTTTGTTCTACTGGTTCCGAGACCAAGCATAGACGAAAGTCACGCAGACCAGAGACGAAGTCACTTAGATATTCGGTACGCCAATGCTCACCTTTTTGGATCGTACTACGCTATGGTCAGAACACACCCGGTGGCATCCCTTTTATTTCAATGTACTCTTGAATGACTATGCTAGAAATCATACATTACGAAGAAGTCCAAAAGGAAAAACCACAAAGCGACGCATAGAAAGTATCTCCGGGTGATGAGCAATATTGAGGAGGAGCTTCAAGAGATGCTTGAGGAGGGAACCACGATCTTCCTCAGTCTCTGGACCAGATCAAAGCCGAGAAAGCGCAAAAGAATTCGGAAGTGCAAATCGCTGTCACGGCAAGAGATACTGCATTAGCCGAGCACGAGAAACTTCAGCAGGAGATTTGCCAATTGCAGCAGCAGCTGGAAATCATGAACACCGCGCTGCAAGATCAAGTCCCGTGCAATGATGTGCAGCTAGTGTTGGATCAGGCACACGCGAAACCGGTTTCCGCGACCACTCGATTCTGGAATGCAATCGACGCCCTCCAGAACAGATGACTGGCATCGTATTTGCCAGGCTCCGGAATGATTCAGGCAGACTGGCCCGATCGGGGCGGCGCGGGCATGCCTGGCCACAGTTTGCTCCCCAGCATCTTCCAATCGAACAATGACAATGTCCCGCTTGGTACTAAACATGAACTACCTACCACCAACTGAGATGAATCTTTTGTCTGACAGTTATAGTGCGCTGCTCTGAGTGAGTCCTCACTTTCTTGCAGAAGACGGCCTTTGCGATGTAGTTGACGCGTAGATAGTTCCTGAAGAACCATTTTGCTACATTTGTACTATATATGTCCCGTGACAAACCGTGTGTATTGTAAACTCTATTAATTTTCCTCAGGGGCAGGGCTACGTGCTTTTGTAGGTTGAGCACTCGCAAGCACCTGCGCCTCGATACAGTATTCAACATCACACCTCTCAAGGCCGAAACGGTCAGATACGCTATAGAGGAGAAAAAGGGCCTTGCCACGCGGGCCTGTGGATTGGTTACTAACGTAGGCTCCCTATGCCGTAAAGGAAACGCATTTCTAATGCTCTAACCCAATATTGCAATATCTGTGCTATGGGTTTCGTGGAAAAGCCCGCGCTTCTCTTGCGCATTACAGTCATCATTTCTTCTCGGCATTCAGCCAAAGCCTGCCGTAGTATTCCTATATAATTCAATCCAAAATCGCAGTTTATCGTTGAGTGAGATATCGCAAGTCGATAGATGTGGCACTGCCGTGCGAGTATCAACCGCTAAGGATCGTATTTCAATACCCGCAACCCATCTTTGATCGGTTGTTACATTTGTGCGATTCTTGAGCACTACTGTAGTTTAGCTTTCTTGAAAACTTCCTCACTCTACAGACCGGGTGCAAGCATAGTGGGCCAGGCAATACGAATCAGCTGCAATTACAGAATCAATGATATATTTGATCTACTCGATAACATATAGTGGCTCGCGACTATAGCCCGTCTTTTCAAGAGAGCCATCTCGGCATAGCTCATATACCAATCATAGTTTTCCGTCTGCACAGCTAAGGGAAGCATAGGTAGGATACGAAGACCCCAATGCAACGACAAACAATACATCGCTTGCCATGGCATCAAGTCAATCGAGCATTGTCCAGTCACCGTCCAATCCAGAATCGAGGCTGGGCGTGTCCATATTCTGTCAGTTGAGCAGGTAGTCACACCAAGACCAATATAGACTGACATATTACTCTGATGTACATGATTTCACAACTTTGGACCATCTAAAGGAGGAGATTAGCCGTTTTGAGTTACTAGGCAATACAAGACTATATCGAATTTTTGTTGCAAATGTTCAAGATTTATAAAACTTCACTATCTTAGTAGGCTAAAGCTTGGCCGCTTAATTTCAGTTCAGTGAGAGCTGGTGATTGCGAAGTCCGCCTACCACTGTATATGCTATGATGTGTCTCGTACCATCAATGCTAGCACTCAGGCGATCATCTAACTAGGAACTTGCCATTATAGTCCCGTTGCTAAGGGTTGTAATCTTGACTAGAATCAACCCTTAGGTCGAGCCTGTTTATGACTCTAGAGCTATGGGGACCAGTAGCTTTGTCACTATCATAGGGCCCGGCTGAACCGTGATAATTATTGCCAACAAATCTGCTGATCTTGGACACATGGTGTTCTAGACATGTCAATCTGTCCAGCTCCAGCGATCTCTGTGTAAGAGGCTATCACAACTCTTTCACTCATCACAGGTGTCGGTTTCATTACTAGGATTTGGATTGCGAGATTGATGATTGTAGGATCTTTCCCTTGTGGCTGCTTGCTCGTAATCGCCCTCTCTATCTTTTGCACGAGTTTCGACATACTGATGTTGAATGCTTATAATCAACAGTGTCTAGCCCGTATAATGCTAGTCAGGCAACGGTACGGTTGAGGGACAGATCGTGGAAATTGGAAACAGAAAAGCATTACGCAAGTATAACCCAGGAACCTTCTGAAAATAGCGCCGACCAGATGAGCCGTGCGTAACACTATAATCCAAAGTTCGGTAAAGGTGAGTAGGCTACCACTTGCTTTTGGTAAAAGATCACTGGAGCCTTAGTAAACTTACTTCATGTTTACAAAGACGTGATTCCAGTTTCTAGATGCGATTCATTATAGATTGAGCTGCTAGGCATTTCATAAACCATGACTTGGCAATTAGAAGTAGTTGCGGTACTTCATTGACGAGTTCCCTAGATGACTTCCTTCACTGATGATCCAAGGGCATCGATCAAGATCGACCTCAATGCTGAGTCCGAATATACCGAACCCCTGTCTATTTATTGGCCTTGAGCCAATAGGCTCACTAGTTCTTAGGGTTTAACAAGTCCTAATGTCTCAATGAGCATTTGTGCATGCGTACATGTGCACACACGCACTCCAACGTCAGTCGCAGATCCGATTTCTTGGCATTGGGCCGATATCACTCTGCGCATGAGCACTATACCATCCAAGTCTTGCCCAGAGAGCAATGTGCAATGTGGAAAAATGACCCTCAAGTACTCCCATTGCTTTGTTACTCGTACGCTAGTGTAAAGACGACTGCATGGCTCGCGGTGTGCTGATTTGTGCCACGTGAATCGGAGATGTGACTGTCACATAACTTTTCAGGGATGTGAACCTGATTCAAACGAAAACTCCTTATACTCCACCTCGTCCGCGAAATTGACGGTACTCTCAATATCGTTGGCCGCAGAAAAGGCTACGTCAACTGTTTGCTAAGAAATACCTTGGTGATCCGAAGAGGCGTTATTTGCCCTTGGTAAGCTTGAAAGACGTTTGAAGTTATTCAAGTGAAGTCTCATGGGTTCGGAAACATTGTGTCCAGCATTTCGGGTACACAAGGTTTTCTAGCACTCGTCTATTATTAGTGAGCTGGGACTTGTCCTACGTGAGATTTCAGAATGGACGCAGGCGGTTCATTCACTCGACTACGTCATACCAGGAAACCTTTTCCGCAGCGTGCTCATTTGGCAGGGATATGTTCTCAGCAGACCCACCAAACTGGGAGCAGCGGGGAACAGGACGGTTTGAGACTGGGATGCAATAGCGTAGAACGTAGGTGAAAGTAGTGGGCTAGATAGGCATTGATAACCATTCACAGATTCCGCAGCTGCGTTACTCGGCATATTCACACATAGGACGTCGTTCGCGTTCTGAAAAGTCTTATGAATAGACCCATGGAAAAATAGACTTGAAAAGAAAATCTTCTAAGTACATCGATCATCGCACCTACATTGTGCACTTGGCTCTCTTGGTTGTCTTATGCGTCTGTAGTAAAGCAAGACAAACCAGGAGCATAAGCGAACTCAGGCCCAGGGCGATCAATTCGTGAAGTAATGCCAGACCAACTCTGGAAGCATAAGTCACGGTTTCCACTACTCTGGAGTTTTATAGAGCCCTCTTATATAAATTACTTAATACCTTGTGCGCTATCGTGCCTAGCCGAGAGATATCTCTTTGGTTTCCCCACCTTACCTTGGCCCACTTGAGGGAATATTTCTCGTCAAATGAGAGAATAGCGGAAACCTTTTCCGGGAATGGACTGGGCGATAAAGATCTATCTACCTTCATCTACATCTGCACATACCCAAGTGGACATCTATCATTGTACAAACGTTCGAAAAAGTGATTGGCCATCGCCTAATTTGAAACAAAAGGCACCTAATACGCCCCTGGTTTGCCACTGAGGGCTTTGGCAGCCATTGACGTAGCCAGTGGTCCACAATATCGTTGAATTAGAGACGAGATCGTCCCCGCACCTATCTTAAAAGGACACCCAACAGTTGCACCATCCATAATGTGCGTCCTTTTTCTTTTTTCCATGGCCTAACTACTCTTGTATTCAATTCAAGCTTATCTACAATCTCATAGACCGGATAATAACGAGAGGTGAAGTGATTATCCATGTTGCCGAAAAATTGTCTAGAAACGAGGGCCAACTGAACAGCATTTGATCGGTCCACTTGAATTGGACGTTAGATCGAAATTAGAGGGCTGATTGCAACTTCTCATCCGCAATTATCTGGCTATCAACGTGATTAGTCTTGTTGCGAGAAAACCACGTCAGAGAGTCTCAGAATGTCTAGCAGAGTTCCTATTCCACGCCTGAGAAACGAACGCCGCAAATCCACTGGCACACGCACTATGAGGGCATGCAACTCATGTCGACAGCGTAAATGGAAATGTGACGGTAATAAGCCGATATGTGCGCAGTGCAAAGCCCATTCGCTGGAGTCATGTATTTATTCTGAACACAAACTCGTGAGGGAGAGGAAGGAATTGGAGTTAACGAAAGAGAGACTCGTTCTCTGCGAAGACGTGCTTCGGGAACTGTCTTCGAAAGTCGATGCATCTACCTCCAGGAAAATTGAAGACGTTTTGCAGGTGAGTAGTGCTCTTCGCAACACAAGACATATCCTATCATGATCGTGCTAACGGACAAAGCACTTCCATTCGCAGAAAGCCACCAGGAGAAGACTTTCTAGTGCCTCTTCATCCTCGTCTCTCGACTCGTTAGATGGGATAGACGTCGTGGACGAAGATGTCAACCAAAACAAAGAGAGCAGGGCCACTGGGTATATTGGAAAAAGCTCTGAAGTGGCCTGGATGCAAAGGCTGGATTCGGAGACTAAAATTCAAGGAGGTAAAGGGCCTTTCTCGGAAGGTAACCGACCGTACCAGGAATCTGCCAAGGTGCCTGTTTCCTCCTTGAACTACCATCTCGACTCTATCGATGTATCGAAACTGGAAATAAGCAATCCTTATGCGCTACCATCGAAAGAACTTGCCCACTGTTTGATTAGCCTCTTCTTCAAGAACGTCTACCCTTCCTTTCCCATCATTCGACAAGATCTTTTTCTTAACCAATTTTACCGGCTCTATTCGACGCACTCAATAAATCCAGGGGAAAAGTGGCTTGCAGTATTCAATTTGATACTTGCCATAGGCAGTAAATACTGCTCTTTGAGGGGACAAGATGTTCAGGAACCTTGTGACATATTTTTTGCTCGTGCGCAGTCCCTCAATATATCTGAATGCATTCTGAATGATCACGAGGATCTTCAGCAGGTGCAGGTGGAGACTCTAACTGCATTTTATTTCTTAGCTTCAGCGCGAGTCAACAGGTAAGAGTCTGAGCATTATCAATTGGCGACAGTTTCGTCATTTTTCTTGGTGTCTATCTTCTGAC